GCAGATTCAAACCCATATTGGAGTCCTCTCTTACCTGTGTTGTTACAGTCACTTGAGTTGCTCCACTGAGAGTGATGATCATACTGAGTATTGCCAACATGGCCCACTGCTCGGGTTGATCAATACTACAGTTCCTTGGCTCCTCTTGTATCGTTGCGTAGTCCTGTTTGTTCAGTGTTGTTGCAGGTTGCCCTTTGATTGTAACAATTACAATTCAAAACACACTGCTTCACCATGAGAATGAAGGCCTTAAAGAGGCTCTCAAGACAAAGAAGAAGCAGAAGAATAAGAGCAAAGTCCTTAACTTTCAGCATACCAAGGAGGAGTACTATGGTGCAGCAGTATTCTACTCACCTCACCAAGTAGAGAGAGCATGTGAACTTGAGAGGACCAAACAACAAGAACAAAAGGCAGAAGAACTCAGAAAAGCTGAGATGGCTCAAATGAGGCACGCCAACAAGATATACAAAAGAAAAAATGGCTCAAGAGCGATGTGAATAGCAGGCAAGAGAGAAGGAGCGTGATCGGGACAAGGCAGAGAAGGCTCAGGAAGTAGCCGAGCACAAAGCTGAAAAACAATGTCAAAAACAAGCTCTTGATGCTGAAAAAAGTGTCCAGTTGCCTAATCAAGGCAAGCGCAAAGCCTTACAAGCTGCAGCACTCAGAAAGAAGCAGAATCGTGGTGCTGTAGGTAGTTGTACTGCTGCCGAGCGCTCCCCATCTCCTCCGCCCAAAACCTCAACGTGTGGCCGCAAAATCAAGTTTCCATGTAAATATAGATAGTAAAAGTTTGTTGTATAGGCCCGTGGATCAATCCACCAAAGATTCTCGCAATAATAGCTATTGTGGGTGGCTCTACAGCTCCATTTTTGACTGAGTATGTTGGGGTGATTCGGCGCATCACGCGAATGGGCGCATCACGCGCACGGACACGGTAGTGGTGCACAGACTGATACTGGGTAAATACTCTTCCAATAGGAATGTCTACCAAAAAAGCTATCTGAGCCACAGACTACCTTGCGCGTCCATTGCGTGTATTTACACTACTCAAATGAAAACCGCGGCCATTGCGTCGTGTTTGCGTGGTCATGAACCTAGATTCCTTGCTTGACTAAATTGCAGGTGAACGCATACGTTGACAGCAACCTCAAGATGCACTAGTATACGATGGCTGGAGGAACTTGATGAAGTTATTATCTACCTACTTAACACAGTCATTATCTACCTACTTAACCCAGTCATTCACTCTTCTTCGCTTCTCTAGACACGATTTCACGCTATGTCGCTCTCCACTCTCTGCACCGTTTCGAACGTGCAGGCAGCTCTCCCGGTGGACGGTACCCTCCTCGGTCTCAACCTGCTCCCTGACACCGTTACTGCGGGCGCTGTATACAATGCTTCCACTGGCGGAGGTATGACGGGCGGCACTAGCGGCGGCGCTACCTACACCTACTGTAACGTCACCGTCAGCTACACTCACACCGGCAAGAACGACACCATTGCCCTCAAGTACGCCTTCCCTGAGCCATCCAACTTCAAGAACCGTTTCTACTTGGACGGTGGAGGTGGCTTCTCTCTGTCTTCGGATGCTACTGGTGGTCTTACAAATGGTGCTGCCTCTGGTGCTACGGCAGCTGGCTATGATGCTTTTGATTACAGCTACGATGAGAAGGTTCTTTATGGCAACGGATCAATCAACTGGGACGCTACCTATGCTTTCGCGTATACCGCTCTTGGAGTACGTATGATCAAATACCTCCAGGGCTTACTATGACAAATGCTAATGCGCCGCGTAGGAGCTTACAAAGATTGGTAAACCGCTCACTCAGGCGTTCTACGGTCTGAACGACACCAAGATTTACACCTACTTTGAGGGGTGCTCCGATGGTGGTCGTGAGGGCATGTCTCAGGTTCAGCGCTGGGGTGAGGAGTACGATGGTGTCATTGCCGGTGCTCCTGCCTTTCGTTTCGCCCAGCAGCAGGTCCACCACGTCTACCCAGCCACCGTCGAGCAGGTCATGGGTTACTTCCCTCCCCCTTGTGCTCTCGATAAGATCGTGAACGCTACCATCGCCGCATGCGATTCCCTCGATGGCCGTACCGATGGTGTCATCTCCCGTACAGACCTCTGCCAGCTCAACTTCAACCTTAGCTCCTTAATCGGCGAGTCCTATTACTGTGCCGCTGAGTCCAGCAGCTCGCTCGGATTTGGCTTCAGCAAGCGCCAGATGGGAGGAGGTGCTGCTGGTAGCCAGTCTTCCACCAAGCCTGAGCAGAACGGCACCCTCACCGCTGACGACATTGCTGTCGCTCAGGCTGTCTACGACGGTCTTCACTCTTCTGATGGCAAGCGCGCGTACCTCTCCTGGCAGATCGGTTCTGACCTCGGCGACGCTGACCCAACCTACGACAATACCACCAGCTCCTGGAAGCTCAACATCCCATCTACCGGCGGCGAGTACGTCACCAAGTTCGTTCAACTCCTCGACATCGACAATCTTGAGAACCTGGACAATGTCACCTACGACATGCTTGTTGGTATATATAGGCACCATTCTGTATAGGTAAACAAGACTGACAGAGCTCTAGATTGGATGAACACTGGCATGATCCGCTACCTCGACTCCCTCCAAACCACCGTCCCCGACTTGACCCCCTTCCAGTCCTCCGGCGCCAAGCTCCTGCACTACCATGGCGAATCCGACCCCTCAATCCCCGCCGCTTCATCCGTACACTACTGGCAGTCCGTTCGCTCCATTATGTACCCGAATCTGACCGACGCCGAAGCCCTCGAAGCCATGAACGAGTGGTACCAGTTCTACCTGATCCCCGGCGCGGCGCACTGCGGCAGCAACTCCCTGCAGCCCGGCCCTTACCCGCAGGATAACATGGCTACGATTATCGATTGGGTTGAGAATGGGATTAAGCCGAGTCATCTTAACGCTACTGTTTCGAGCGGTGATTATGCAGGTGAGGTGCAGCAGCTTTGCCAGTGGCCGCAGCGTCCTCTTTGGTCGGGTAATAGCTCCACTTTCGATTGTGTTGATGATGAGGCGAGCATTGACAGCTGGACTTACACTTTCGATGCTTTCAAGCTTCAGCCCGTTTGGTAAACACAGTTCAGTGAAGGCCTCCAGAATCGGCGTCTTCCGATAGACTCTTGACAATATTTGATGCGAGCATAGCGCATGTGTACCAAATTTCATTCCAATTCAAGACTTGTATATTACATTCCTCCTTAGTTGAGCAGCACTACCTTATAAATCAAGTGTTCTGACTCCAATGCACGCCCTCCGCCAACGAATCATACGAAACCTACCAGGAGTAGAGCATTGTGGTCACCTTGAGCGTGCTGATAAATTTGCTAGAGAAGCTGCAGCCGCCCACAATCTTCTGGGCCTGGTAATACAAATATTCATGCTTCTTGAGCTCGAAACCTGAAGTGGAAGATGAGATGAGTAGCATCGTCCAGACGCCTATACGATCACGTTACGACAAAATAGAAATGTAAGATATTGGTCATGATCGTGTCTATTAGTCTATCTGCATAAGGCGCTTTTCAACCCCACGCCTTTCAATGCTACGCTAAACCATACTCTTCAAATTTTGCCCGCCCGCCAACAATTTATTGGGGTTTGAGGACACCACGGTACCTCATCTTGCCATCCCTCAGTGTGGACATAGCATCAGTGATACCATCCTCAGTCATGGGGAACTCCATAACGATGGGCTTGATGCTGTGCAGAGCAGCGAACTCAAGCATGTGACGGTGGACCGATCGTGCAGCGACGACGGAACCTTGGATAGTAAGACCGCCACTAATGAGACCCATGTGGGGGATCTTGAAATCACCCGCGTCAACAGTGAGAGGGAAGATCTTGCCGGTGGGTGCCATGACGGGGAGCATGAGGTTCCAGTCAGGCGAGACGGAGGTGGTGACGAGGAGAGCGTCAACCTTGCGGCCAATGTCAATCTTGTCCTTGCCCTTCATGGCGATAAACTCCTTGGCTCCAAGTTTGGTGGCCTCCTCCTTCTTGTTCTCGGTTCCGGAGAAGACGACGACGTCGCAGCCCATGCGAGCAGCGAACTGGATGGCAAGGTGACCGAGACCACCGACACCCATGACACCAACACGGTCGGTGGACTTAATGCCGTATGTGTAGAGGGCGTTGAAGACGGTGGCACCACCGCACATCAGAGGAGCGGCATCAGCGTCGCTGAGACCCTCGGGGATCTTGAAGAGGAAAGCCTCCTTCCAGACGGCGTGAGAAGCGAAAGATCCCTGGTCGAGGTCGGCAGCACCGTACATCTGGCGCTCAGAACAGTAGGTCTCGCGGCCAGTCAGGCAGTACTCGCAGTCGCCGCAAGAGTCGTGTTGGTATCCCCATCCAACGCGGTCGCCCTTCTTCAGATTCTTGACGTTGGGTCCTGTCTCCTCAACAACACCGGCGCCCTCGTGGCCGAGGACCATGTCTGCTGACCTGTAGTGCTCATCTGTGCCGCAGAGACCGGAGGCGGTGACCTTGACGAGGACCTGGTCGTTCTGGAGATCGCCCTTCTTGGTCTCGCTCTTGACGATCTTGCCGTCCTTGGAGCCCTTGAAAACTGTGAATGAAGGCATGTTGATGTGGTGTGATATGGTTTAGGGTATCAAAAACAAACGACTTTTATTGTAAGTAGTCGTGAGTGCAGTTGAGTATGTGAGATGGGCTCAGGGCAATGAGCGGAGTGTTGCCATATATGAGGGTCAGCGCACGTCTCTATGATCGAAAGGCTCCACTTCGAGCATGGCAAAAGCTCCACCACAAACATGACGTCGCAGAGCTCATGGTCCCGGAATTAGCCACTGTGTATGCTCAGATCTTTACAGATCCGGCGCATCGGCCGCCGCTAATAGTTACCTTCGCATAATGACTGAAGCAAAATCTGGAGACTCCAGGGATAGTCGGCCAATCAGACTTCTTAGATACGGAAGTGCCGGGCGGGAGTTTCGAGATAATTCTGGCCCTCGATATCTTGTCCAATCGAAGCTTGCGGCTCAGGTCGTGCACTGATCAGTATCGATGAGGCTGGCACGACCGTGGTGTTGTTGTGCTTGTGTCGTGCTTGTAACAAATCCATCGTATGATGTAATTGGCTGGGATTGTGCACGCCCGAAGGATTTCAGAAGGCCCCGAAAACTTCGGTCTTTCCTTACCAAAGAGCCTCAAAGCTTGGAAACTGTTCAAAGAATTTTTGCTTTGAGCGCCGGTATGGACTCCCTTTGGCATGCGAGATGGTCAATCCGGTTAGTTTGCGGGAGGACTTTAGCCCTATCTCGCGGCAGTTTTGTCAGCACTGGCAGGGTTGAGTATGGAGTATGGAGCTGCATCTTAACTCCGTGAAGTTGCACAGCGCTTGTTTACTCAACTCAATGAAAACTGTACTTCGCCGTTAGCAGCTGCAGCGGCCGATGCTGTGCGCATGTGCAAAGTCCGTGATACTTACGACTAGATATGCAGATGCTACATACATGCAAGAGAAGGGATGGCCATGGGCTAGGCATTGACTGAGGGCTCGAAGGCCATGCTCCCTCTGAGACATCCGGAACGAGATGCACCGACACCACGGGAAAGCGGATGGCAATGGCACTGCATCTTGATTTGGAGAGCGTGAGATGGACCGGGCAGCCGTACAGCGCAGTAGTGCTGACCCAACCACGAAATGGTTCAGACTTGCATTTCCTAGAGGACCGTTTTCACAAATGCAGATCTCGAAACCATGTTACCAACCTAGTGGAAAAGCTTTAGGAAGGATAGATCTGATGATAAGTGGAGAGGCCATAAGGTAGAAAGATACGCACTGACTTGTAGACAGAGGATCTGAGCGTCAAATGCTGGGCATGAGTGCGGGGGGTGATGGGTTACATGTTTTTGCAGTTGGAAAGTGTACAGAGTGTAAGCAGGGAAGTGACATTGGAGGATCCCAAGAGTCGATTGATGAGGGGAGGGAGACACTCAGGGTCGAGAAGGAAGGCAGAGCATATGAAGATGAAGACCCGGTTGGGTAACAATGTTGTCCTCGTTCTTTCGAGATGCTACTGTACTAGTCGGTGAACCTTACAGGCCCAGCCGCGCCTGTTTGACGGTAGTGAATTATTAACCGATAGAATTCTGCGTGTTGACTGCGTATGTGCTGTTCGAAGCACCAGCGCCTGTCCAAGATATCTTCCAAGGTATGTATGGAGGGGCAGACACCCAAGCATTAGATCAATAGTACATGGAATGCTTCGAACGGAGTTCAATCTGCTCCTGAGAAGTGCTGAACGAGTGTGTCATTGAAATAGACGAACGACGTTCGCTGGTGAGGGTGATGCTGGAATCACAGGTAGATTCAACAGTTTTGCAGAGGTCTGTGAATCTGCTACTCGTGTTTGGAGACTACAAGGTTGCTTGCTGCGGTTTTTGGCCAGCCCTGCACACGCACAGACAGTTGAAGTCTGCGTCTTGACATGGTCGACGCATTCGTAAATCACCCCAATCGAACGTCAGCTCGTCCCAAATTTCGATCGCGCGTGTACTCTTGACGAAGACTCCGTGCGTAGGACCGACCCGTGTGAAAAACTCCTCTACGCTTGGCTCGCAAGAGTGGTCTGCGAAGTACAGCACACTGCGGTGAGCTGACGCGTTGAGTCAGGCATTGATATCCTGACTGTATCCAGAGTTTTATGTTGGAAAGTCGACAGCGAACTAACGAACTCGGACCGTCATCGGCGCGGCTGGCATGGGGTGGAGCATCCCACATAGCTCCCCGACGACGGTACCAGCTAATAACCTGTCGCCGCGAGGAAGCCCGAAAAACGCCGGCTAAGGTTCCGTCGGGATCGAACGAGCGTAGCTCGAGGTTCGTGGAGAGATGTTGCGTTATTCTGTAGGTAGCGATGGAGCACGAGCATTGGCCAGTCCTGCCGCAAGCCAGGCAGGGCATGTTGGCGTATTCCCAAAGACTTGGCCGGTGAGCGTCAGATAACTGAGGAGGCCAGGCCGCCTCGATTGGCCACTCTGGAGGTCTTCGAGCATCTCGACATTCTGCTTCGTTCCAGATAATCAATAAAGCCCGGATAGGGTACTGCACGTGTATGGAGTCGTCTACACGCCAGGTTGGTATAGGACCGCTATCGACATCGTTGGCTTCTTTGTGGAAATGCATGCCGTCAGTGGTGGGTGGTGAAGACATTGTTGGTTGATTAGTGAACAAACACTTCGCCATGATGCCTCATACCGCAAGACTGAAAGCAGAGTGAAGTTGTCCACGGTGCAGGCTGCAACGCGCACGCATATCACGGCATTACTACTTTCACTGGGCTTGCAAATGAGTGATACATGCCTTCGAGGTAATCAGTGACTGCCGTTCGCCATGCGCACAGGCGGGCAATGCTACGCACGAGGCGACAAGGTCATCTTCACAATCGTAGTTGTGATATGAGATATCGACATTCGATTTAGGTGTTGCAATAATCAGAATGATTGCACCAGCCACACTTCGAATGTTACTCGTGATGGGTGAGATGAAGGGCGCAAGGGCTGAGGACTGAGATGGAAGGTGCTCGAAACATTGGAAGCGCACGGGCCAATTGTGGCAGTGACGTTGTGCGCCCGACTTTTGTGAATCATCGCCGCCGAAGATCGAGAACACGACACGCTCTTCATAAAGTGTAAGTTCGCCCGAGTCCCAAGGATCCCTTCAGATCCATCTACACTCACCCAATACCACCTTTACCGCCTGACAAATCAACGAGCAAACGCTCAGATACAAGAAGCTCACCCCCACCTCCAGATTATCACTCAGCCGTCCCACACGACACACACATTTTCTCACCACCACACGCACACCATATCCAACATGTCTGACGACTGGGACTCCGTTACCAAGATTGGTAGCCGTACTCGTGGTGGCGCCGCCGGTCCCCGCGAGGCCGTTGTCAAGGGCAAGAGTGCGCTGAACGCCGCCCAACGTAGCGGTGCTGTCATTTCGACAGACAAGAAGCAGTACACCACCGCCAACACTGCCGTAAGCACTCCCATCAACCTGGTGGCAACACTCACCTCCCAGACTTCACACTAACGCTTCATAGTCCGGTAACACAGAAGGCCAGCGCCTGACCAAGGTCGACCGCTCAGACGACATTATAAAACCCAAGACCGTTGGTACCGTCGTCGGACAAGCCATCTCCAAGGCTCGCTCCGAGGCCAAGAACGACAAGGGCTCCACCATGACACAGAAGGACCTCGCAACCAAGTGCAACAGTACGCCTACCATCATCGCCGACTTCGAGCGTGGTACCGCAGCGCCCGACCAGAAGCTGCTAGGCAATATGGAGCGCGTGCTTAACGTCATTCTGCGTGGTGACAAGATCGGGCAGCCCAAGTTCCCCAACAAGAAGAAATGAGTAATCGTAGACGGCTAGAGTCGCGCTGAGTCGCGGCTCTTGGGTTCGACTGCTTGTCAGCTGCGCACGAGTGCGAGGGATCTTGTCTTTGGATTAGCGGGCGTTAGATGGATATCACGGTGGAGGAATATCAAAATGGCATGCTTACGCTGGAATAGCTCACAAGCCGGAGGTCAGATTGCCACATCAGCCTTGCTCTGACATGGGCAATGGGTATGGACGTTTAGATACTAGATGGATCTATGACTTACGACCCAAAAATACGTCCTGACCTTTATGACGCTTCTCTCCATCACACGTGTAAAGAACAGCACCAGCTACCTTGCAATAACTCGATCATGTAACATTTGCTCACACTTGACCAACACCGTCCGTGACTTGTTGCAAGGATGTAATTGGCCCAAGCCGCTAGCGTCCAGCTCTACGTTTAATGCCTATCAACCTCCACTTCGTCACCTACACCTAGACACACCAGAACCGTGATATTTCACGCTGCTTCACAGTTTTACACATCCTGCATGTGATGTTAACTCTCTCCAACTCATACAAAGACCAGGTCTGCAGCATTGGCATCTCTATGTACTCCCCTGTTCTCATTCCACCACTATAGATCACATGCTGACGATTACCAGACCTATCTTCCTCCTATCGACCCTCATAATCTTTCTCTTCTACACCATGTCCTCAGACATCTCTCACAGCATCCCCGTTCCGGCTTCTTCGCCGCGTAACTTCCACTTCAAGTATACCGTACAAAAAGGCTTCTTTCTGCAGTCTGAAAACTCGACTGACGATACTACATTTGATTTCGTAAGGTTAACTGTTCAAATGGGTACGGGTTTGGTTTGGTTAACGGTGTTGCAGAAGAAGCAGAACTTCGGTCTCATAGAGCGTGTCTACCCCACAGATAAGCAAGAAACGGATGAGAAGATATGGCCACGATTCGAGCGGTACATCCGCTCCATAGCTTCATCTGCGAAAGAGGGGGAGAGTTTCAAAGTGCTGTTCTTGGGTAGACATGGCCAAGGTTGGCACAACGTCGCCGAAGCAAAGTACGGAACCAAAGCTTGGGACTGCTACTACTCCTTCCTCGACGGCTACGACAACCTCACCTGGTCCGACGCCCTCCTGACCCCCGTCGGTCAACAGCAAGCCCGCGACGTCAACACGCTGTGGAAAGAGCAACTCCAATACGGCATGCCAGCCCCAGAGACGTACTACGTCTCCCCACTCACCCGGACCATCGAAACCGCGGATCTGAGTTTTCAAGACCTGGAACTACCACAGGGGAAGAAGTATAAACCTTACATCAAGGAACTCCTGCGAGAAGCGCTGGGCGTGCATACCTGCGACCGGCGAAGCACCAAGACCCAAATCTCTCAATCCTTTCCTCACGTAGCCTTCGAACCCAACTTCTCAGACCTCGATCCGCTGTGGGAAGCAAACTACCGCGAGCCCCGGTCCGCACGCCGGTACCGCCTCGCTACCTTCCTCGACGACGTGTTTGCGAATGATGACGGTGTGTTTTTGAGTTTCACCAGCCATTCGGGCGCTATTGCGAGTATACTGGAGGCCATTGATCACCGAGCGTTCAAGCTGGAAACGGGGGGTGTGATTCTGGTGGTGCTTAAGGCGGAGAGGGTGGAGCGAAAGAGAGAGGTTCCGCCCAAGGAGCCGAGTGAGGCGCCGCCTATGTGTGATGGGCCGCCGGGGATGGAGGGGAACCATGTCAGTGTTGGGTAGATATGTTGGTTGGATATACCGGCTGGAGCGAGGCAACAGACAATTATAATATGCTGTGTTACAAGCTGGACCGCTTTGGTCGCATGCACTCAAATTATCGGGAACGGACACATAATGCTGTACTCCCAGTGCGCTTTGATATGGTGTTTCATTTCGGCGTACATCGCACTGATATCGAGTCTATCTGCAGGTCGCTCTCAAGAACTTTTGAGAACCTTCAACCCAACCGGAACCGGAACGCCGTTGCATGCATGCACCACTCCAGACATCCCTCATAACATCCCTCTCCTGGTACATTACAAGTTCACTTGCCCACAAGTTCTCCTTGCTCACAAGTTCTCCTGCTCACAAGTTCGCCTGCTGCTGCGCCGCCTCCCTCTCAACCTCATACTTGAAGTCAAAGTACGGCTTGTCGAAGTGATGCACGCGCACGTATCCGTCCTCACCACCGGAGCAGTACGAGGTGCCCTGCGGGTGCACGGCGACGTAGTTGAGAGGACCGAAGTGGCCACGCACACGGCCAATCTCCTCGGCGAAGATCTTGTGGTAGAAACGCGCTTCGAATTTACCCTGACGGGCGGAGGTGGTTGTGACGTCCATGGCGGCCTGTCCTCCACCGAGGATAACGTAGTCCTTTACGGGGGTGATGGCGGCGCTGTTGAGGGGTGTGTCGGCAATGTATGACTTCAGGACGTCGAGGGTCTCGACATCGAGGAGCTTTGCCGTCTTGTCCTTGGAGGCGGTGATAAAGTATGTGCGGTCTGCTGACCACTGGAGATCGGTGACTACCCTATGTTAGCGCCCTGTCGTAGCCCCAAACGCATTATACGCACTCTGCATGTCCGGCTCGTGCACGTCGTAATTGCTGCTGAGCAGCTCGCCCGTCTTGCCGTCCCACTGTGTCACGGAGCCGTCCTCATGGCCCGAAATGATGTACTTGGCGAGGTAGGAGAAGCCGGCAACGGTTGCCTTGCTCTCATCACAGACTATCCGCAGAATCTGCTCGTCGCTCTGGGTAGCCTCGACGTCGGGGTTGACCTCGTATACGACAATGGTGGACAGGTGCCCAGAGCGCTTCTCTGTAACACCGAGCAGCTGCCTGCCGTCGGGCGAGAACTCGACGCGCTTGATGGATGTGGCGAACTCCCAGGTCTTGAGCAGCTTGCCTGTCTTGACCTCCCACAGACGCATCGTGTTGTCGGCGCCACCGGTCGCGAGCAGCTCAGAGGTGGGGTTGACGTCGACGGTCCACAGGGCTCCGACGTGGCCGTGGTATGTCCCCAACCGCTCGCCATTGTGTGAATCTGCGTCTTGTCAGCGGGCTGCACTCGTTCTGCCTGCGCTGGCTGCTGCATGGGCTACTGACACCATGCGCACACAACATGGTCCTTGGAGACGGAGAAAATGATGTCGCCGTCGGGGTTGTATTTGACCTGCGTGAGCGCACGCTCGTGACCGGAGAGAAGAATCGGCCTCATGTCTGCGGTGTGTGTAGGAGCGGAGGGGGCGGTTCGACGGGAGGGCGGTGGCCTTTGTAGTTGCGGTGACTCTCAGACTGCCCTGCTCGATTGTTCGAACCTGTGGGATGCGAATGTGCTAATTTCGTAGCGCTAAACCGCATGTGCCCCGCATTCGCCCAAGACGTCTGCCAAACAACGCGACTTCATCACCACCTGTATTCGCACATGTCAAACCTCAAGGTCAAGAACCTTCTGGATTAAGACTTGCTGAACACTTTTCCGGAGCCGACAATGCCTTTCAGCATCAAACCTGAACCTCTACACGCTCTTCGATGGACATCTTTGCCTCCCGCTACAGTGCATCTGCACATCCAAACTTCCCAGGAACTACTGCGAAGGATCTCTGACTCACTGGCGCCTTCCATCACACAAGCAGGGGCTCGGTCGTATCTCAGCCGTCATTTCATTTAGGCATCCCGTGAGTCACAGTTCAACATAGGAAGCTCGCCTCATTGCATCCTACAGTCGCTCCTTAGTCTTTGCCTTGTTTCATCCTCTCAAGATATTTCTATGCTTCTCGTCCTCATGCCGGTCAAGAATGAGCTCGTATTCTTTCTCCTTTCTTTTGACCAAATCCTGGGTTCTGCGCTTGGCGTGGATTTTAGCACGAGATATCCGCATTTGCACATGTCAAGGTTGCATGGTTCAGATCTGCTTGTTCTCTGCGTGAACTGTGCATGCAATGTGTCAAGGTGACGAATTCCGGTGGACCTGGTCGACGTGCCTTCCTCATACCACCTCCTAGCAAACATCACAGATCGCGGAGCGAAGCACTGGCTCGCACATCCGCAGATGAGACTGTGCTCCTCAAACGCATTCCGTCTCTACATTTTTCGCCCACAAGCAGTCTGTTTGGGTCTCGAGGTGAAGCACCGTTGGGATGAATACTTGGTGACGCTCGCCTTGACGCAAACGGTCTTGCCTTTTGCATGTTCCACGCGCTTTCAACGCCACACCTTGAACCCTCCACCACCAAGCTAACCTTACTGACCACAGCTACTGGCCACAGGTTATAGGTTTCAGCAATAGCAGCAGTAGCAGTCGTAGCACAGTGCGACATCATGGCTAACCTTGATACACCAGATGCAGTGATAGTTTCGACCGCACTTGGCCGTCTCGAGAAGCTCAGTACTGACGAATACATCATATCCTTCGGTCCCAACGACAGACAATTCTTCGCTACCCCCAACGGCTACTCCGCGTAAGTCATGCTGTTTGATCTCGTGAGGGATGCTGATCGCAAGTAGTACCCAGCTACCAATGACGGTTCTGGGCCACATCTCGGCCATGCCTGTCAGAAAAGTCACATGGGCGTCATACGGATCTCGCCCCGACTCTTGGTTCTTTGCATACGAGATGGATGATGGCACCTCCACGTTCCGTGCCGGCACGGGCATACCAGCAGCACTACGCCAATTCATCGACAGGATCAGCCAAGTACCCGACCTATGCTCAACTCTACGTGTACAGCTTGGCAATAACGACTCTTTCGTCGCATGGGCCAAGACATCATGGGCAAGTTATGGGATCCCAAGAGCACTCGAAGCGGAGCTGTGTCAATTGAGCTCGGCGCACATGAGATCAACCACCGTTACCAGAGGATCCCTGAAGGGTACATTGAACCGAATCACATGGCACGGTGCCGGATCGTACTACGTTGAGGGCCAAGAAGGCTACTTCTGGCATTTTGAGGCAATTACTACACGCGAGGCTTGGATCAAGCTCTGGTCAAGGAAGAACGCGACACCGAGTCTCGAGGAGCTATCTGAACTGGTGGTGAGTGTTTAGGACTGACATGTCATCAGTATAGACTAACACAGCTCAGCTCGTCGCTCTGGACCCACATGCTCCCGTTGGAGAGACATTCGCTTTCATCAAGAAGCAACACGACGCACAAGAAGCGCCATTCGTCATCAACTTCTACCAAGACGCCGCGCACGCATTGGAGACCCCTAAGGCTGCACCGGAAGTTCAAGAGACACGCCTTCAGCATATCGAGCGAAAGCCTGAGAAGCCCAAGCTCTTTCGGTGGGCCATCAGCAAGCGAAACGGGCGTCCACACCCAGGAGAGTCATGGGAGCTGGAGCTGAAGGAGGGGCAGAAGGTCAAGGTGTGGGACCATATGGGACGAGATTGGCATATCGTGGAAGGGCGAGGAGGGACCAAGGGCTGGGTGCATGGCACTTGGCTCGAGTTCTGTGGGAGCAAGGTGCACAAAGACCCGCGACACAACTATACCCTGTTCCAGGATGACATGCGCAAGCTGCTCATCCCCGGCCAGCTGCGTGAGTTTCCACCGCTCTGCGAGTACATGAGTGTCTGCTCCAACGCCGCATGCGAGCCACTGAAGGGCGGCTCCAAGCCGGGCATCTGCATTCACGACCTGCAGACGCTGCTGGAGGGTTCTGGGTGTTATTCTTATGAGTGGCTCAAAGAAGAGAGGAACGTGTGGCACCCAGACAAGTTTGCGAGGTACTGCCACCCAGAGCACAAGGAGCACCTGAAGACCTCCGCACAAGAGGTCTTTGTGCTGTATGGCGTCCTGATGGACATGTCTAGCCAACAAGAGGACGAGGAGTAAGGCGTTCTGGATATCTCATTCTGGCGACGACATGGTGTCGGAGGAACGTCAATTGGAGCACGATAACGAGCCGTTAGCCCTGGTTCCTTACTTTCGCATCTCCACCCCTCGTCCCTCTATCGCTGTCAAGGTGTAATCCATATCAGGGCCTCCTACCCTGGGTTAGTACGTAATGCGAGGCCGGCGCGGCAAAGTTTCGCACTTTCGCGTCGGAGCGCACTGAACTCGTTCCGCACAAAGAGCGAGCTGGGACGTTTTTCAACATTTTTTGAGTCATGTCTTTCAGGTAATATCTTGCAGTGCATCTGTCGACATCTCGCAGCCCTCCGCCTAGTTTGGAAAAAGATACGCTGGCTTGGCCCGGTTTGGAAGGACGATGAATCCGATGTGCGGCGCAGGACGCGCTGTGCTGAGAACCCGTGGATTGCCGCATACAGCTACCCCGCGATCACAAAATTCACAGGTAGCTGCACCCCGCCATCGCTTTTATACCCCATCGATTGTGCGCGCAGTCAGGCACTTCTCGAGTACGCGGTGCATCATGACGGCGACCAAGATTGACGGCACGGCGATTGCGAAGAGCATCCGCGAGAGGCTCGGCGGGTACATCAAGGAGAAGCAGGGCGTGAACCCGCGGTACCGCCCGAGTCTGAAGATCGTGCAGGGTAGGCATCACGTCCATTGGGAGGGCAGTTGATAGTAGGAGTGCTGACACTGTGCAGTCGGTGACCGCTCAGACTCCTCCACCTATGTGCGCATGAAGCTCAAGGCCGCCGAGGAGGCCAACATCGACTGCGAGCTCGTCCAGCTGCCCGAAGACACGACGGAGAGTGACCTGCTGCACCGCGTACATGCCTACAACAACGACCCTGCCGTCCACGGCATCCTCGTCCAGCTGCCGCTGCCCAAGCACATCTCCGAGTACGAGATCACCAGCGCCGTCGCCGACGACAAGGACGTCGATGGCTTCGGCGCCGCAAGCATCGGCGAACTGGCCAAGCGCGGCGGCAAGCCTCTGTTCACGCCCTGCACGCCCAAGGGCGTCATGGTGCTGCTGGAGGAGGCCGGCGTGCAAATTGCAGGCAAGAACGCCGTCGTGCTCGGCCGCAGCGACATCGTGGGCAGCCCCGCTAGCTACCTGCTGAAGAACGCCGACGCGACCGTCACTGTCTGCCACTCCAAGACCGCCAACCTGCCCGACATCGTGCGCCAGGCCGACATTGTCGTTGCTGCCATTGGCAAGGCGCAGTTCGTCAAGGGCGACTGGCTCAAGCCCGGCGCCGTTGTCATCGATGTGGGCACCAACTTCATCCCCGACTCCAGCAAGAAGAGCGGCCAGCGCCTAGTCGGTGATGTCGACTACGAGTCTGCCGCCGAGGTCGCCTCCCAAATCACCCCCGTCCCCGGAGGTGTTGGTCCCATGACCATTGCTATGCTGCTGCAGAACCTCGTGGATTCCGCCGATGCCACCTTCGACCGCCAGACAAAGCGCAAGATCACCCCGCTGCCCATTAAGCCTGAAGACCCCATTCCCTCCGACATTGCTATCTCACGCAAGCAGCACCCCAAGCACATCACAACCATCGCCAAGGAGGTCGGCATCCTGCCCCACGAACTGGAGCCATATGGTGCCACCAAAGCGAAGGTCGACTTGTCTCTGCTGAAGCGTCTTGAGCACCGCAAGAACGGTCGCTACGTCCTCATTGCCGGTATTACCCCCACTCCTCTTGGAGAGGGCAAGTCCACAACCACCATCGGTGTAGCACAGGCATTGGGCGCACACCTTGGCAGGATATGCTTCGCCAACGTCCGTCAGCCCAGTATGGGACCTACATTCGGTATCAAGGGTGGAGCTGCCGGTGGTGGTTACAGCCAGGTCATTCCCATGGACGAATTCAACCTCCACTTGACTGGTGACATCCACGCCATTACAGCCGCCAACAACCTGCTCGCTGCCGCAATCGAGACCCGCATCTTCCACGAGAATACACAGAAGGACGCTGCCCTGTACAAGCGGTTGGTACCTGCGAAGAAGGGTGGACGCGAGTTCGCACCTGTCATGTTCCGTCGCCTGAAGAAGCTCGGCATTGACAAGACCAACCCCGATGACCTGAACGAGGAGGAGATCACCAAGTTCGCCCGCCTGGACATCGACCCTGAGACCATCACATGGCGCCGTGTCTTGGATGTCAACGACAGGCATCTGCGAGGCATCACCATTGGCCAGGCACCCACCGAGAAGGGTCAGACCCGCGAGACCGGCTTCGACATCTCCGTCGCCAGTGAGTGTATGGCCATTCTCGCGCTCAGCAACGACCTTACGGATCTTCGCGAGCGTCTCGGCCGCATGGTTGTCGCCAGTTCCCGCAGAGGTGAACCAGTCACCTGCGACGACATCGGTGCTGGTGGTGCTCTAACTGCCCTCCTCCGCGATGCCATCAAGCCCAACATGATGCAGACCCTGGAGGGAACCCCTGTCTTCGTCCACGCCGGTCCCTTCGCCAACATCTCTATCGGCGCGTCATCCGTCCTTGCCGACAAGCTCGCACTCAAGCTTGCCGGTACCGAAGCTGGCGAGAATCACGACGAGAGGACCGGTTTCGTCGTCACAGAAGCTGGATTCGACTTCACCATGGGCGGCGAGCGCTTCTTCAACATCAAGTGCCGCTCCTCCGGCCTCGTCCCGGACACCGTCGTCATCGTCGCAACCGTCCGCGCCCTCAAGGTCCACGGCGGCGGTCCTGAGATCAAGCCCGGCGCTCAGCTCCAGGAGTGCTACCGCACCGAGGACATCGACATGCTGCGCAAGGGCTGCATCAACCTGAAGAAGCACATCGCGAATGCGCGCTCTTACGGCGTCCCCGTCGTCGTCGCCATCAACAAGTTCGCCACAGACACCCAGGCCGAAATCGACGTCATCCGCGAGGAGTCCCTCGCCGCCGGCGCCGAAGATGCCATCCCCGCGAACCATTTCGCCGAGGGTGGAAAGGGCGCCAAGGACCTCGCGGAGGGTATCATCAAGGCCTCCGCGCAGCCTAAGGACTTCAAGCTGCTGTACAATCTCGACAACACCGTGCAGGAGCGCATGGAGGAGATTGCGAAGAAGATGTACGGCGCCTCTGCTGTTGAGTTTAGTGAGCTTGCGCAGAAGAAGGTTGATACGTACACCAAGCAGGGTCTGGGTAACTTGCCTATCTGCGTGGCGAAGACGCAGTACTCGCTTTCTCACGATCCGGCACTCAAGGGCGCGCCGGAGGGCTTCACTGTTCCGATTCGCGATGTTCGTATGGCCGCTGGTGCTGGGTACTTGTATGCGCTGGCTGCTGATATTCAGACTATTCCTGGTCTGCCTACCGCTCCAGGGTACCTCAACATTGACGTTGATACCGAGACTGGTGAGATCGACGGCATGTTCTAGATGACCAAGCGCAGCAAGGTCCTTGGGAGCCTTACGAGTCCTACGAGATCGTGGAGGTAGTCACGTGGTAGAAGAGGATGTTTTCAACAACTTGACGTTCTTCAGCATATGGCGTTTACAGGATGGGGTTGGGATATGATATTGTAGCGATATTCAACACTTGGATGCATAGCATGGGGAGGTCTCCAAACATCAACCAGATAGATCTCAAAAAGGGAAGAAGAAAATGATACTCATAATCCGTTCATAGTTCTGTGATTACCTCCACGCTTTAGTCTATGCATCAATGCTGTCTCACTGAAGTTCTAGTTCCGTTGTCTCTTACTGAACACCGAATACCTCCAGACTGCCATGACGGACATGGGAATCGCAAATTGCAGATTCCTACTTTAGACACTCCCTCCTCTCAGCGACCACTGAGTACCTCCAGCCTCCCGCTTCGACTCGTCTATCCCTCCGTTAGCCCTGTCCTCCAACCTCGACTCGCTTCTTGACACAAACACCACTCCCCATTCTTCACCACAGACCCAGCCCAAGATCTCATCACAAAGCTCCCTGCTTCGCGTTTCCTTCCTCTCCCACTTTGATTCAGTATATATTCTTTTCAATCCAGCTACCTTACATAATCACTACCCTATCCGTTATGGTCTAGTGGCTAGGATACATCGCTCTCACTACTTGCGAAGTGCCGATGTGGCCGGGGTTCGATTCCCCGTGACGGAAACATGTTTTTTTTGACTTTTTTATTTTTTAATAATCGCTTCGCGGATTCCTACCTCCGACAATCCACTGTTTCTCGCGCCCCCGGATGTGCACCACCAGTTTACCTGCGCGATTCAGAGTCATCAGCATGCCGATGTTGATCAAGCTGCGCTGCTTCTTGTCGAGACCTGGTCATGTCCATGCGTGTCCCCAACACCATTCGGTCACGAGCTCTTGACCGGCTCGTGAGAATTCTGAGGACCCGTTCTCGAGTGCTTTGTTGACGTACTCATCATCGATGACACTTCTTCGCACCTATATCCAGGACATGTGGGCCAGCATCTGCTGAGCTATTCCCTAGTCCTTTTGTCTTTCATTCGAACATACCATGTCGCACTGGATGGCGTCTCTTTAAACAAGATAGATGTCTACATAAGCTCGATACCATAAAATTCCCTCAACCTGGCTCAAAGCTCTTCTTGGACCTCTTCAATTACTGTCTTCGTACACGCTCTATCATGCGGTCACTTTACTCTTCTAGAACCTCAGTTCGTCAAACCTTCGCCTCTCGAGGCGCGTAGAACAGTTCGGTGTTTAGCCCCCCTCATTCAGCATAGAGACAGTGGCGTGGACAAATTAACCCGCATCTTGCTCGATCTTAGCCTAAGACGAGATCTTGGACGATATCCACTGCCAATCCAAAAGCACACTGAAAACAGACGACCTATCATAACGGAGCCAGATATTATAAAGAACGTTGCCAAAGGTGGCTTAGCACCAGATGATATCGACTACGTCATCTACTCGCATGTCAGCTTTTGCTTCCCATCTTGTTTCCGCCAACTAATAAGCAGTAGGTACATTGGGATCATGTAGGCGAACCGCGCGACTTCCAACTCTCAACCTTCGTTGTCGGCCATGGGCCACTCACGCTGCTAGCTGCTACATCTCCTAAGTTTCGCGGGGGTCACTCTGTCTTCGAACCTGATCTATTACCGGAAGAACGGAGTATCGAGTTATCTGATCCATCTAGCGACAGTCTCAGGAACCAAGATTCCGCCGTAGCACCAGGAACATTGAACTTCAACGCCCCATGGCGCCCACACGGCTCTATCCCACAAACTATCGACCTCTTCAACGACGGTTCACTTCTACTCGTGAATGCCCCTGCTCATCTGTCTGGCCACATCAACCTACTCGCATGAACTTCAGATAACCATCAGATCTACCCAGACGATGATGCATGCCATGATCGACGATTTCTGACTGGAGAAAAAGAAACCGATGAATGGACTGACGCTGAGGGTCATGTTTGCTGTATACATGCCAATCGCGAACAAGCTGAGGAGACTATCGGGAGAATTAGGGTGCTGGAGAAAGAGAGTATTGGGGTTATTTTTGCGCATGATTTTGAGTGGGAAGATGAGTCGAGGAATAGGTCAAAATTCTTCGGTGTTGAGTGAAAACGTGGCTCCTGCCTTATCTGCGCTTCACCTTCACTTACAGGAACCCGCCAGCGTCGGCGCCGCGAATCCGCATTCCGCCTCCAACTCCCACCGATCCCAACTTTTCTCCAGAAACACCTCAGCCTATCTGCAGTCAAAGTCGAAAGTTGCGTTCTTGAAAACTGGGAGGGCCTTGGCGAGGTCAAGGAGATAGGGTCGATGTGAAATTGTATCCAGCTTACAATCTTTATGCATCTCCATTACAACTTCAAGTTTCAGTAGTATCGACTCAGCCGAATGTGAACTCTTTACAACACTAACATGCACTCTACCATGTAAGCATCTTCCAGGAAAACTGCTCGAGTTGCACCTAGTAAAAATAAATTCTGGGGCTTCCTCGTGCAGACTTCGCCGGAGAACCACATGTAGGGCGGTAATCCAACGGTATTCTTCAGAAGCGTCCTCAAATTTTACTGTTCTGTTTATGTCAAGTCTATTCTGCTGCACACTTCATACATATCCTGATCCAGCTTCCGCTTTCCGCTTTCCAAGCTGCCATGTCTACGTTGCCGCTATCCCCAAACAACACCAAGTGTGGTTTACCTTCGACAGCTTCGAACAGTTCGTCAGGCAAGACTTCCGAGTGCGCAAGCGCGAAGGCAACATGAACGTCAACACGGCGATTTGGTATTGACAGATGGATTTCCATCATCCCTTCTGTTCTCTGCACTGGATACCCCGCTTCAACATTGTTATGGCGCATGTTGTCGCCGTCACCGGCATGCTGGAGAGTTTCAAGGGCGATCCTCTTTACCCTTTCGTTGTGGCACTCATCAACGCATTCCATGAGTCAGTCACCAAGCAAAACGACTTCGAGTACAAGCAGCGTTTTTCTCTCGATCTGGGTCTCCGGGTCATACGACTACATCTACTGGGGCAAGAAGGGTAGAACAGTGATGAACTTCGCCATCAAGACGCTTGAGCGAACTCCTCTCGTGGAGGCGTTCGATCGCGAATCAGGGATGGGTAACTTCTGGGACATTCTGCAGTACGAGAAGCCGAGGAATAGGGCAGAAGCTTGGTGCGCAATGGGCTATGCACTACGTCATGTACCTGGAGCGCATCGGCAAGACCATTGAGGTTGACGACAAGCGCATCGAAGCTGATTACTTGTTGAAGACTAATTTGCTTGTGCAGCATTTTGCGAGTGGGGATTTGGATGCTGATGCGGATCGGGCTGCAGAGAGCGCTTTCGCTGAGCCGCGCATTCAGGCGCTCTTAAGGGATGCTCCTCCGGTGCAGAAGTGCCCAAATAATACGAAGAAGGAAGATATGTGGCTGGACCCAGACGAGGCTTTGGAGATGTTGAGGGAAACAGAGATGGTGAGAAAAGCGATGAAGGAGGAAGAGGAGAAGAAAATGCAGAAGGCTTTGCAGGACATGGCGGGCTTGAGTATCTCCTCGATCACTCTTGGACAATGAAATGTCCAGTAATTCTGTGCGTTGAACTCGCAGCTTACTTTCGGAGGTTAGATGACCATTCTCTTTTTTTGTAGTACTCTAGCAGGCGTTCTTGGAGCCCGAACCATACCCCTAGGTACATGATAGTTTCTTGAGAACAGATATAGAAGGTTCCTCGATGGGCCAAGACATAACTGCTAGATCAGCGGTGCGAAGTGCTAAAGTTGCTGGGAACATTGTTCGTCCCCACGTTGCAGAAGCAGCCTTGTCAATGTCACGCCCTGCTAACACCTTGTGATTGAGCAAACCTGCAATGCAGCCTTGGCTCTGTCAAAACGTCCCGATAGACGCGTTCGAAACGCGGCACATCGACAATTACCACCGCAGTAAACCGCTCCAGACCGAACCTGATTCCGTCGGTCAACGTCGGGATCCAATCACGCAGGGTCGAACAATCAGTCGCCTCAATCAAACCACCCAACCACTCCATGTGTGGCAGCATCGAAAGTTGCATCTCGGAGAAAGGTACGTAATTCTAACGTGAATAGTGCAAAGCTGCGGCCAAGAACGGCCAAGCTTACGCTTCTACAGGTTAAGCAAGCAATTAAATAAAGAATCAACGACAAACGAAATCCACTTCAAGGGAACGAATTTGCTAAGATTTTTCTTCCAAGCACGCTAGTGAGTAGCACAGCCGTTGGCATGGGTCCGCTATGCTATCTTCAGTCTAGCAATCTCGCTTACCATACTGCGAGTGGAAAAGCTGCCGCGACGCATCACAAGGGTTTGCATGCCTAGTCAGGCCTAATGCTTCTCGAAGACTTCTCGTTACAACACCGAAATCATCGTGACCACAAAGTGAGGCCAACCATGTAGCGCTCAGACTCTGTAACGCGCGCCCGAAATGCCGACCTGTGCGCTCGTTCTCCACGGGCAGAGATAACGGAATCTGTTATGTCAATTCCATTACTCCGGTAAGGTTGCGGGGGAACCTGCTCAAATGTATATGTACCATGGGGCACCTGTAATCATGCGGAGGGAGATAGGTTCTTTGTTTCGTCACCCTGTCTGCAGTCTCTCGGTCCTCTAGTTTCCGGTACCGGCCAATCTCAGGACCATATTGTTTGGACTTTTCAGGCCTGCAGTTGTCCATCACACTGACACTCTCCGACCACGACAATGTCCGACCAAATCACCACTGGATCCCCCAAGCACGAAAAGAATTACGAAAACTCTGACATGGCTGACAACAACGTCTTCGGCGAGGGCGAGGTCTGGGACTCCCAGCGAACGAAGCAGATCGCCAAAGATGGTGACGCCCACTTCCACCGCCTGGGCTGGAAGCGTCTCGCAGTTGTCACTATCGTTGAGGCTATCGCCCTTGGCGCTCTTTCCCTGCCTCAGGCATATGCGACCCTCGGCATGTTCCCTGGCGTTTTCCTCACAGTCACACTCGGCTGTATTGCCATCTTCACCAGCTACATTGTCGGCCAGGTCAAGCTCAAGTACCCGGAAATCGCATCTTACGCTGATGCCGGACGTCTGCTCTTCGGCCGCTTCGGCTACGAGCTCTTCGGTGCCGCGCTCGTCCTCGAACTCGTCATGGTCGTCGGTTCGCACGCTCTGACCGGAAGTATCGCGCTCATCAACATCAACGGCGGCCACGTCTGCTCCATCGTCTTCTCCGCCGTCTCCGCTATCATTCTTCTGATCCTCGCGATCCCACCTTCCTTCTCCGAGGTCGCCATTCTGGGTTATATTGACTTCGCCTCCATCCTGATCGCCATCGGCATCACCATCATCGCCACGGGTATCCAGGCCGGCGACAAGACCGGCGGGATGTCCTCTGTCGACTGGTCCGCCTGGCCCAAAGAAAACCTCAGCTTCTCCGAAGGCTTCGTCGCCGTCTCCAACATCATCTTCGCATTCAGTTTCGCCATCGGCCAGTTCTCCTTTATGGACGAGATGCACACGCCCACAGACTACATGAAGTCTATCTGGGCATCCGGCACGATCCAGATCTGCATCTACACTCTCACCGGTGCTCTGTGCTACGCGTTTATTGGCAGCGACGTGCAGTCCCCTGCGCTTCTCTCCGCCGGCCCGCTGATCTCCAAGATCGCGTTCGGAATCGCGCTGCCGGTTATCTTCATCTCGGGTTCGATCAACACCACCGTCGCACTGCGCTACATCCACGGCCGTATGTTCAAGAACTCGGTGCTCCGGTACATCAACACCGTCGCGGGCTGGGCGTCGTGGATCGTGCTGGTCGTCATCTTCACGATCATCGCGTGGATCATCGCCGAAGCGATTCCCATTTTCTCCGACCTGCTGTCGCTTGCGTCCGCGCTGTTCGTTTCGGGCTTCTCGTTCTGGATTCCAGCGGTGATGTGGTTCCGCCTGCTCCGTACTGGAAGTCCGTTCGCGAAGGAGAATCTGGTGACGAGCGCTGCGTGCTTGTTGGCCTTCATCATCGGTATTGTGACGCTGGGAGCTGGATCCTATGCTACGATTGCGGATATCATCAAGCTTACCACAAATGGTAGCGCGCATAGTCCTTTCACTTGCCGATCGACCTAACTAGAGGATGAGATTAGAGCTCTTTCATGTTAATGCATAATGTTCCCCACTTCAGCCATGCGGTTTCTCGTTTACTACGTGACTTTGTTGATCATATTTGTGATACCATTGGAATTCGGGGTTTTCTACACTACCTTCTAATTCTGTCATATTCAAATCATGAGTCGAACTTGACGCGGCCACCTATACTTACTGGAGTAAAATCAGTCTCTTTTTTTTTTTTTTTTTTTTTTTTTTTTTTTTTTGAAGAACTTGGACATTCCATGCACCCGTTGCTCCAGGCAATCAGTGTCATATGATGAACAGCTTCCGTGGTAAGCGAATAAACAAGCGTGATCGCATTCACCGCCAAATGTGTCCTGATCCATATCTGAAGATGCCGTTTGGCCCTCAGTTCGGAGGATAAATCTTTGTATTTTAGATAGTGTTTTTTTTTCATCCTTCTAAACCCACCACTCTTTTCCGTAGGCGTCGACAGCTTTGTGCATATCGTGTGCATTAAAGAACTGTTGCAACCGTACGGCTCCGATATATCTTTCGAGCCAATTGAGACCTTCCTCTGCACGTTCAGGGTAACGGAGCCGCTTTCATCCGCAGCTTCAAGCTGGCTAGGGACCGAGGACGTTTGGCGCGGCGTTCGTGGAGTTTGTCAGCGGCATACGGAGATGGATGTCGTCGGCGGTAGAGCTCGAGGCGGATTTGAGCATCTTCTGACTCCTGATAGCCCATCGTCCGTCCGCTTCGTATGTACGGCTCGTATGCGACGCTCATGGTAGCCTTGCGGTGGTTCCTGTGCTCAGGTATGCGCGGCATCCGTGGACCCGTAATACCTTGGGCAGCTTTCTGGTTCGCATTTATCTGCTCCTGCTGGTGAACATTTATGAAGAGCGCTTTCCAGTCTACGGATCTCCTCGGTAGCTGAGTGCAAAAGCGAACGGGGAGGTGCACGTCGCTCCCGCTGATGTTGTTAAGACCGCAACCTATGCGAGTGATGGGTGCTGAAAGAACTCGATGGCTTTCCAGTTGCTGCATATGCATCTGCACCATTAAACAAAAGCCGTGAAAGTTGTTAGGAGGTAGCAAGAAATGATTGGGTTGCCATGTTATGGGGTTGCTTGTGATTCTCGCACGAAAATATGCCCAATTGTGAAAGTCTAAAGCCGAGTAAACTCGCACTCGTATTGTTGGAAACTGTCCCCTGTGGGGTCAGCGTTGTAGGAAACTGGCCATATGATGACGGTCTCTTGGAGTTTTGTATGGAGGAACAGAAAGTCGATTTCGGTGCGGAAGAACCTCTACACCTGGCGAAAGACCATGTATAGGAAAACGTTGTCATCAATCGCGCTGAGAATCACAACAACGATCTCTGCGGAGAGTGCTTGCATGATCGAACGTCGATTACGGAAGTGCGTTGGCGCACAACGAGGTGTCGAGAAGAAGGTAATTAGGACCGTGGAACCAGAGGACGACAGGAGAGAGCATGTTGATTTAGGGAAGCAAAGAGTCCAGGCTTATAGTGCGGTCCTACTTGTACGGCATATCTAGTCTATAATCGTTCGGCAAGTCTAGCATCCAAAGTAGCGTCCAGTCAGTAAGTCTGTCAGTCCCATCACAGGCAAATCGAATGGTGACCGGCACCTAGCATTACAAGGTCTTTTATTGTCGCGCGCAGTACGCGTTGGCGATGGAGCCAAAGAGGAGTATCTATCCTGCCAAACGCTAAGAAGTAATCTATATATCGCCAGGACACCGTCTATGCGTCGACCGAGGCAGGTGTATTGCCTTGCTTGAGTGCCTCCAACTTCTCAACCTGCCTCTTTAGCATAACAACAGCGCCTAAACTGATTGTCCGCAGGCCGTCACGCTCGCCCTCTCCGCCGGAATTGGTGCTGCGCTCGACCACGTCCTTTGCTGCGTCGATAGCTTTATCGAGAAGCTTGGGTGCGTCAGGCGCATCGCTCCGGTACAAGTACTGCAGCTCGTGCGCAAAGGGCGCGATGTCATTACTGAGTGCGTGGTTGATGAAAGCTCTTGCACGGAAATACGCGCGCTCTGTGTACAGCGCAGAGCTGAGTCTTGTCTCGGGCGCCGCACGCTGAACGTCATAGCCAGCTTCGTTGTAGTATGGATCCTTGACAAGCACTAGCCCCATTATCGATACAAGGGCTTGCAGTAACGTGCTCTTCGCGGGGCTCCAGCTCTCGTTTCGCTCATCTGTGTGCCATGTGCCCAGTAAGCTGAGACAGATCTTGCCGTCCTCGTATAGGTTGGGGTTGACAGGCCCGTTGCCATTTGTCCAGCTGTGGAAGAAGGCCTCGGGCGGTGCTTGTGGATATGAGGAGCCGAGGTGGAAGTCGATGACGAAGGGCGCATACTCGTAAGGCGTGTCGCTCGGGCCAATGATCAGGACCCGAATAAGGTCGAGGCGCGATTCCCAGGTGCGGACGAAGATGTTCGGTGGCAGAGAGCTTTGCAGGATCTTGTGCTCCTTCGCGATGCGGCGCATGAACGCTGTTGAGGAGGCCGATGTGTTGTGCAGGTAGTGGTGACTTGATGGTGGTGGGGTGTCGAGGATGAGGAACGGTGCCGGTGCGTCTGTTGATGACTCTGCGTTGTCCTGCAGCTCAGGTGCTGCACCGTTTGTTGCGTCGAGTCCCGAGTTTGTTGGTTCTGAATTTGCGACAGGGTCTGGTGTTGTCTTTGAAGTGTCCACACCATCCACAGGTTCGAGATCAGGCATTGAGGTATCATCGTCATCATCCTCTTCTGCCTCTTCCTCGTCTTCTGTTGACCAGTCTGCCTCGTCCCCAACGGGCGGCTCACCCTCCATGCCTTCGTACTCAATCCACATCTCGTTGAACGAAGCGGAGTCAAAGTCGGACATGTCTTCTTCCGAGTCTTCGATCGAGTCGCCGTCCAGCTCTTGCATGTTGAGAAACTCGTTGTCCATGTCAGTGCTGTACGCCAAGGTGACGCTCTCGTACACCACGCTAATGTCGATGACGGGATTGGCAGCACCGAGACGGACTGTGACTTTGCCATCAAGGCCGAGGTCAACGACCTCACCGAACCAATCAGGTCCGCTGACACGTGGCATATGGCCTTGTACACCAGAGGGATGGATGAGAACGAAGTCGCCCCTTCGCCGTGTCAAGGCTGGAGACGAATATATGTCGTAGAGGCTGACATCCTCGGTGGTCTCGGATAGTTCGCCAGTCGTCGCAGGGCGCAGTAGATCAGCGCCAAAGAACTTGATGTCGTGGTTCTTGAACCAGCGGACGCTTGCTATCCGGTCTCGCGACTTCACTGCCTGGACCACGCCTACTTTCGAGGGCTCCTTCATCCATTGGCCGACTTGATCAGGCAAATCGCTGCTCCTGTCTTCCTTGCTGCAAATGATCTCAGCTGGCCACACCTCATCGTCGTCCTCGACATTCGGATCTGGTATGAGCGACGAGCTAACGTCTTCGGTGATGGTCAGGTCTTGCCATTGCACTGTGACCTGGGTGTGTGTTTGCATAACGAGAAAGACGTTCATGTCGTACCCGAGTGTTTCTGTACGAGATAGTCGGGTGACCTTGCCCTGCGGATATCCGTTCGGTAGTGTGTGGGTCCCATCGTACTTGACAGCCGCGCCTGCAAGGTCCTTGAAGCGTACACGGTCGCCAACCGCTACGTCTGTGACGTGGTAGGTGCGATCTGCTCCGTTGGCTGATAGTGGAAGCGTCGATGCGGCGCCAGCGGAGGCATCATATCGGCAGAAACTCGGGCTCTCGAACTCGTCTCGGCCAAGGTTTGCGGGCGGCTCCTCTGCTGCGTACTGTGTATCTTGGGCGCCGATGCTCCTTGCCAGCCACTGTACGTCGATCTCGAGAGGCCTTGTCTCGACGATCATGCCCTCAGGCTTGATGTTCGGGTCGAAAGCACCGTACCTCCAGAGGCCTCGCCGCAGGTTGCCCTTCTTCGTGCGTACAGTGTCGCCTACGCTAAGGCGCTCGACTGTGATCTCATCGTGCTCCAGCTCTCCGGGGTCTTCGACGACGACGACCGAGTTGTTCGACAGCTTGACAGCGACTTCGTCGTAGACGTTCTCGATGCGCCCCACCCAGTCGCCGTAGACAACGATGGCGCCCTCGACATAGTCGTGGACGTTGAGCAGCTCGTTGGCGGGCACGTTCCGTATCGAGAGGTCGTCGGTAGTTGCTTGCGTGATTTGCCCGCCTTGAAACTGGGTTGCTGGGAAGAGAGTGCAGACGGCCTTTGTGCCGATGACTGTGCCACTCATGTGGTCCTCCGCCCTCCTCTTGACCACATCGCCCACGTACAGCGCCCGGTCGAGTAACTGCAACTGCGGCTCCGGTATGAGCTCTGTCTTCAGCTGCGTCTGCCACGATACGAGCACTGTGCCTCGTGGTGGGATGCCGGTCTTCATGAACTTGTGGAACTCTGCCGGCGGGATGTCGGCGTGGCGTTCGATGTCCTCGCCATAGTCGCGCTGTGGCCGGGGCTCGTGGGTGTCGACGTCTGTGAAGGAGCGGTCTACAACGCCTACGCTGTATTTGTCGTCCTTCAGGCCGACGGTGTCTTCGACGCAAAACACGACATGGTGGGTGCGTTGCATTGATAGAGCCGCGGCGAGCAGACTGCGCCGACGGGACGGGCGGCTTTCGGGGCCGCTTTCGGAGGGTTGCTGGTCGGAGGGTTGCTGGACGGAGTGTTGGCGCGAGGCGAAGACGCTGTCGGCTGGGAAGAAAGGCACGAGATTGTTTGACAGTGGCTGCGATGGTGGGGCGTCGGAGGCTGCGGGGCTGCTTGTCAGGAAGCGGTCTTGGAACAGGCGCGATAGGAAGCCCTCAACGAGGCCGCGGTCCTGGTCGGCGGTCGGGTCGGGGATGGGAGTCGGGTGTCTGTCAGAGCGGGAGTGTTCGCCATCCATCGCAGAGTCGCTGCAGGCCAGCAGGCGTGCATGTGAAGAAAGGCGGCGTCGCTTCTGGCGGATAGGGCTTAGCGTGCAGCAGGGATGGCGCGCCTTCCCCATCACCTCCGTCTTGCCCGCAAACACCCCCCGCCGTGATACGTGGAGCGTCGAAATGGGCCATTGAGCTGTCTGACGCGTGACGACATACAGCCAAAGCTCAGCCAGCATGGCCGACCCCCTCTACGAGCTCCTCGTACCCTACTTGGACGCCCACGCTGCACAGCAACGGCGCTCGTCCACCGATGCTGTCACCAGTGCGTACCTCGCCCGCCTGACGACGCTCCCGCTCGATGCCCTCGCGTCCTCCGAGCAGCAGTCGCTGTCACAGAGCTCGCAATCAGTCCTGCGGTCATTGCAAGCTCTGTCCAAACGCTCCCACAGGCCAATCATAGCCTCGACCGGCCACCTGCTGCGTCTGCGAGACACTTTGCCACAGATCGGGCACAATGCAGCGACCATACAGGCCGAGCTGCCCAAGCTGGAGACAGCTGCACACAAGTTCGCCGACAAGTACAGCAAGAGTGGAGACAACGCCACACTGGACAGACGGAGCAAGGCCATGCTGCTGTCCAGGAACATGGACCGCGTGGCTGATGTGCTGGACCTGCCAACGCTGCTTTCGTCGGCCATATCATCGTCGTCGTCAACGGCTGCCGCCCAAGCCACCGCTGGTACCAGCTCGGTCACATCCAACGCCAACTATGCCTCTGCGCTGGACCTCCACGCCCATATCAAACGTCTGCATGCCCTCTACCCCGACTCGACCCTTGTCGCGTCCCTCGCCGGCCAGGCAGAGCAAGAGATGAAGACAATGACGGCAAACCTCATTGCTTCTCTGCAATCACAAGGCATCAAGCTAGCAGGTGCCATGCGGACAGTTGCCTGGCTCAGACGCGTGGCTCCTGAGCTCGATCAAGCATGGTCGACAAAGCAGACTGGCATCGGGAGCGGTGAGGGCAGTCTGGGTGCTCTGTTCTTGGTATGCAGATTAGGCTGCCTAGAGTCGATGCTCGGCGCACTCGACCCTCTGCGTGAGCTCGCCGGCCACGAGACAGACCGGCGGCTGGGTGGTAGTGCAAAGACCGACGGCGGCTGGTCTGCTGGGCAGCAAACTGACAAGTACTTGAAGAAATACCTCGAGGTCTTCCGAGAGCAGAGCTTCGCCGTCATCTCCATGTACAAAAGCATCTTCCCGTCCGCGCTACCTGCTCCGGGGCAAGATGATGCTGCACCCGCTGTCAAGCCTGTAGCTGAGTCGAACCCACTACAGCCCATCCCCTCAGCTCTGGCAACCTTCCCGCTGCATCTTGTGGAGATGCTTTTCGACACATTGCGCGAGTACCTCCCCAACGTTCAAGACCGCTCGGCAAGGGACTCGCTCCTAACACAAGTCTTGTACTGCGCTGGCTCGCTCGGCAGGCTCGGTGGTGATTTCAGCATGATGATCGCGCTGCTGGAGGAGGACCTCAAGGCCGAGCTGGAAGGCCAGGACGAAGCAAGCCGTGGGGGACAAGAGGCAGAGGAAGAATGGGTGGAAGTCATGAAGAAGCACCGTGTACAAGCCTCCAGGCTGGAACTACTGGCTTCCGGTGTAGGCACGGGCAGGACGAGTAGTCCCGTCGAAAGAGTTGTCAGTCCGCTCAAATGAACTCGGTAGCCGCTTTCACTTCGCATCAACCTGCTCGACTACCGCCAAGCCTGCTAGGTGCGCGGTCTGTGCTTTGCCACTCCTTCGGCCAACACCTTACTGCGCAGCGAAACTGAGATTCGTTGCGACCGACTCGTGTTGATCATGCAGACGAACATCACGCCAGGCTCAACAGCAGCTCCTCGAGCGCCATCGACGTGCTGTCGAGCTGTTGAACCGCAAGCTCAGCATCATCCCCAAGCGCGTCTCTCCGTCAGGCGACTACCCCCACGATCACCGAGTTCTGCGAGAATGCCAAAACACTCCATATCCCCAGCAATCCACCATAATACCAGATCTGGTTCTTCTTCCCGGAGCACGACAAGCTCATTACCGCCGCCGGCATTGCGCGCAAGAAGGAGGTTGTCGCAGGTGCTATGAATCTGGATGTCGCTAAGGCCATTTGGTTCTGGCAGCTCAACCGGACGCACGCATTCGACTCTCACTACGAGCAAGTACGCTGGAACATCCTCTTTGCTACGATTGTCGGCGCGTCGTCCAACGCCTCACAGCACTGTAATCAGAAGGCGCGTGAGTTTGCTGCAGCAGCGCTCGTGCGCGCTTGGATAGAGACATTGCAGCAAGCAGACAACATGTTCGTAGCGCGCAAGTCGTTCTTAAAGTTGTGGGTAAACGGCGCGTATGATCTCCCTCAATAGAGTCCTGGAGGCAGACAACGAACGAAGGCTGTGGTCAAAGATCTCTTCAACAAAGTTCCAGACCTGCCGTTCCCTACGGTGCAATTCTTGGGAGAAGGTAGCGCAGCAGCCACCGGAAGACGCCTCGAGACATGGGTCTGCATGTGCGCTACAGTGGTACAGACACTTGGGCAACACGGTGAAAGAAACGAGAGCAGGGCAAACGAGGAAGGCAGAGCAAGACTTACTTACATCGGCGATGGATGGCATGGGCGTACGCCACGTTCGATCGTGCCTGTCAGATGAGCTGTTCGAGCGCCCGCATGTTCAGCTCCTGATGTGCGACATCGACGAGAACATCATCACCCTTGCGCCACGGCCGGTCATCGAGGAGATAGACACGTGGATGACACATGCTGCTGCTGAGGATCTGATCATGAGCCAGAACACCCAGGTCGAGTCATTGGACCAGCTGTTCGACAAGATGTCATTCTTGACGGACTAAACTAATCGCTCTCCTACTTCAATACCGAGTATGGAGTCTCTCGGTCGCACTGGCGTGCTTCACGGCCACGTCTCAGAACCCGATCAATGCACTTCAAGCATTCGAGTACCTCCAGCTTATAGTTCACAAACGCGAAAAACACACGGCACCAACATTGAATTTTCCAACACCTCACGTGCCACGCATCTTTTCGCTCAAAACCACCCGCACCATCCCTAAACCACCCCCTCACAACACCAAGCCACCCCACAACTCCCGCAACAAGCGGAAGCCCACCCTCCCAAAACTCTTGAACTGCCATTTCCCAAACAACTCCCTCAACTCGCTCTTCGCGCGCTTCTCATGTGCACCCTTGGCTATTTCCTCCCCAATCTTCTTCACACGATCATTGATAGGAAAAATACAATAAACCTCGTACGACGCCACTGGTACCAGAGTTGCTAGCGCCATTGCCCAAGTCTTCCATTGCTCGGCCTGCACTGGCTTTGGCAGACACGATGTCAACGGGGTAGTAAGCACGAGCGAGGCTGCCAAGATGCGCGATGAGGGTTGCAGGTAGTGCAGACCCCAGGTTTACGGGTTGAGTGAATTGTTTGGCTGCGAGGTTGGGCGGGAGGAGTGCGGTTAGGGGGAGGACCCAGAGGGAGAGGCGGGAGGGTAGACTTGGGGATATTAGCACCCGGTATCAAGATCGATGATTCGCGACCCTGCGAGGATTCGAGGCCCAAAGCTTGAGAGTCCGAAACTGAGGTGGGTCACGAAGACGTACCTTCAAGGAAGATGAGTGAGGTCGCAACGGTGATTTGGAGGGCTTGCACGAGGGACGTAAATGTATCGGGGTCCATGTTGCTTGGTTGTGATCATCAAAAATGTGACATGCTTCGTAGCCTCTTTACTTCGCTGCTCCAGCGTAAGTACTGAGTTCACACTTGTTAGGCGTCCGTGAGCTTATTTGCTGAGGCTACTTTCGTTATGCGCATAGTATGAAGAACTATCATCGAAGTGGGGTGGACAGACCAGGTCGTGCCTGAGCAGTTGTGGTCAGGTGCGGTGAAGTGCGCACCGGTAGTGCGGTCGCGAAACGCCGACTTGACGTCGTGGATCTGTGAAGGGAATGTCTCTGATTCGCATTCATCACACCACGATCTTGCGGGTGCGCTTGGTATTTCGGATTCGTGAGGCCTGAACTCCACGATGTTACTTGTACGGTAAAGAGGCCTGCTTCACGATGTATTGCAACTTGTTCGCAATCGTGCTGCGCATCCGCATTCCACGGCGTCCGTGAAGTCAATCATCGCAAGGAAGGTGTTATATCAACGCCGATGCTCTGTTCAGATTCTGCTTTCACATCGCATGCGCTTGCGATGCTCATGAATATTTGATCTAGGCACCTCCTGCTAACCGTTGCAGACACCAAGCATCCAACAACTCTTCGGCGACTCTCCCAAGAGCAAGATCAACATTCTCGTACGCTCACATACCAAGCTCGAAAAGTCCTACCATTCTCTTATCTCAAACAACAACATCCAAGTCTTCGAAGGCAAAATCTCCGACATCCCAATCCTCGTGCAATGCCTCAAGCGTACAAAAGCTGTCTGTCTTCCTAACTGTCGCTGTCACCGACAACATACCCGGCGTCACCATCTCCGCCAACACAAGGATTGGCCGGACATGATGTTCGTAATGTCCGGCGGGCTAACACACGACATACAGAAAGACACCAGCTTAGTTCTGAGCGGCAGCAGACGTCCATCAGTTTCCTAGATTTGGCGGCGGGCATGATTGAGGTTGCTGATGCGGATGCGAGGTGGGAAGGCAAGCCATGTTAGTGTGGTATTGGGGAAGGGGAGGAAGGCGAGGTTGAAGTGGTGGGCGCCGGTGGTGTTGGGGAAGGAGTTGTTGTGTTATTGGGCGCCGTGGTTGTATCGGTGGTTGCCATGAGTAAGGAGAGTCGCACATTCAAGGTCGCAGCGATACCCGGCAACTGTGTGATTCTTTAGCCGTAAACGATGTGGTCAACTCTCACGATACGAGGAGTCCTTCGGTAGTAACTTGGAAGGAGTTGGCCTGCTGCCGGGTACAGACTCTGTCCTGGATCCCTGTGTTCGTAAAGCGGCCTTTTTGAGAGCGCAGAACGCCATTGATCTGGTTTCAGGTCGACGCAAGTGCCGATTGGGTCGGCCTTGGAAGGATGTATGCACACGTGTCGATTAAAGCGGGAAGGCGCACCTGACATGCATGCAGATGCGCGTACAATCTTCAGCCCTGCCCGACCTAGCTCGCTGCAAGACAGCAGTAAGGTTGGCAGAGCTATGGGGCAGGATCAGGAGTTCATGCGCGAGATCTGGTCTTGTCAGATTGAGCACTTCTATCCAAAAAAGGGATGGGCAAGCGCTGCTTGTGGCACAGCGGTAAGTCATCCTGATGCTAACTACAATAGCAGAAATGATAAGCGTGAAGAGAGCGACCAGATCCCTGCTGATCCCCATGACCATCTTTTCACCTCTAGTCATCCTCAGTCTTTGGATCCTAGTACGCCAACGCGGCGGCATTAAGTGGCTCTGTAGAGGCAAAGTGTCGTTATGCTGGATTTGACAACGTGTACGAGCTTTAGCAGAGCGGACCTCCAGCACCATATGTACAAGGACCACCTCAATGGGCACCGCAGCCTTACTATGTCGTACAACCTGTTCAGAAGTGGGAACCGCCTACGGTACCTCAAATGGTGCCTCAAGCACGGAAGACGGATGTCACGACTGGTGAGAGAGCAGTGTTTGGAGAGTGTCGTAACGGTAAGATGCAATTTACGTATAGGTTAGATTGTTGAGCAAATTACTCACACAAAGCATGTTGCCGTATACATGGAACCTTTTTTCGCACAAACTTGGACATCTTCTTGCCTTATAGCACGTACGCGGCAACATTGAATTCGAATCGCCAATATCTGAGAATCCCTAGCTTGATTGCGATATCCGTTCCGAACGGTGATTGTTATGCGTTCGCGATCCTCTGAGGTGTTTGTGAGGACATCTTCGCCATGCCCTTTAGCCACGAGGTTAGAAGTAGCTGAGGGCCCTATGAATGCTCTGGACCGCGATTGTAGCCTCTGCTTTCGTTTCGTCGTCATACTTCAACCGACTGTTACCAAGCCACTCAGCTACGAGCAAAACAGGGGTGCTTCAGCACAGTCGCATGGAATAAGATCGACTTCTTAGTTCAGAGATTGCCTTGCCTAGCCAAAAGGAAAATTTGCGAATACTCCCAAGGTTCAGCAGTCTAGAACTTCTCACCAGAATATGCATGCTCTCTCATCTTGCGCGTAGCGCACACAAAGGCCCCTTCTCAATCTCCTCTAACCTATTAAAAAGAGCGCCCACTGTGCTCAGACCTAAGCAGCAAGTAGTCATCCACTGAGGCTTCGAATCGCCGAAGATCAAAGTGAAAGTGACTTCACGTAATGCGCTGAGCTCATTTTGGCGTCTGCCTTGAGTGTTGCGCACTCGCTCGGCTCTCTTTTGCACAGAATCATCAAAATCGACTTTGTCGAGCGTTCGGTCACAGTCTCCATCGCGCGGCTGTGATTCAATATTTGGAAAAGATCGATGATTTGGATTATGATTTTGTGTTCGATTTTGCCCATGTCCAAGTCCTAACCGAGAGCTCTCAATTCGAGCCTCGGCCTTCTTACGCATCGCAGCCAGTCTGATTGAACTTTGAGATCGCCGAAGCATCAGAGCCAAAAGCAACAGCACGGTCAATCCAAGCCTAATTATTCAGTTAGTACATACATTATCTCCAGAAGGGCTTAGGCAACTCACATCGATGCTCGCAGGAGCAGGCTGACGCTCCCTACTCAGAATGTACAATGTGCTCCAATTTTGTGTCTGCACAATGGCCCAATCAACGGCATAGTCTAATAAACCCATCAACTTTTCACTCATTGAGTCAACAGGGGTTGGAGATCATACCTTGTACAATGTAGTTCGGTCCCGGGCACTCAGCATCAGGTGTACCAGGGAAGCTGACCACAAATGCACCGCCAGCGCCGTATGCGGCATCGACTGGAGTCGCCGTGCCAACGATGTTGATGGGCTGGGGGCCTACTGTTGCTGTGTTGAGCACACGAACGGTGCCGTTGTCCTTCGTTTTCATTAGCTTCCTTTCTCGATGATTAGGGAAACAGCAACGTACGTTCAGCTCGTAGTTAGCAGTAACGCAGCTGGCGCCTGATGTTGGGCCGAAGGGTGTGCCGGCAACTTGGTACCAGGTTCCTAAATAGGCTTCGAGGTTGAACTTGGGGTCTGGTACGGGGTAGAAACATGAACTATGAGATGTTAGGTCGCTGTTCGGGTTTGGTTGATGCTATCCTCACCCGTCATATTGCGCAGCTGCAACATTTGGTGTTGTGGTAGTCTCATTTGACTGGCGAGGCATCAAAAGGCCTGATGCGACCGAAGTCAAGGCTGCGATGGTGGTTTGAACGCGCATAATGGTATCGGTGAAGGTCCGACAGGAGGGGGCTCTGGGACTGGTAGTATCGTATAGTAATGTGCGGCTCAAGTCTAAGATATTGCTAGAAATACCCTGTGTCTACGCAGACCATTCAAGTTTTATCTACGGTTCGCCCAGAGTAAACTATTACCCCACAAAGACCCCAATTTCCCAAAGAGGAGCGAAGCGCGAGGTGCAAAGTGGCTGGTGAACTATTACCCAACACAACGTCATCTGTGCTTCGCGTCACAACAAGCTACTCCGCTTCCAGACCAAGCAGTCGTCGTAAGTTCACATTGTGATATGCGCCGTGCCGACTTCCTGCTCGAACCAACAGCAGCAATTGAGCGTAAGGAAAGCAGCCGCTTGCGGAGGGCGACAGGCGCCAAGACAGCGGAATCTTGTCCTGTGGCAGTGTGTGGCAGAGGAGGCTGCCAGTAACGTAGGCGCAGGGTTTCTGTTACGCGACTTTACGGTTGCGGGCAGCCGTTGTTGAGCGATCTGGGTTGATGTGAGGTTCAGGTACGCGATCGACGGAGCTTGATGATGACGTACCTGCCGGCTTGGCATGGAACCTGCCACGAACTTGTCATGTGAGACTAAACACTTCTTGACCATTCATCAGCTGATGAGTCTATATCGAAAAGTGTGCAGGACTTTCATCACTTCATCTCACTATAGGCTTCGCTGGATTTTGTTACATCCGCGCTGGTTTGTCGAAGTTTCCTGCTCACTTTTGGCAATATGAAGCTACACATCATTCTCTACACCTATAACACTTTCCTTCACTGCCTCCAGTGCCGAGGAAGGTGCTTCCTCGTTGTGAGTCTGCATCCTTGCGACTAGCTGCTGTAGTCTACAATGTATTACTATCTATATTCTTTTGTGTTTATTCGCGTCGAGCTGTGCTCCAGGGAAACATCGACGAAAGTTTGAATGTTGCTCAACTTCTTCCTTTGCAATTTAGCTCAGTGCAAAGGAATTACCCATTGAGAGCCGAGGCGGCGCCGGCTGGTCGTTCTTTGTTCGTCGTGTCCAACGCTCTTTCACCTCTGCTCCAACTTTTCTGTCAAAGAACAACATTGCTCCCACGGCTGGCTATACCCCACTCGCATCACGGCTTCCAACTACACGCCTTTTACAACACTTTAGAACTAGTGCGCATCATGTCCGGCGTCTATGAGAGCGGATCTGGCAGCCTGCCATTGGCGAAACGCTCACCTGCAAAGCCACTGTCGTGTCCTTACGTACCAGGAGCGACCTTCATCGCACATCGCCACCAGCCACCTGCGCCGTTTGGTACTTACTATTCTTGATGCGAACGACCTAAGCAAAAGGACCTCCAGCGAACAACCCAGCTCGACTGGTGTCTGGCGCATCCTCCTGCTGAGGGGTGCACGAGCTTCGACGACACTTGCTCCTTCACCGTAACATCTGGGATTCGTACTGGCGAGAACTTGGGCGCTCAGCTAGTGCTTACCGATACTGGACTCGTTGCGAAGATCTACGATCCACTGTTTTACTCGTTTCAGGACCAGGATTTTCAAGACCTGGAAGTTGACGTCGCGACTGCTGCCGACTCTGAGTACAGTATCGAAGCTGCCGCCTACTCCGAACTCCAAGGCACGTCAGTAGAAGGCTGCATCACGCCCGAGTATAACGGCTCCTGGACCCTAAACGTTACGGGCGATATTCAGGACGAGCATATCACTCGCCAGGTACGATTGGTCCTTGTCGAATATGTGCCTGGTGTGCGAATGGCGGATTTCGAACCACACAGCCTCACACCAGAGGTGAGAAGAGACATTATGGTCAAAGTCATTGAGGCCGACTACGATATTCGTCGCGCTGGGGTTCGACATGACGATATATCGCCGCGAAACATTATCTTCTCTAAGAGACCAAACACCGCAAATAGAAACTTCCGAATCAGACTAGTAGATTTTGGCCACTCGACTGTGTTCAAAATCCGGTTCGGACGTCCACTACGGTAGGAGCTTTGCAGCCCTCTGTTCAACTGGACTTTGACTGATCAATGGGCCAGTATGGGCTGGCTACCACCCTGCAGCGAGGAGAGTATGAACAAGATGTGGGAGATCTGGGGCGAGGGAAGGGGTGGGAAGTATGCGATGGTGAAGAGGAACCTGAATGATCGGCTAGGAAAGCCATTGAGGCCAAAGCCAACAAGTATGACAAAACGTAATCGTTAAGATGTGCCCATATCGTACCAGGCATAGGGCAGAACCGAACGCAGTCAGCCACATCACCTCTAGGCTTTTTAGAGGCATTCAAGGTCCCAGGTTGATGGTAAAGATCCTTTCACTTGTACGGTGGGATGCAGGTCTCCTCTGAACAGAGTAAGGTAGAGTGAAAGAAGCCATTACGAAGCAAGCTGTAGCATATTCGGAGGCTCTCACCTGTCCATTTGTGGCACTTTGCGATTACGATAACCTTGTCCTACTTAGGTTCGACAAGGAACTGAACATCGCGCTTACGACAATCGTTGAGCGGGCTGATATCCGGAAAGCGCTTCTTGGTTTCTTGATCGAAGCGTGTGAATACGCGGACTTGACCTAAGCATTGAGAGCAGAAGTAGGCGTTCTCGCCGAGTTTGCACTAGCAGAGCTGAAGGAGCCCTGGTTTCATGCATCCGAGGAGGCACTCATGATAGCATTGATGCTCGTATTGGGCAATACTTGCATACGACTGATAAAGATTGTCTATGTCGCTTGCATCAATCCAGAAGACCGCGCAAGCCTTATTCTCTTGTCTTGTTCTGTATGCAAGATCGAGTGCGAGCTGTGTTGTGTGAGGTATGAGAGGGAAGATGACACATAACGATGTTGTTTGCAAGGCAACATCCCAAGATCTTAAGCTTCTCGTGAGTCCCGAAGCCGTCGCAGATTAATACTCGTAACTTCTCGTTAGCCAGCTCTTTGGTTTGCGGATCAAACACGCACATGAGCCACTCCAGGCTGATCTTAGAGTCGTTATAGCCATTTTAAGAATGCGCGTAATGCCATACAGGGGTCGGAAACATAGTCTAGTCGCTGTGATGTGTTGAAGCTGGCCAGATGAGTGGAAGTGGCAATCTCCCGTCGGCGCTTATGCACTCAATTGCAGTCACCATTGTGCGTTTCACACCTGCGCCCCTATAGTCACGCATGTCATCCTTACCTATAAGGACCTTGATAGAGCGGAGCATGCTTAGTATGACGCCGGTCTCATCTATATTGTACACGTTTTCCGGCAGACTGGCCGGATCTTATGGAACCTCCCCAATCACTTCGAACCAGTGTGTGATCTTGCCGTATATGTTATTCTCGTGACGTTTCTAGCCAATCGCCTAGGATTTCCTTGCCTTGAGTTCTGGATGACATTTCTCGAAGGCCCGGGGCCAGTTCTGGCCTGGCGGCTTGCTTGGCCTGTTTGCTGCGGACCGCCGACGAGCTACGATGAGGGCTAGCAAGGGTATGTACTTGATCCGCACAGGCTTCCCAAGACTAGATATCAGCAAGGCATATTGTAGAAGGGTTGATATGATTGAGTTGATTGATCTGTCTGTGAGCTATGGCAAGGATCGATCGGGACTATATAGTAGAAGGGAATAGCAGTGGAGGGATGGGAACCAAACTGAACTAACCGAATGAGCTGGACAATCAGTGCAGCGGACCACTGTCAAACACTGCAACGGACCGCTGGCGAACACATATCAAACAACCGCTTTCTCCTCCTCGAGGGTGAGATACTGCTGGCTCTGGGCCCTTTCCTCTCTGGAACATCGTCCGCGGGCACGATGGTGGAGAGTAGACAGAGGAACATTGGCGTGTTCAGCTAGAGTGGCGTATGTATTGGAGTATTATTGAATTATTAGAAGGACTCGAGGGCGAACCTTGAAGAACTACCAGCATGATAAACAAAGCTAAGCCTAATTAAGTAATCCACACTAGGAGAATCGTGCTTTCCGACAGTATGTTTGAGGTGCGCTGGAAAGGAGGCTCTGCGCCAGCACCTGGCTGGCTCAGTCGATACTGGCGATCGTGAAGATGGAGGATAAGGAGCAAACAATTAAGCATGACATCAGGCAGCAACAGACGTGCCATATTTCTCAAGATAACTCTCATGTGATGTTAAGAGAAAGCTTCTAGAAGAGCACCACAGCACGGTCATCCAGGCACAGCGCGGAATACAGTACAGGTGGCGTGCTTGATAGTTACGGCGTCACGTAAGAGCACCAGGCTGCCGCGCTAAGATACGGCAGTTTGTCCCGACCCCGAGAAACTTTTTGGAGAAAGGCCAAAGGGACTTGAAGTCTCTGGACTTTAGAGCTGTCTTGTTCTTTTGTTAGGCTATTTTTTTAGACCCCGATATCTACAGCCATGCTGTCGGTTGAGATGAAGTAGGGTTTGTAGCGATTGCAGATGTGCGTGCGACAACTGAAACGATCGATAGCAATACCAACAATGCTGTAATTTTCTTGGTGTAGTTGTTTCTAGCCAGGACAAATGCCTGGAGAACGATGCTATGGTAATTCCGCTTCTGTAAGTCTGCGTGGGCAAGCTGTAAACGTGAAATCAGCCAATCCATCTCTTCTTAGGGTGTTTCCCGACGACTCGCGTGCGACGCGTTTCTCAATCTCGAAGCTGTTATGTGAGAGCAATTCATCTTCTCTTCTATCATATCATCACGTTTGTTTCTTTGGCCCTTCTGGAGAACTGGACATTTTCCATCGACCTATTCAAACTCTTCAGTCAAATGATCACGCTTTCACCATATGGGCCCAGGCTCCTGCTACAGCTTGGATGCAGTGCTTCGATTGTCTCATCTCCCCATAGCTACGACTCTCAGGTCGAAGTGGTTGAGGTCTTCCCTGCCGCCCCGCTCTACTACTTACTGTGCCCTGCACCCTCGAACACATGCTGTTTCGACACTAGCAGAACGCCGTCAAGGATAATCTAAAAATTTCACGAGATTGACATATTGTAGCGCAAAACAGCGTCCACATCTGTTGCAAACATTGTGTAAACACGACATTGTGCACACCGACAGTTCTCCGATTGGCCAGGGCCAGAGTCGCTCATTCACAATGTACCTTCACTTCCTGTCTTTTCGCTACCATCGCATAAATGTTGACCTCCAAAATCTCTACAATCCATCAAAGCTTGCACCTTCGCAATCCGCCTAATCAGACGCGACATGGCAACATCCTCGCGCAGCGCGTCTAGCGATTCGCTTTCGCCACCACCCTCTTCCCAGGAAGATGACTTTGGTCCCTATTTCCCTGGGCAAACTCTCATTCTCAAGCGCCACATCCCCGCTCCACCCTGCGGTCGAGATTACTGCGATTTGGACGCCCCGGATTCAGATGTGCCCGACGAAGTCTCAAAGCTCGAATGGTGTCTCGCACACCCTCCTAGGCCAGGTAGTACAGACCTGAACAATACGCGCAAGATCACACTCAAGGCACCGATTCGCACTGGTTATGAGTGCGGCGCCCAGATCTTGTTGACCGAAGATGGGCTTGTCGCGAAGATTTATGATCCACTCTACTACTCTTTCTCTCGAGATTACTGATAAAACTGTAGCAGAATCTTGAGTGAAGCTGTACTCAGTGCTTGTGCTTTCACTACGGTTCGCAAGCTCATGATCCATTCCACAGCCTTTAAAATCCTACCGCACTCTTAGCACAAACCAACTTTCCTTCCCCAGAAGATGCCGATAACCACCTTACTGCAGAGCTTCGACGAAGCACTGCCGGACATCATTATCGTTCCATCAAAGCCTGAAAAGGATTGTTGGCAAACAAAAGAATCCTCCGAGCAAGTCAAGAAAGAGAAGCCCCCGCGGATTCTGATCTACCATGATGGCGCCGGCTACCTGTCCGCGACCGAGAAGTACCTAGCAGCACACGAGTCTTTGCTGAGGGACGAAGTTGCAACGCCGCCGGAGCCGAACCGCTTCGTACGAAACGAGGCTGATGGAGTTGCACACGCCCGCACCAACCTCTTGAATCCACTTATGCGGGCTGTCGACGTCAACGAGGGTCTGGTAGGCAAGTTATTAACAGCGTCAGAGCTTGGAGTTGAGACCCTGCGCGTGGACGTTGGAGTCTTCTACACGGTCAAGGGAGATGAAGGAATCGTCATGATGGTGGAGTTCAAACGAACTGATCTCATCGACAAGGGATCATTCAAGACGATGTGAGCCAAGAGATACCTGCACCGAAAGACCTTGGAGCCGTACAACGACGATATTAGGAAGTACCTACGGGTAAAATCGAACGCGACGAAACAGATCAAGCAGGCCAAGGCGTACGCCAAGCGAGCGAAGTGCCGGTGCGTTGCTCTCTGTGACTACCAGAGCCTGATCCTGCTCCAGTTTAGCGAAGACCTGACGACAGGTGAACTCATGATCGTTGACGAGACGGAGACTACATTTCGCAAAGCCCTGTTAGGCTTCCTCTTGACAGCTATCAGACATTGAGGGATGTGCCATCTGTCTAGCTCTACCACCATAGCTCATTCCTCTTGTGTAGAGCCTTGATAATTCGCAATGGCACAGCAAAGGGGTTGCAGGGTTCTGTGTGTGCTCTGTGTGCTCAATGGGATCCGAAGAGTATCTCCGTGAGCCTTCGAGTGCGTCCAGGATTGCTATAAGACTGAGAAAGCGAAGATTTTGAGAGAACGAGGAGCAATTTGCGTTATCGATGGTGTCGATTTGGAGAACTGGAACGATACGAGGTTGGCTACGCGGAAAATATAAAAGCAATATGTCATGCGGCCTGCGCATGCCCAATAGCTCGGTAAATGGGCCGTGAAACAGAAGAATATACGAATGTGAAATATCGTAAGGGAAGCATTCAGACAAGATCATTGCTCAGCCACGATCTCGACCCTGAACACTGTACCCGCCAGTGAAGTGTCTCCGCCAACCGTGATGTTGCCGATACCAAAGCCTCGCTGAGTGTGGCATCCTTCCGGCTCCCAGTTCTCGAGCATATAGGCGAAATACCCATAGCAGTCTTGTGCAGTCCAGAAGACGCCTGCTGAAGTCTCCGGTTGCGCAGCGGGAGTGACTGAGACTAATCACTGTCAGTACATGTTCTCAAGTGAAGCTTTCCAGCAGAGCCTTACGCCTGACGTCCCATCCGCTGATCTTGTTTCCTTCCGCAGTCTCAACATTCGCGGATTGCCTGCTGTTCTTCGGCCCATCGAGTCGCCAGTCAACGACCTGGGCGCAGACGATGTCATCGGCAAGTCGATCTGGATAGGCGCAGGGAGGCATCATGGCAACACATGCGTTGGTGAGGACAGACTCTATCTGTGGTCCAACGTAGAAGCCGATGATCTTGTCAGACGTCTTGTCGCACGATGTCGTTGTGCCCTCGGCTGGTAGCCATGTTGAGTTGGTATCTGCGCGGTTCTGGAAGATGTGTGTGACGGGTATTGCGAAGACTGCCGCACATAGTGTGCTGAGAAGGAAGATGCTGTACATGGTGATGTTTGTCGAGACTTAGGCAACGACAATGTATGTGTTGGCGGTTGATGATCCGCAGCGAGGATGTAGAGCGGTGCCACGTGGTACGGATTGCTAACGTGAGCACTATAATTTGTGAAGTAAGGGAGTTTGTGAATGGATCGACTTCGCCAAATCCCCAGTGCATATAGGATCTGAGAGCCTACGTCCACAAGATGTCAAGAAGCGACGTCACACAGCATATAACTACGCCCCGCAATGTGATGAGTGATCAAGGTCCTTTCATCGAGCTGCCGGCCAGCATGTCCCACGGTCTGATTATGTCTAGGGCTGCATAAAGTGGGTCTGAGGTACGACAAGAGACTTGATAGCCTCGGAGAGGCATTTGAAGAATGCTTCTTTCCAGTTTGTTTCGACTATACGAGAAATATTGCAGCTTCCGAGAGCTGTAATCATGAAGACTGATCTGGTGTACGGCAAAGTTGATGATAGCGTTTCATCGAACAAACAGCTTCGGCTGCGTCATTCTGAACGTTTTGAAACGAGGCGTTTGTTTCCTATAGCGGTCGAATGCATGAAACCGAGCCCTGCGATTAGAACAGGTAAGGCCATGAGAAGGTGCGGAGATGAAGGCTGGAATGTGGGGTAGTCAATGCGCTCGGGATCGACCGGCATGTACTTCATGCACATCCCAGTACTCTTGAGACAGCGACGGCCATGTTGCAGGAGAACAGGTTCTCGTCTGCGCGCTGTAGGCGATTGGCGAATACCTGGTGTTGAAGACGCGACGAGTATAGGACGATTAGTCATCGCGATGACAATAATCATAAGAATCCCAACATCAAAGGATACATTCACACTGCTGCCGGAGGGGCTCGGTGGTTAATCTTGATGAAACGTTGATGCTTTGTGCGTGCGAACTGTAAAATGAAGGTTCCGCAAAAGAAGGCTGGAGAAGGGCCGGGCGCCCGCTCATCAATGACCCCACTTTGCACCTCACGCATTGCCAGCACTGTCTCTCAGGCAGTTTCCTTTTCATGTGCCTTTCCTCTTTATATTAGAGGAAGAACACGTTGCGATGGTTTCCTGTGTCAGCCAAAAGCTGCTTACCTCGCGAACGGCGACACTGAGATGACGCCTGCGAAGCGCCTGCTATGCATCCACGTAAGGTCAGTCAGCAGTCGCAAGCATAAACAGCACACACTTCCGCCACTACCGCTCATTATTGTGAGCTTGTATTGCTAATAGCCAGCCTTGGGATACTAATCCGACGCAGCGCACAACTCAGCATGGAGACGCCTTTGAAACTCGGGATAGGTTGATTTACAATCCCTCAGCTCAATAGCAATCGTCGGCTTCAGTGACCATATCACGTCTCGCCAATATTCTCTTCTCTTCTTATATTTCTCTGATTGATTCTGAGTCCTCTGTAATTTCAACTGTCATTCCTTGCAGGCGATGCATTACTCGATCGTTGCAGCCCTCCTCGCGCCGAGCAAGGCTGAACCATTCTTTTTCTTGCTCTCCTTGCAATCGCTTTGCACTATTTGCACTCCGCGATAATTCAGCCTGAACACCACTACAGACCCGTCTTATCAAATTCCAGGTAGATAACGTCATACATAAGTCGCACACTCATGCCTGTCTGCAAACTCCACTGACTTACACCTGGTGTGCACGCGGCAGCATTCAAATTTCAGTCGAGCATCCAAGGTGTGACATGTTATTGTTTGGTACGAATCCATAATCCAAGGCATTTGGTATCATCTAGCTGCGACTCGAATGCACTCCCAGTCGCCTTCATATACTCTTGAAATTTGACGCTGTTAATACAAGCGGACAACTCGCTGAGTGCGTTCTTGATCACTCTTCTTTATCGAGCCTTGATTCTTGAAAGCAAAACCTGAGTTGAGCTTGTGGCATCTAATTGCACAAACGCACGAAGGGCATGATATCCACCTCGGGGTCTTCGGGATGCGCTTCGATGTCGACAGCGAGTCTCAATCGAGCTTGTCCAGTCGATTGGTCAGAGAGTGGACCAAATGTCTGGAGATATTGTGTGGCATCTTGATAGAATATGCTGAATTCGTTCCGAGCCCTGTAGATCGGGAGAAACTCGCTGCGGATCTGGCGCGACACTTGCATCAGGCCGAAGAACTGTCGGGTTTTAACGGTGGGGCGCGAATCGGACTTAGCACTGTCGGTAGTGATTTTGGGCTGCTAGGATAAAGCGATCATGCCTTCTTCGACAGCAGAATAGTACATGAGGTTCCTGAGCTATGTGAGAGGGGTGTCAGTGCAACTCACGAAAGGCTGATGGAGAGTGTAGTACTTGCGTCAAGGCGAAGAAGCAATAACCTTGTCCATGCCATGGCGAGTATGCTTTGGACCTTTCCGTACAACCACTGACGTGATACATGTGAATAGAATGCTGCTCGGTTGCAATTCCTGCGTTAGTGTCAGCTGCTGGTCAAGGTGAAGATGCATCATAATTCACCTCCAGGCAAGCAGATAAGAGCGCTCTCCTGACTTGCAAGCAGTCTCGTAGGCATCTTTGTCAAGCGTGGAATTATTGCAAAGCGTTGTGCGCCGAATATGGAGGTAATCGTGGTGGTGAAGTTGATCTGGTGCTTGTTGGTGAGAGGAAGACAGAAGACCCAAGAGAGGTCATACTCAGGTGGTCCAAGAAGGTTGAGTATCGGTGGATTACAAAATTGTCGAACCACTCTGACTTTGAGTCAAGAACACTTTCCCAGAATTCTTGATGTCAGAGGTGAAGGATCTTCACCGATAGCCATCATATGATAGTACTAGCGCCTGTAACATTGAGCTTCCGCTCACTTGCAATACGACACGATTGACACCCATTGACACTTAACACCCTATTGGTGACTTGTATCTGGTTGACAGGCGGGTTACGTCAACCAGTCTATTCTAGCCACTCCGAAGGTCTTCCTACGGTTTGAGGATTCTCAGTGCCCATGAGGGGTGACTCGTCTTTTCTGCAATCGAGAATAACAGGGTGGCACTTGGCTCAATGAAACACTAGACTGCCGAGTGCATCCTTTCAAATGCAGACCACACAAGCACCATCTCGCAATCCTCAATGGTTCACCACTACCTGTCATTCAAACCCACCCTTCTCGCCAAGGTCCTCGCTTCTGCAGCGATCCAAGCTTAACCTGAAATGGCTGACAATCGATATCTCCCAACTGCACACACAGCCGACCAAAACTCATTGAGTGGCATGAACGCTGACGCTGTTTCGTTTCCTGTTCTATTCATGATAGGAATTTGTTGTATAGTCCACGATTTGTCATTTGTTCAGTGGGATTTTGTGCAAGCGTAAGGAAGCCCAGAGGAAGTCGATGGTCATCGTTTCCTCGGAGGTTGGGCAAAAGCTAGTCCAGATGTATACGCTTTAATACTTCTGGGAAGGAGCGATGTAGTTAGGTCTCAAGCTGACCGACGGTTCTAGTTCAGTGAGCCAAACCGTCGTATCTGGTATCTGGTACTGTTGAGGATTCATAAGCTAACATGATTCATCCGAGTCCACTTCCCCAGGTCGGTAGTTGACAGTCAGATGGCTCCCCGTAGCTCGATCAAGCTCCATCCCACACTGCCGCCCCCACTCCACGACAGTATCCTCTAGCTCGAGAGGGATCCTGTAGTTAGGATCATGGTCCGGCTTGCTCCACTCGCCCATCCAATCCTCCCAATACTGGGGGCTCAGCTCGAAGATGATTTCGACACCACTCTCTTCACTGGCACGTACTACCAGTGCAGTCATTGCTTCGTCCATATATTCATAGAACATGTCCATGTCCTGAATGTCGTACAGGTCAGCCAGTGTCTCTTCTATGCTACGCATAGTAGGGGAGTTGCAGTCGTTCGGTTCAGTGACATCGACGATTTCCACGTGAAAACCCTCGGCTCTTCTTGCAAGCTGCAACAAAGGCTTGATGTCGAGGATTCCTAATTCCCCTCGATCATCATCCATGAAGTCGAGGATTACGTGCCCTAAGACGTTCTCGTCGCTGGTGCCAGGCGCTACCCACGTGTCGATGTATTTGTATATATCCCAGGTGTTCGGTGCAACTTTTGTGTGGGTCTTATAAAGTGGGAGGAATTCAAATCGTATCTGACGGCAGACTTGCGTTAGACCTAAGAATTGTCGTCGCCTTATGCAGGTGCGCGTCCATGCAGGCTGCCACTCCATGTCATACGTGAGCGGGATAGTGCTCTCCTCTACAGTGTAGGCGTAGATTCGATTTCGCAGTTCTTGCGATTGTGTCAGTATGAACATAGTCTGGCAGACACTCCACCTACCCCCAGGTAGTTTGAGCAATGGGCACTCCACGTCATCACTCTGCGCATTTAAACCCATACAGTGATTGTCCATAACCGCACAGATCTGTGAACAGATAGGTATTGGCTGATTGAAGTCGGAGATGCTCCTGAAACAATGTAGGAGTGTCGCTGGCGAAGAATTGCATCGGCGACGTGACACTAGTGTCGGTTACATCTCGGATCTAATACATACAACAGTTCTCCGAGAACCGACCGGATGGCTCGCAGGAGGATGTCAAGAATGTTGAGACAAGTCATATTCTATTGAGTGACGAAATCGATTAAGGTATTTCAGCTTGTTATAAGGTGTCTGCCTTTTCTGTCTGTCGGATCGTCCAAGTATGCACCCCTTCCGGGTCAACTTTCTCATCAAAGATCAGCTTTCCATCCTCGCTCTGCTTAGCCTCTTAAGCTCGTATGAAATTCCTGGTCTAGCTCTCTTAGACTCATGGGTCTCATGCTAGCTACCATGCAAATTTGAATCTGATATCTTCGCCCACGCCCCAGCAGCCCTGAAGAAACAACCCAGACTTCAGTATCCACGACTTTAACTCCCACTCGTAGCAGGCGCATACCATTGTCGACAATCATCCTCATTATCCCGATCTTCCATCCATCGCTTCCAGTACTCCTTGCGGATGTGAAAGCAGACTGTGGTCGTACACTTCTGAGAGAAGCCAAAGCAACAGCGGCTTGATGTCGATGGTCATCCGCGAGGCATTGGGCATGATGATTTGTTGCGGTGTATATAACCTTTAGGACTTGAGGGTCAGAAAGGCCGGCATTTTTGTATCGCTGCGGGGCCGCGAAATGATTACGTTTCCGGCGATATCTTTCTCTGGGGTGAAAGGCGATCTGAGGAGGTTGTAGACAAAATTGAGTGCGTCTTGCAGAGAGACGCAGAGTTCTTGTAGAGTGGGAGGTATACAGTGAGTATGGTGCTGCATATCCGCGTGAGGCCAAAAAATTGACGGCATCGATGTTTCTCTCTCCACTGGGTTCGGCGCTGGAAATAGTGTCGACGCAGGGCAATGGCAGCGTAGTAGCTGCTTTCTTCAATCGCGAAGGAGTATATTTTGTTGCGTATCTCTGGAGGTAGTGAGTATCTGTTGTGCTTCTTGTCAAGGGTGAACTAACCTCCCGTCAAGTCAAAAAGCGAACGTCGAGAAATTTGCGTGCTGGGTGCAGTTACAATAGGGATCCTCTGCCGCACCGGCATGGCAACACGATGCAAGGTAAGTATTATTGATGTCATGATATTGTGGTAGAAAGAGATTAAAGGAGAGGTGAACTAATCGTAAGTAGCGAAAGCGTTACCGAAAAACCGAGACTAAGAAAGTAGATGCAGCTTTATGCCCAATTTGAGCATCTCAATCCTCCCAATGCCGTTTGTTAAACATTAATGGTTGGAATATAGTCACCTCATAAGCTTTAGAAGATCGCAACGAAAGTTCATGGGCAGTGGCGCCAGAGAATCTGCCTGCTACTCTGCTGGTTTAAAGTTGAGGTAGCTCACAGCCTCTACTTCTGCCATCGGCAAACGTACCGCCGTTGCCCAAGCCGTCACTAAGTCTGGAAGAGGTTGCTGTCCATCATAATCTTCATCACAGTCGTTGGCCCAGAACTCCATCCAGTCCTCCCAATATTCCCGCTTGACGCTGAATCAAACGCCCAGATCTCCGTAATAGCGCAATTCGATAGTCGCGAAAGCTCGATCGACGTAACCGCGAAGCACTGGATGGTCATCGAGGTGCAGAAAAGCGTTGATTGATTGGGTCAAGTCAACGCGACAATAGCGAGTGTCACTATACCAAGTGATCTTCAGGAGGTTTGCCTGGTTGCTCAGGCTCATTAGAGCTCTAATGTCAACGCGGGCCTCCGCCGAAGGCTCGGACCCGCAGACGATTATGTTGCCAATCACAGCTTCTTCTGCCACGCCGGATATTTTGACAAAGATGTCGACGTATCGAACAAGGTGCTCCATCGCGACAGCGAATACGGTGCGGGAGCTGTAGAGAGGGAGGAACTCGGCGCGGATCGTACGACGCAATTGCGTGAGACCCATAAACTGACGGTGCCATCGATCTGCATTCGATATATGTTCGTTGGATTCCGGGTAGGGGTCGCAACGCTCCTTGAGCAAGTCTAGTCTGTCTTCTGCGGCGAAGTCGTAGATCCTGTTCCGTATCTCTATGCGCCAACTAGCTTCACTCTTTTGATCAGATGATTAATGAACCCAACACCCGGGCAGAGATAGCAGTGTAAGCGTCGCGGCTTTCGTAACAGATGGAGTCTGCATAGCCATGGTCTCGCTCCTCGAATGCATCATCTTGTAGCGTTATAGGCAAGGAGTAGCAGTTTGCGTGGGTGCGCGGTGAAGGTGGAGTCGAGTCGGCAGGGCTGCCAAAAGGAAAAGCGTGGTGCGAAGCGGTGCAAGGTCGACCGCGGAGGTGGTCAGGTAGGTGAAGTGAAGGCAAAACTTGGCGTCACGCGTGTAAGGAAGGAAGAACACCCGACCGCCTGATGCAAACTTGTTTGAATTGGTATGTGTATCTATTGCAAACGACCACCGCTATGCGTGAAAATCGTAAAGAACTGAAAGCTCCCAAACGCCCTGCCTATGCAGTATGCACTTCCCTCCCTTCACGATCCACCATCCTATAACGCGTCCCATCCCTCCTCAAACATCGTCCTCTTAACCTTCACCTCATCCGTCGTCAACCCAAGCGGCCTTACCACTTGCATAGCGCCCGTACCAAGCTTGACACTCTGCCCCATAATAATACACTCAGACACACCATCAATACTATCAATCTTCCCCCTCGCGGCCGCCTCAAAGAGATGATCAGGCGTCTTCTCAAAACTAGCAAGCTGCAACACACTATCCCTCGTCTTCTGCAGGCCAAATCTCGTAATACCATACACATCACCCTTGAACGTCATAACATCAGCAAGGAGCTGCATGTGACGCGGATCGATGTCCATGTTACCCATGACGGAGCTGATTTCGCGCACGATGGTGGAGCGCGCAGCTTCGATGCCGAGCACGTCGCGGACTTCCATGACATGGTTGGATTTGGTGGTGTATGGCTCGATACCGGGGGTCGTCATGCAATCTTTGAACCCGTAGCCTTCGACGAGCAACTGACATTCGTAGTCGCCGTTCTTGTTGGGTGAGGTGTCCTTCTTGATGATGGCGCGTTGACAGTCGGCGTAGCCTTTGATGACGACGTCGGGGATGAGGGCCTTGACTTGCTGGACGCGCTCAAAAAATTCCTTCTGGTTGCGTGCGGTCTTGGTAGGGCGCTTTTTGGCGGCGTTGGGGTCGACGACTTCGACGCGGATAAGTGAGGAGGAGATGCGGACGTTGGTGCCGGATTTGCCCCATTTGAGGGGCTTGTGCCTGTTGATTGCGTGGATGATGTCGTGGGGTTGGATGTCGACGAAGAGTGCATTGACGGTGTCCCAGTCGATGCGCATGGCGATGTAGGCGCCACTAGGGTGCCAGACGTCTTCGACGTAGGAGATGATGTCGCGCAAGAAGGTCTTCTCCACACGTGCCTTGACGATACGTGCAGCGGATTCAGAGATCTTGTTGGACAGTTCGCAGGTGATGACAGGCGTGGAGATGGTGGAGGAGGCGTTGATGATTTCCTTGATACGAGGGACACCTTGAGTGATGGACATACCAGCGACACCAGCAAAATGGAAGGTCTTCAATGTCATCTGCGTACCAGGCTCACCAATTGACTGCGCACCGATAGCACCCACAGCGTGGCCTGGCTGGACTCGTGAGCGGTGGTACTTGGTGAGACAGAGGTCAATGAATGTGTCAAGAGCGGTCTGAGAGATCTTAGCGATGCCATCCGCAAGGCTGTACTTTTCTGCAATCTCGTCGGGGAGCTTCTTGAGACTTTGGGAGGGTTCCGCAACACCCAGGTACAGGAGTGTGGTTTCGAGCTTGGCAGCCTTCTTGCCCACGTAGTCCTCCACGGTATCAAGGAAGTCACGCATAGACTCCTTCTGATCGATACCCGAGTCGCTGTTGTCGTCAAAAGCTAGCCTTGTCACACCATCGAGCTTGTATCGCGGGTATTTGTTGCGCTCTGTGTTCATCCTAGCATGGACGTGCTCACGGATCTCCTTTGGTACGAGGGTAGGCTCATCGTTGTTCCAGGTCGATGTTACGGCGTGAGAGAACGTGCGGTCAAAATGGACAGGCTTCGCCTTACCCTCCATGTCGACGGGATCCAGGTTATCGTCTCCATACTGGAATTGCACGACGGTTCCTGATGAGTTCCGGACTGTGTCGTCGTATGAGGCAGAGAGATCTTCCAGCGACTTCATCAACCGTCTACTCATGTATCCGGTTTCTGCTGTCTTGACAGCGGTATCGACCAGGCCTTCACGACCACTCATTGCGTGGAAGATGAACTCGGACGGTGTGAGACCCGAAAAGAAACTGTTACTGACGAAACCCTTAGCCGCTGGCTGTCGTGCTGCCTTAGGGAAGTGAGGTAATGTTCGATGGTGGAAGCCGTCTGCAACACGCGCACCACCAATCATCTGTTGCCCGACAGAAGCAACCATTTGAGAGACGTTGAGGTTGGAACCCTTCGAACCACACTTGGCCATGAGCAAGGGCGAGTTCCATCTGCTCAACTCTTCGAAACAGATGTCACCAGCAGCTTGTCGAACGCTCGACAAGATTCCACCAATCCTGTTCTCCATCGTCTTTTCTTCGTCGCAACCGGGATCACGCTGCAGCTTGCCTTCCTGGAAGTCACTGATGATCTTGTCGCACTGCTTGTACGCTTCTACGACCAATGCCTGCTTCTTCTGCATGAGCTTGTCACCCGGAGTGACGTCGCTGATACCAAGAGAGAAGCCGTTGTTGGTAAGCCAACGTGCAGACAGTTTGGATAGTCGGTTCATGCCCTGCACAGCATGCTGCGGACCGAAATCACGCATCATGACGTAGAAGACGGAGTCTTTCTTACCATCACCAACAGTTGCCTTGTCCATGCACCCACACATCACCTCTGAGTTGCGAATGACCAGGTACGAATCGTTGTCGCTGAGGTCGTGAGGCACGCCAGCCTTTGGCTTGAACATCTTGTTTGCAGCTTCTAGATTGACAAGTACTCTCGACGCCTTGTTGGGTCTCATGAGGAGGTTGAACACCTGCTTTCCAGTCCAGAGTGCTTGCGGCTTCCAGATTACGGGTGGCGGGATCTCGATGGGCAAGGTCTTGCCTGTGTCCGGGTCGTACGCTCCGTCACCGTTGAACATGTAGTTGACAATCTGGCAGAACGTCCGTCGGTCGTAGAAGTTACTCTTGTTGCTGAGCAAGAAGGCAGCTGTGATGAAATCTTGAATGGCCGCGATGATGGGTGTTCCGTTCTTGGGAGTGGCAATGTTGTACTTCACGCCCATCAGCTCGGTGGCTTCTGTGCGTGCTTCTTCCGTCTGAGGAACGTGCAAGTTCATCTCATCACCATCGAAATCGGCATTGTAAGGGTTGCAGACGCACTCGTTCAAACGGAACGTTCTCCACGGTCGCACCTTCGCCCTGTGGCTAAGGATACTGAGTTTGTGGAGAGACGGCTGTCGGTTAAAAAGAACGATGTCGCCGTCCTCGATGTGTCGCTCGACAATGTCGCCTATCTTGAGCTTCTCTGCGGGAAACTTTAGGCGTTCACCCTTCCGATCGTGCTTTGTCAGTGCGGCTAACGAGATCTTCGTGCGCTCCCTGGTAGGCGTCCGTTCGGCATCGTCTTTCAATATGAAGTTGGCGCCAGGGTATTTGTTGGCGCCGTTGAGCACGAGCTTCCTCAGCTTTTCGATGTTGTACCTTGTCACCTTCTCAGGGTAGGTCAAATTCTTGGCGACACGTTCTGGTACAGCAACTTCCTCGATGCTCAGATTGGGATCTGGACCGATGACAGTACGGCCTGAGAAATCGACACGCTTTCCTGACAAGTTCTGACGGAATCGCCCTCCCTTTCCCTTCAGTCTCTGCGAGAAACCGCGCATCGTCTTCTGCAGACCTTGCTGTTTCAGACCAGGCGCGTCGCTGTTGATGTACATAGCGATCTGCAGCTGCAAGAAATCCCACTGCTCCATAAGAATCTGCAGTGGAAAGCCTCGCGCCAGCCCAGCCCTGATGATACTGCTGATCTGGCAGATGTCTCCAATCTTATTCGTCACATCGTCTTCTGTGGCTCCGCCTTCCTGCATGACTGAGGGTCGCAGCGCCACGGGTGGCACGGGCATGTACTCCCAAATCAGCATTTCTGGCCGCGCATCCTCCGGTATCATGGCTAGGAGCTCGCAGTCCTCTGGGGAGATCTTCTTGAACAAATTGAGCGCTCGCAGAGGATGCATGTCGTCGGCGGCCTTCTTCAGGTGCTTATCGAGTTCGGGGTTTGCCGCCTTCGCTGTATCGAAAGACTGGTCGAACTCGATCTTGCCGGCTGGGGCCTTCTTCGTCTTCGCGGTGGATCGGTTGAACGCATCGTAGCGGTTGTGAATGATCTTGAGCGGGTGACCCGGAACTTTCCTCACAGTGCCCTGGAGCGCATTGCAGTAAGGACAAGTCTTCTTCTTGCGGCAGTCGTCCAGAATCCTTTTCGAGACTGCGCTTCGCCTCAACGTGTCCATGTCCGGACGGCGCATGCTGCGCAGATATCTGCGTCGCTCCACCTCATCCAACAGTACGCGCGAACAGTCCTTGCAAATACAGTTCAGCACCTCGATGATGTGCTTCAAGTAGCCGACGTGGAAAGCGGGCAGCGCAAGCTTGATGTGACCAAAGTGCCCGTTGCACTTGTCGAGGCCCTCTCCGCAAGTTCCGCATTTCCCCGACTTGCTGGAAATGCCCATGTGGATGTCCATAGGCCCGTTGGCCGTGAGGGTGCGCGTGTTGTCGGCGGCGGGCGCGAGATCGTAAACATTGCGGTCGGAGACTTCGAGGACGGCCTGGTTCACGATGTCCTGGTTGGAGCTGCAAGCTGCTGTTACTATGCATCTTCTGGCCTGCGCAAGTGTGGTGAGCCCTACTATATGCCGAACTGGATGTGCTTGATGCGCGCGGGGATCTTGTCCACCACTTGCTGCTTGACAGCATAGTTGTGCGGGGCCTCGGCCATGGCGGCGGGCTGTCAACGATGTCGCTATGTAGTTATGCTGTTTTCTGCTGTTTTCTGCTGTTTTCTGCTGTTTTCTGCTGTTTTCTGTTGTTCTCTGCTACCGACGGCCTTTGTGGATATCGTGCATCGTCGTGGCGTCGTGAGTCATGTGAAGAGGCGCAACACGGTGAAGACCATGTTCCTTCAGTCGCGAAGACGATTTTCTAGAGTGGGGCACATACCGCGGCAGCGCTACTGCAAGGCGACCGCTAGGCTGTCGTTGGCGTGCACCTGATAGTGATAGTAACCTGGGGGAGGTCGCGACTTCACCCTCATTGCCCCGCCCTTAGGGAACAGGCTTAGCTGTCTCGCCTCCGCCTTCAGCCTGGGTGCTCCCTTTGCGCTCCCTGAACCACCAACCTCCTTTTTGTCACTACATCAACACTTCCCTACTGAACCACGGTTCAAACACCAAGCTGCACTAGGCCCCCACTTGAGAGCTTGGCCCCGCCCAGGCACCGGTACTCCTACCCGTTGCTGTACCTCTCTTCGAACAACAACTCAACCACAAACAAATCTCCTGGTCTCACCTCTGCAAGCCCTGCTACAGCTTCCCTCAGCAACACCACCACCATGGTTGGCAGTAAGCACTGCGAGATTTCAAGTTTGTTTCATTCGCAGGCTGATCCCGTAGCCTTCCGCATAGTCTTCAAGCAGGAAGAGGGCTTCGACGTGCACGAAACTCGCGAGTTCGACCTGGCGCTGGGCTCCAAGTTCGCCATCGGCCGAGCTTCCAAGAACACGTCCAAGGGCTATCTGCTCCCAGCAAAGCATAATGTCTACATTGACAGCCCAGTGGTCTCCCGCGAGCACGCCATCTTGACCGCCAACGCAGCCACAGGAGCCCCGCAGGTCTACATCACCGACACGGCGTCCATGCACGGCACCTATGTGAATGGTACTCCGCTCGTCCCTCACACTCCGAAGCAACTGTGCAACGGCGATAAGCTGCAGTTCGGTGTTAACGTGAACCGCAACGAGAGTAAGTCGCTCCCTCACTGCACACAGACACAGGCCCTGCTGACTCTCCTGCGGGCTACTTCGTTGCTTACAGGTACACGTACAATGCCGAGCTCTCCCACCCTGAGCCCTTCTCACGCGGCTTCACCGTTCCAGAGGCAGAGTCCGAGGAAGAGGAACTCGACTTCGTCCAGTCAGGTTGTGGAAGTCTGCTCGATCCGCTCGTTCTCGACGACTCTGATGCTGAGCCGGAGTACGAGGCGCACGAAGAGCACGCAAAGCATGCAGAACACTCTGAGGACAATGGCGATGTGACTGTGGCACAGCTGGAGGAGGGAGAGGAAGTCGTCGAGGTCGATAACTCGTCTGAAGAGGAGGATGCCGCTGATAGTGTTGCTGACGACATTGCCGAGAGCGACGTCGAGAGCGATGCTGCAAGCACGGGCAGTGCTCCTGGTTACAGTCCAGAGTCGCCATGTGTTCATGGAGCCCAGCACATCGAGGAAGCCGCGAAGCTGGAGGAGATTACTGCGGCCGAGCAAGTGCAGGCAACACCGGCCGAGCAAGTGCAGGCAACACCGGCCGAGCAAGGTCCGTCCTCGGTGACTCTGTCTCTCTCTCTTGAGCAGCCACAGGTCGAGCGAGCACCAGTGGACCCCTTCTTTCTCGAGTTCGGATATCCTGCCATCTCAGACCTCCCACCCCCACCACCACTCCCGACGTTGGATCAGAGGTTCGGAGGCACCTCGTTCACGAGCGCATTCGAGCCTCCACTCCCCCAAACATTTGCTCCCCCTCTTCCCCCACGGCCTTCGCAGAAGCGCCAACGGATTTGGGACGAGGCATTGCAGGAGGAGCAGAATTGGTTCGCGGAAGCGTCCTCGACCACGCCCTCATACTCGTCCGCTGGCTCGAGTGACTACATTCGCCTCGCTCACAACATGCTTGTGCCACCTGTGGAGCGCTTCCCCGCCTCCCTACCAGCTGCAGACCGCATCCAGACTCCGCCACCCACAGTGGCTGCCAATGTTGTCAGCTCATCATCCCCACCTTCCTCGTGCAGGACCGGTGTTTCCATCATTGAGATCGTTGACAAACAACCGCCAACGCCCACTTCGATTAACAGCCGTAAACGCAGCGCGGACGACGCGTTCAATGAGGAGGCTGAAGAGGCCATCGAGCAGAAGGTGTCGGAGCTTGAGACGGAAGGACTTGCGATGGCTCAGTCCATTCTCAAGGTCGTCACTTCTAAAGACGGTGTGCTTCCTACTGTCGAGCAGGTTGTGCCTCAGCCTCAGCGACCCATCGCACAGCCAAGGCCTATATGGAGGAGGGCACTTCGTGCAGCTGGTTTGATGGCGTCAGCCACCGCCTACACCGCCTTGGGCGCAACTGTGTCTATCGCCGCTCTCACAGCACTGCCAGAGTCTTTCTTCACGGTGGCCTAGGTAGGCAAACCATTTACTACACTCGACACCATGTCACACATTTTCCCCAGGGTATTGGCGTTTATGGATACTACGGGAGGAACATGGACTCTATACCATCTTCGGGAAACCCTCAGGCGTTCACGAGATTGACAGCTTCCACAATGTACGCACATTCATGGTTTGGATCTGTTCGGTACCACGGATGGCGTTTGGCGGTTTCTTTTCCACAGATAGCTGACGGTACGCCGCGCTTGCTTGCATATTTACGATTCACGATAGCTGGTAATTACACACATACCCTCGATTTCTCAGCCACTCAGCGATCGTTAGGCCGACCAGTGCTTCTTGATCATCCCTAGGGGAAGCATTATCTGGTTGTTGAGACTGCCCTTTTGGTCATCTACCTGATTCACGTCCTCTTCCTAACCATCTTCTTGACACCCCAAACCTGGAACCGTCTCTTAATAGTTATTACGCTAATCCCAACGCCCTGTACATTGAGCCACCCCCTGAGCTTCTCATACGTATGGCCCCCTTTGGAAACGCTGTATCAGACCCTCCTTGTGCGGCGCAAGGTCTTTCGCAGGTCGGCCAACATCCCAGACCTTGAAGCTTTTCTGGATAGTGTTCACATGGGCATTCACACCTTCCATACCGAGCCACGTGTTGAGGTCGTGGTACGTGAATCGCTTCCGGAACAGCTCGATCAGGGCCTCCTTGTGCGGCTCTAATTTCTTTGATGGGCCCAGGCTGGCGCGCGGCGCCCACCCCTGCAGATACTTTGCCTGGGAACACTCCTGCAAGAGGGCTCATGGTGTCATTTGAAGATTTGATAGGCGGTGATCACTTTGGACAAGCTCGTCCTTTGCCATTCTCGTCCTGAGTCGCGATGCACGGAGACGCCCTGCCTCTTCCCCACAGGCGATCAGTGCGCGATGTTGAGCAACACCCTATTCCTCAACCCGCCTCTTCATGGTGGAGACACTGACGTCCACGCCGCGAATGCGGAGCCACGTCTTGAGATTGTCGTACGTAGCCTCCTTGCGGAAGAGGGCGATGAAAACGTCTTTGTGATGCGTGAGTTTCATCGTTGGTTGACCGCGGCCTACAGAATGAGTTCATGGCGTGCAGAAGGGGGGGGGGGGGTGCGAACCTGGCATCGTGGCTTGCTTTTGGTGTGCTAAGAGCACGACGGCGCGCTGTTTGCGGAGTAGAAATAAATACCGCTAGAACAGCTGTGTCTACGGTACTCTGGTTGTCTAGTCTGCTTACTCGATGGTCTAGGATCCGCCTGTGCTTATGAACACCAAATCTATTCGAACGCGGCCTGTCTTTGAAGCCAAAATCTCAAAACATACTGCACTGGATCTCAACATTACGATAGCGTTATAAAGTGGTTGTTCAGCTGTACAAACTGAAAGCCTGTAGAAAGTCTACTTAGATACTGTAATACCACTTAGCTTAGTATGCGTTTGCCCTTCGCCGTGGCTGTGCGTCAATTCGAGTAGTTTGATGAATATGATGTGCTTTAAATTTCGCATCGCGAGACGTGGAGTGAAGTGTTACTATTGCATGGCTGTCCAGCAGCCCTTACAGAGCAGGTAATCTGCTTATAACACAACGTAGCATGCACAAAGGCTGGCCTGCATTCAGGATCTACTGATCATGCACCAGCTCCTTCTAGCAGATATCTCACTCGCAGCCCCGTCCTCGAGGTCTCCATCATCCCATCCGCATACTCAAGACCGACCGAGACCACCGCTTTAATTGCCGACAGTGAGAAGCATTTTCTTGCCCAAGCCATCGGTTGCGAGACATGCTGTATTTTTCTTTGCTCGCCTGACGCCCAAGATGCTGCTCCACCGATCAGACACACCCAGAGAAAGACTCCACGCATGTCACCCCAGGAGTTGGTAGTATCTGTGTGCTCTACAGCTTCGAGTAGAGGAAAGATAAGAGTAGTATTCTCCATGGTGGGGTCTTGGTATATCGTGTTTGCAGAGTTGGTGAATGTGGTTTGGTGGAGGATAGCGTGGGTGTATACTAGTGCTGCTAGGCGGACACTTTCGTGCAGCCAATCTGGTGTCGGAGAGTCCTGCATTGATGGATAGGGAAGGAGACGTTCGTATATTTGGCGATGATAACGAGTCGGAATGAAAGCACTGTTGCTGTCTCTTCCATGTACGAAATCACCAGTGAGTGTGTACATGTCGTTGATGATGTCCAGCGTCCGTACAGAGCAGCTACTGCGGAACCGAATGAAGTTTCCATGGGGTGCATACAATGGTGAGATGTAAGGATAGGGCTCTCGGGTGTTTTGCGACACAGGACTGGGTGCAGGCGATGTGGCTAATTCGCGAAGTCCCTTGAGCATAGCCAGGGTCGTCAGAAGCCTAGGTATATCAGCTATGCACTGGAATCGGTACAAACATGACCCGTCCACGAGCATCTTTTCGGGTGGTTGCAAGAGATAGCGTGGGAGGAGGACTAATGTGCTGTGAAGCGCTAAACGAGTTGGTGTATGCTTTAAGAATACTTACAGAGTCACGTAGGTTGCCACTTGGTGCGGCAGCTGGCCCATACCGCCTCTCCTATGTATGAGGCCTTGTAGTCCTTGATAATGTACTTGAAACGCAGACTCGTCACCTCCAGTCTCACTTAGCAGCAAGTGCAGAATGCTCAGGATAGTAGCATCGTTCGTCTCAAGTCGGCCTGCGATCATGCTAAGGACTTGAGTTTTGGCCCGCACGGTTGTACTGCTGTCTTGCCAGAGGCCGTCCGCTAAATCCCGATAGACCGATGACACGCTGACATGGCTCAGAAACGACATGTGGTCGGCGCAGATGGTTTGCATCCATGGTTTGTCTATCTGGAGGTCAGCAGCATACATTGCAGTAAGCTCAGAGACATACCTTGACAGAATAAGGCAGAGCTGTCGATGTACTGTTGTTTCAGATCATCAAGAGGATCACTGTGTGTGCCATACAAGCCTGGAAAGGGGAATGCCGGGGCATCTTCAAAGACCGGGGGGGCGCTTCTAGCATACGCTCCATGGGTCGAAGAAAGGATGTGATGAATCAGAGTTCGCAGTGTAGATGGCCAAGGGGCGTAAGATGTGTATTCGGGTGGAGCTCCGGTCCAAGTACTACTGCGAGGCCTCGACAGCAGAGGTGCAAGAAAGTCGACATCACTGGCAGATGCATCCGAGCTGGTCATAGCCGGACTTGGCGTGCTCGATGCACATGCTGATGCACTCCTGTGCAGGCTTGTGCTCGTCCTGTCGTTCGACGTTGTCTTTCGCTCGATTCGGTGTTTGTACATGACATGCGATCGAACATGACGCATCGTCTTTCCAGCCTTGAACTGATCCGGGTGGTTGGCAACGACGAATTGAAGGGCAGGTCCAGGTTCGAGAGGTGGCAGTCGTCTCCTTCCGAGTCTTCTCTTCGATGATGACGGTTCGCTGGGTGATGCCATGTTGATGAGTATTTGAGAGGTATGGCGATACGATCGAGCTGTCCCAAACCTGGAGAAAGTAGTCAACGATGCCTATCTTACGATGAAATCGTCAGTCTCGAATCACTGTAGTTAGTGAGTGCTCGAAGTGATTTGATGCACTTCTGCACTCCCGCACTTCGGGTAGCTGTCAAGATGGAGATCTTCAACACTTTGAGCCGACTTCGGCAGACTAGATTGGCGGATCCTTGACTGGTGCAGCGGAAGCGTCTCAACTTCCTGGGTACTGAAGGATAAGTGGCTATGTTCCACGCTGTGCATATATGAGTACACAGATAAGTGGGAAGAAGATGCTGAGGTTCAGGGCGTTGGGTTGGCAGTGAGATGATTCAGAATCGGTGCTGAACACTTCATGAAGGTTAGCATGCTGCGAAGATATTGTCGTAGACATCGTCTGCCATAGCCACGCGACTTCAACACGTAGACCCGCAGGGATCATTTGACCATCGTTCAAAGTAGCTCAGTAGATAGCGGGTAGGCTGAGGGGCGCCTTCAAGCCACACGTTCAGTGCGGATTTGAAACGCGGTTCAAGGAAACTTGGGGGCGGGTTTGCTGGCGGTCTGCGTTATCGAGAATACCATTGCGCCACGAGTCATCCACCAACAGTCACGAATGTCATCATAGCTGAAAGCTCATATGAGTTACCGCTAATAATCGGTATGCGAGTGCTGGTTCCTGACATGTACCGAACGATGCTGGTAGACCACAGCCTTAAGCTTGCTTGGCGTGGCTGACGTTTCTTGTCAAAGTTCGTAAGACCGAGCCTTGAACGTAGTCAGAAAGGTGAGCTGTAGAGCATGCTGATCTCATCACAGCTGTTTTCAAGGGGTGTCAAGCCAGAAAGCGTACAGACCACCCTTCTGTCTCCCTTCTCAATCGAATTGAGATGTGCCTTGGTAAACGGCTGCGTCTCAAGATCTCAAGTACCGTTGTCCTACCGAAGCTGCAGTGAGGTGAACGAAGGATATAACCGCCATCAGTGGCTGGGTGGCTATGCTGAGCCAAGGCGACCGCATCGTTAAGGGCATTTAAAGTCGTTGCATTTGCCGAATTGGTACTTAGTGCCCGTTGTGTGCGTGTTAGTGCATGTAAGCACACCGCGTTTCGAAGCTGAACACCACTGAAGTAGCACTTGGCTCGCTCGATGCTCTATAATGTTTGCGATGCCTTCTACGGGTACGCCGTAGCCCTGCAGTAAGATTAGCGGAGTCAAAGCTATATGAGGTCTGAAAGCTAAGGACATGACTGCTGCGCATCACCTATGGACCGCGTCTGCCGCTCGTCCGTTGTGACGTATCAAGGAGAAATTCAGCCGAGGCTCCATACATCATCAGGGGCGTATTCGTGGGAGTAGAAGGGTGTATCTTGATGCCCTGAGCCGTCGTCTCTTTGCCAGCCCATAGCATGGCCATTCCACGGCAGCTAGAACAGCAGCCTGGTGATCCAGCCTGTACGGAGCTAAGGCCATCAGCAGCGTACCTCAATTCGCCAATGAAATAGGCACTTGAGTAGGGTGGGTCTTTATGTGTCCGTAAGATCATGGGTGAATTGACAACCAGACGTAAGCTGACCCGACTCCGAGGAACGTGTACCTTTGTAAAAGGTCTTGAAGACTTCGGGACATGAATAGTATCGTTCACTCGTATCGTTTTCTATGTCTGTAAGTCATGCATAGCTTGGACAGCGTCCGAGGAGGCTGATCAGAAAGAGATGTCGAGTGTTTGATGTCTGCTGAACGTGGTCGCGCTCAAGACGCACGGACGTAAACATCTGATGTCACTCTCAGCTGTGTATGCAGGTGCAACTGATGACTCTGGAATCACGCAGCATGGGCGAGCATTGGTCTTTGATTCTTTCATTTACGCGCAGTTGGAGTATAGGTAACAAATCGGTCCACTAAGCCCATTCCTCGCCCCGAACCAAGCCGCCGCTCATCCATCAAGGGCAACGGACGTTTAGTGACAGTAGGAAGAGTAGGAATACATGCGAAAAACGCCAAGAAGCAAGAGTGTCTACCACACTCCATCGCTGCTGAAATCTGCACTCCTCCGCTCATAGTCCAAGGTCATCTCGTTTATCATACCAAACTGTTGGATCAAGTGTCGACGTGCGCAGCTTATGAGACCCTTGACAAGGGATCGACACTGCCGCTCTCATGCTTGCTGGGGTCGTTCCGCCTCATGATACCCTCGACGGGGCCAAGTAGACGCTGGAAGCCATTCTTGCCGAGCGTTGCAACCTTGACCTCGGTTTCGCTGATAACAGACGCAGCACGAGGTGCGTCGTTCAGCAGAGCAAGCTCACCAAAGTAGTCGCCCTTGTTATATCTCTTGACAGGCTGGTCGTTGCCGCGAAGGTATACCTGCGCTTGCCCAGATTCGAGGATGTAGAATGACTCGCCAATGTCACCTTCCCTGATGATCTCAGTACCAGGAGGATATTTCTTCGTCTCGAGGGCATCTGCGATCTTAGAACGCTCGTATGGAGTAAGAGTGGAGAGGAGCGGAACCTCCTCGAGGAAGCCTTCGTACATGCGTCGTCGCTGGAAAGCACTGTCCATAAGGATGCGGCGGAAGGTGACACGGTCGAGCGCCCACAGTGTCGATGGCTCGGCGGAGATGACGGTGGCAGCGCGAGGAGCGTTGTACATGAGCGCAAGCTCACCGAAGGAGCCGCCAGGGCCTACAGAGCCTACCTTGGCACCCAATCCATCTATGCCAGCCTCTAGCTTGCCAGATTTGTTGACATGGATATCGAAAGATCCCTTCTCGACAACATAGAAGTAGTCACCTACATCGCCCTGTGTAATGACCTTAATGCCCTTGGTAGGTATTGGCTTCTCATGCAGCGCGCCGAGCACCTGTGCAGACTGCTCGTCATCGAGATGTGAGAAGAGGAAGTTGCCAGAGACGGCGGATCTGAGACGTGACACCTGCTCGTCTGTCTTGTGGTGGAACGGCGGCGTGAAGTTATCGTTGTCTGCTGATGCGGGGTTGAGCGACTCGGCGGACACGGAGACGCGTCTGTTGGTGTTGTAGTTGTTGGGAGTGCTGCCACCGGCAATGGGGGGCATCTGCGTGACCTGATTCTTGGAGGAGCCTCCAAAGCCGCCGAAGTTGCCGAAGTTGCCAAAGGAGCTCTCGCCCTGGTCGCTGCTGCGGGCATTGTTCAGGTCGGCCTGTGCGAAGGACGACGCAGTGGGGGACGCCATTATGTCGCTCTCCTCCTCTTCTTCGAGGCGCTGCATTGGGCTCTTTGAGAAGCCGCCGGAGCCTGGGGATGTGCCGAAAGGGTTGTTGCCGGGGAAGCTATGCTCAGCACGGCCTTGCTGGCTGGAATGCTGCTGCGAGAGCAGGAACTCCGCGCGCTGCGACTCGAGGCGGCGGTTGAAGAAGCTCGCACAAAACTGGAGGATATCGTTGGGCTTGTGCTTGAGGATCTCGCGGTCGAGGGCGGCTATCTCATTAGAGTAGTCTGGAGGGAGGGACATTGGGAGGTGGGTGGTGAGGGGTCGATTGCAGCTCTTTGACGTCGGGTTCACGAGGGGTGCAGGGATGGTGGGTGTCGAGCTGCGAAGGCCTGAAACGCAGCGATGGTGCGTAGATGGGGAGGGGGGGGGGGCAATGCACGAGGGGGACGAGGGTACGAAGAATGCAATTGCACGACGGGCGTTAGTGGTGGTGAGGGCGTGTGGAGCGTGCAGCCGCAATATGACGCTTAGGACAATCCGGGGCAGAAGAGGGGAGAGGCTGCAGCAAGAGCGATCACCAGGTGCGGGCAGGCACTGGAGCTTAAGGCAGGTTTTCTGGGGCTAATCTATCTTCCAGAAGGGCTCTAGAAATCGAATGGATGCCCGGCCTTCTTCTGCGCAGCTGTAGCCACTCACTGAGACAGCTAGACGATGCCAGCCATGGTTCACGCACATTGGATGGCATCACGTCACACAACGCAGCTGTAGCATGCCGGACACCAGGCTGCAGTGCTCCTCGCGATGCAGCGATAGACACACACAGAGCTCTGGGAGCTGTCAGAGACAGAGCTTAAGACCAGAGCTGCCGCTCAAGCTGCGTAGCTCCCGCCTCACATGGATCCACGACTGCTCCGAGCTTGCTGCTAAGCGGCGAGCTGCAGAGGGCGGCAACGGAACCATGCATGAGTGTTCCAGACAAAGAGAGGAAGCATCCTGTTCATGAATTGCTATGCGATTCAGCTTGATTGTCTGCATCTGTATAACACAATTATATACTTCTGGCAGCACGTCTTATCATGTCTGGAACCGGGTGCTGGAAGCTCGAACATGACTCCAGCTTGGTTGACCAATCAGCTCAGCGTCTGCACATGATAAGGAACAGAGAGCAAGCTGCACGCCATCGACAGGTTTATCGATGGAATCCCATTGACAAATCCCGAGTGCAGCAGCAGAGCACGTATGGTTTGACTAACGGTTCGACTTTCAATTCACATGTAAGCTGATCGAACTGGCGAGGACGAACTCTGGAACTCTGGAACTTTGAAACCTTGGAACTTTGGAAACCATTCCATGGTTGTACAGTTCACGTGCAGAGGTACATGGCATAAATCGAGCACTCCTTTCGACAAGATGATCAGCTCTTGCAAGCGATGAGGACGGCATGATATGATGGAACACTCTCGAAACTTCCTCACGAGTGATGTGAAGGCCTCATACGGTGTGAAGTTTTGGCAAGCCTGCAATTGGCGGTGTGCTACATGACTGGCAGGCGGGGGAGACAGACCCGAATGTTGGGACGTCCGCCGCAGGAGAAACACGAAAAGTTCCGCTGTTGAGCGGACCGAGATGTTTGACAGATCAATTTGGCATTCGATCGAAGCCACAGTGTTTCAATGTGTGCCCAACACGCTGGGTCTTCTTCGTGAGGAATGCTTCGGCGGTAAGGCGTGACATCGATTGGGCGATGACGCACATAGCCGTGAGACGCACGAGCGTCTCCTAGGAGCTGGCGGGGCTGGCTGCCCATCTGTCAGAGGGACGTCGTGGGCGAATTGACAGCAAACAAACATGACGATGCACGTTGGGTGGAGAGTGGAGCTGCAATTGAACAAGACCCACCATTGAAGGATTGCCAATTTCGTCATCGCACATGCTGCTGCTGCTGCTGGCCACGAGCGGCGCGGTTGCTTGCCCACCAGGGGAGAGCTAGAGCTATCTGTCAATCTTGCAGCGTGGAGGCCGTCGCAGAGCTGAAGCCTCATCTTCACTGCATCTCCATAGCTCTCACGCCTCTGAAACTGCGCGCCTGCTCGTCCCGTGTAGCTGAGCCTCTAATCTTGTCGCCTTAAATTGTTGCAAGTTATTGCAACACTAGCCCTCGGAAGCGCCGCACAAGCACAGCCACTTCTCCATTAGCTTCCTGCTCCTTCTTCCCCAACCACCTCCTCACTGCTTGCGATCAAGACAAGGTCTCACCCATCGCGCAACCTCGCACCCTAATCGCACACCTATCTTTACGCCGCCATGGGCAAATACACATTCACATGGTGTGTTGCTTGCCTGTTATACAGACGCGCAGTGTACTCACGATATGCAGGGAACACGACGCCAACGACGTTTACGTGACCGGCACCTTCGATGACTGGAAGAAGACAGTCCAGCTAGAGGAGGAGGGCGGCGTCTTCAAGAAGACCGTCGAGCTCCCCAAGACTAAGACCCAGTACAAGGTACGCTCGCGCTGCGACACGCGCCTGCCGCCTAGTTCGGTTGCAGGCAGCTCTGAATCTGGACGCTTGCTAACGAAGGCGCGTAGTTTGTCGTCAATGGCAACTGGTGTATCAACGAGAGCGCGCCCAAGGAGGACGATGGCCATGGCATTGTTAACAACATCCTCCTGCCTGAGGACATCGTCGACGAGCCCGCGCACACACTCTCCTCCGCCGCGCCGACGTCCTCCACAGCAGCGCTCGCCGGCGCTGTCCCCAAAGAGAAGGACCTTGAGAAGACCAAGTCAAATGAGTCCATTCCTGGCGCGTTTCCCATGACGCCGACGCCCAGCACCGAGCAGCGCCAGTTCATCAACCCCATTCCCGCTACCGCCGGTCTGGGTAACCCGATCAAGCTTGCGCCTGAGGAGCACGTTCCCGCACCGAGCACACTTACCGACAACACGGTAGAGTCCACAGTCAACCTCAAGGAAGTTCCTGAAGAGGATGAGGATGCTAAGGTCAGCGTTGCGCCCATCCCCGCAACTGCTGGCGCAGGCAACCCCATTCACCTTGCCCCGGGCGAGAAGGTGCCTCACCCCAGCACTCTGACCTCCAACACCATCAGCAGCACTGCCAGGACTGACGAGGCCTCATACAACAAGTCCGACTCGCAAGCACCTCAGCTTCCCCCCGTCGACATCACTCCTCAGTCGGAGAGGCCCGCGAACGGTGGTATGTTCGGTCTGCCTCCCCAGCTCGACAACCTTATCCCTGAGTCTAGTCTGCCCATGGGCGTAGATGCTAAGGTCGAGAAGGACACTGGCGTTCACATCCAGTCCGCTGCTCCCACCAGCTCTACTGCTGCCCTTGCTGGTCAGGTTCCTAAGGAGCCAAGGGGCGTACCTGAGATTGTGACTGAGAGCCAGAAAGAGGCAGGCTATGCTCCTGAGGCGGCCGCGAACTCTGAGGCCGTCCTCGACAAGAAGCAGGTTGAACAGGAGCTCAAGGAGACGGTCCCTGAGAAGACCACTGTTGAGAACGACCACGCTCCCACCATGGAGGCTGATAAGTTTGTTGATGTCGGCGACAGCGTTGGCGCAGTCGCTGGCGGCGTTGCTGCTGTTGCAACCGTCGGCGCAGGTCTGTTCACTGGTGCCATCTACGCTACCAAGGAGAAGGCCGCTGAAGCTGTCGGTCTTAACAAGGACGCCACTGTCGGCGAGACTGCCTCTGCTGTTGGTGGAAAGGTTGTCGACTCTGTTGGTCTGGACAGTTCCAAGACCGCAACTGACAACGCCTACCTTGTGAAGGACAAGACACTCGATGCTGTTGGTCTTGACAAGAATGCCACTGCCACCGAGAACGCGTACCTCGCAAAAGACAAGACGCTCGATGCCGCCGGCCTCGACAAGGACGCCACCGCGACCGACAATGCTTACCTTGCTAAGGATAAGACGCTCGATGCCGCCGGCCTTGACAAGAATGCTACCGCGACCGACAATGCTTACCTTGCTAAGGATAAGACGCTCGATGCTGCCGGTCTCGATAAGAACGCCACTGCGACCGATAACGCCTACCTCGCCAAGGACAAGGCCGCCCACGCGACTGGCTTGGACAAGGCTGCTGACAGCGCCTATGCTGCGAAGGACAAGGCTGTTGCAGCCGTTGGTCTGGACAACTCCGCTTCGGTGACAGAGAACGCTCAGCTCGCGAAGGACAAGGCTGCTGGTGCCGCCGGTCTGAACGGTTCGATTGGGACCGCCGCCGCAGGCGATGTTCCTGTTGTCGTTGCCGAGAGCCAGAAGGAAGCTCATGCCAGCCCGGAGGCTGCCGCTAACGCTGAGGCTGTCCACGAGAAGTCGCAGTTCGAGCAGGAACTCTTGAGCCAGGTTCCCAAGTCCCAGGACCACGGCGAGTCAGCACCTTCCGTCGCTGTTCCCGCTATTGTTTCCGACAGCCAACGTGCGGGCCACGCCAGCCCTGAAGCTGCTGCCAACTTCGATGCCGTTCACGAGAAGCAGGGCCTTGAGGATGAGCTCCTCCGCTCCGTTCCTCGTACCGACGCTACCGGCGAGTCGGCTCCTGCCATCGCCGTTCCCGCTGTAGTCTCTGAGAGCCAGCGTGAGGCTCACGCCAGCCCTGAGGCCGCCGCGAACCCCCTCGCTGTCCATGACAAAAGGGAGTTTGAGTCTGAGCTGCTCAAGTCTGTTTCCAAGACTGACGAGTCCGGTGAGCACGCTCCTGTGATCGCCGCTGCGTCTTCCACCGCCACCTCAGGCTCCAAGACCGAGCTTCCTGTTCGTTCTGTACCTGATGTTGTGGCTGAGAGCCAGAAGGAGGCGCATGCTGCTCCTGAGGCCACTGCCAACGCTGAGGCTGTTGCAGAGAAAAAGGAGCTCGAATCTGAGCTCCTGAGTCAGGTCAAGAAGACCAATGAGTCTGGCGAGCCGGCCCCTACTCTCTCCGCTGCTACCGCCACGACCGCTCCCGGCTCGTCTGGCACCAGCACAACTGCTCCCAAGGTGTCTGAATCGTCCTACCCCCTCTCCACCGACTACCTGCCCGCGACTGAGGAGGAGATCAAGAGGGCTCTCTCTGACACTAGCGACGAGCCTTCGACATCGGCCACTGGTGGTCTGAACGCCCCTGCTTCGGCACCTGCCCAGACAGAGGCTACCAAGTCCGCTGCTGAGCCCACCACCTCTTCCACCACCAAGAGTGCCGAGCCTTCCTCCGCTGCCAAGGCTGTTGAGCCAGCTGTCTCTTCCAGCAAGACCGACACAACATCAGCTCCCACAACTGAGGGTCTTAACGCCCCAGCCTCTTCGGCCGCTCAGACCGAGGCCACCAAGGCGGCTGGTGAGCCGGCAAATGCCGAGAAGGAGGGGCTGTTCAAGCCCACTACACTCGAGCAGGGGCAGCCAACTGTCACAACTGGTACCGAGACCGGCACAACTGGAACCACTAGCCAGAGCCTGACCGCACCTGAGACTCCTCAGAAGGACCGCAAGGACTCCGATGTCTCACCCAAGGGTACCCCAGGCAGCCAGAGCCTTGCATCCAACTCCGCGACTGCCGACAAGAAGAACAAGAGGCGATCGTTCTTCGGCAAGCTCAAGGACAAGTTCTCCGGCAAGAACTAAGCTGGCTGTGATCGTTCTCGTACATTGAAGGTCTTTCCAAACGACCTTGGTGCTCGCTGATATACCCGAGGGTTCGGACGCCGTGTGGCTCTGCCTTTCTCTGTCTATTGTTTGTCTTACGGAGTTGGCTCTGTTTGGTCTATACCATTTCTGCTTCTCTTGTTTGACATGTTCTGCTCCAATTTGTGCTCAAGTTTTTGTTTCGCCCATGTATGCGCGTTCATGATGCATTTAGGCTGCATGTGAAGGGGGAGTAACGTACATGGGGATTTCAGGTACTTAATTCGCTTAATGCAGGTGCATTAGATTTGATTTACAATGATCTTCTTGCCTTTTGTGTGTTCGTTCTGTGTTCTCCTGAATCGTGACCGACTTTTGGTGTTGCTATGACAGCGAATCGCTCCACCTACCACATCCATGGGCAACCCCTGTCGGTGAGTTGCTTCCTCATAACACGACAGTGCCCAACTTCATCAGACATCGACTCACTAATAACATCAAAGATTTTCCCTCTAGTCTATATCACCACTTCAAGTACCTCGCTCCATGCACCTCCACAATGTCTAAACACTACGGGCACACAATGCCAGCAACCCAACAATGTTCACTCATACTCCGCCCACCATTTCACTGCATAGTATGGCAACCCGCCTCTCCCAAATACGTCTCTCGCCATATTCTTCTCGGTCAACAAAGAAAGAGCGATTCGACTACACATCGAGTCCAGCCAAGAGATCGAAGTACCCAGCGCGGCAAGTCCACCGCGACCGCATGGCACAGCCGGCGACGCAGTCTCAGCAGGCTGGGACTCGTCGACCACACTACCAGTCACATCAGCAACAAGACGCAGATCGGACCCGTCCAGGTGGTGCCCGTCCTTTACCGGAGACACCTCGCAAGCCTCATCATCAGGATTGGAACAAGCGAGACGAGGCCAACTTGATGAAGTCGTTGCCTCGTAAACCGGTTCAACGCAAGCCTTTGCAGGACATTAATCCTAACGTCTACGACTCACGCTCTACGCCTCGCGGCCCTCGCCAGCAGCAAATGCCTGCGCGTAAAGCTTCAACGGCGACTTCGCAAGCGCAGTCTCGGATGTCAGAGATGTATACCATGATCGACAACCATTTGGCGTGGAACATGTCTACCTCTGACCTTGAGTCCGATCGCCCTGATAGTTCCGGCACCATGTTCGTCGACTTCGGCACCAACGGCGAAATGGAAGTCTCCTACCGCAACGGCGTGAACAAGAAGCTGCCTACTCCACCCGTACCATCGAAGATCCTAGCGCCATCGAAGCCCACATCCCCCCGCCACGAGTCGGAAGTCAAGGAAGTCCTCGACGTACAGCAAAAGGAGATTAAGCAGCACAAGCCGCCCCCTCCACGGCCGTCATACTCCTCGCGCCACGACTCAGTCTTCTCGTCTGGCGCCGAGCACGAGGAGCACATTGATCGATTCCAGGCTCGATCGCTGCCGCAAGTCCCAGCTACCAGCTCTCGACGCACTGGAAACTTGCAACGGGAGATTCGAAGGTCATACCCACCGCAAGTGCACCGCACCCAGCGCTCCTCCTCACCACAAACCGCACTGACACACCACACCTCGCCTACCCCATCACAAACCTCCACCGCATCATACCACACTGCACCTCCTCCCCGAGATGATACCGCATACACGGTGGTCGAGCCCTCAGGCCTGACAGTGCAGTGCCACCCCTCACACACACCCGGCACAGGCTCAAAGCCCGCAACCGGATCCTATGTGTCCGGCTACGATCCTGCCACGAACTACACATACGACTACGACGGTCGCACGGTGCATGTGCACGGCGAATCGACGGTGTCGCGCCCATCATCATACACATCCGAATATTTCGACATCCCGGTCTCAACTTACAACGCCTCCATCTCCACCTACCACCTCTCTACCTCTGCTTCTGCTTCTACAGCTGTAGCGCGAGTCCAGACTGAGAGGCCACTTCCCCGTCTCCCACCCTGCGCGCAGCTGCCGGAGCCACCACAGCAGGACGTAAAGAAGCGGCGCAAGGTGCTGAAGTTTGTGCAGAAGTTGTTGCATAAGCTGGACGATTTGGGGGTGATGAAGGATTTGTCGTCTCATAACCGCCAACGGCATTCACAGCCAGCTAGTGCGACGAAGCCGTGGGTGGAGTGTAGACATGTGACGTAGAGAAGCGGAGTCGCTGTAGAATAATTGGAGTGGAGGGAAGTGATTGAGGTGTGGGGTTTTGAGGGGAGGGGGAAATATGAAGCCATAAGCGTGTCCGTCTAACAAGGAAGATTGGCTCGCAGGCACGTGGGTGGGGCGGCAGGTTCGATAATAACGCGGACAAGCCCAAAAAAAAGATAGCTGGATTCTTAAGAGGATATGTTGCGGCAGTGTAGTGTGTGGAAGTGATACAATGAACACGATACCCTTTTTTTTCTCTAATGCTTTTTGTTCAGTTCCCTGACTTCGCGATATGTGACCCCATTCCCTTGCCTTGCCTCCCATGTACATGTGTTCAGAGATAAGAGTGCAATACCAATACAACTTGCCCACGGAAGTGCATTTGCTCGTACAAACTCCCGTCATCTTCCAGTAACAACAGCGCTGACCTCCCGAGAATTGCATATGGACAGCGCTCGTGTGCCTTCAGTCCTTTCTATCACGAACACTGTGTGCCTACCATGCATTCTATCATTACCATCTCACTTCAACTCGTGCAGGTACATGCCCAGCAAATAGACTCTGTTGCTCATTCTCGCTTGTTCCATCTTCCGGCGCGTAAAGTTAGCCTGCATCTGCGTGGCTTCGGCTGGATTCATCTGATTGGTGTCGCGAAGGTAACGGATAAGGCAGTTGACGTAACGGCGCTCAGCTCTCGCCCGGGCAGCGGTGACCTCAGGGAAGTTGAAAGTCACGCCTGTGCATCGTGACGAGAGGTCCTGAACGTTCTGCTCTTGGTTGTAGGCGCGCTCCAAGTTCGTCCTTGCTGAACACAATTCGGCTGCTTGAGCGCGCAGCACGGTAGGCACGTTCTTCACCCGGGCCTTGTTGTTCCTCCTTTTGCGACCAGATCGCGATGCCGCCGCTTTAAATGCGAACTGATTCGGGTCTGGACGCGTGTACTGGTTGTCTTTGACATACAGGCGGCGAGCAGGGCGCTGAGCAGGTATCTCGTTCATAATCAGGTCTACGATGTCAACACCTAGACTATGTCAGTGACCTCTTCATAGATCATCGCAGGCTCCTGCTCTCTCCACATTACTTGCCTGTCGGGTATCGTCGCTCGTTCTCCAAGCGATCTTTGGCTTGCTCATACATGTTGCCGATGTCAATGCGACGAAAGCAGCTGCGAATGAGTGCTCCTTTGAACTCTGTCAGGAGGGCCTCAAGCACGTCTGAAGGCATGTCAGTAGATCCACAGCTCAGAGTTTTATGGGTTACGCTCAGGGCTCCGAAACACCGCCCTGGGGGTGTCCGCGGCACTGTACAGAGGTCCTCACCTATTCCTTCATCGTTTGCTCTCGCCATTCGAGACCTCACGTCCATGTGGCACCTGGAGGTATTCAGTGACGATGGCTGCGGATCAATCTTACCTGCGAGCTTTGGCACATGGCCAAGTACGACGTGCTCCGGTAGGTATCTGTGTGGCAGATACTCTTCCTGCAGTGAATACTCGTACCACTTGTATGCATCTGACGGGTTGCCCCATAGAGCATAGCATATCAGACGTTGGTAGCCCGAGGGTAATGGCCGGCCTAGGGAAAGCTCTTGAATGCCTCCACGCACGGCTTGGTCGATGCGATCGATGATATCCCACCTGTATTCGAAACCTTCGAAAAAATCTACGAGCTCGGGATCGATCTTAGTACGGAGGGGTCGGTAGGGGTAGTTTGCGGGAAGCGTGAAGTACTCCGACTTCACGACGCCATCAACATATCGCGCTGGACGGGTGTATCCTCGCAAAAAGTATTTGTATGCCTCCAACGGCGACAACGTGTTGAGCTGCAGGATTGTCTCGCGGCCCTCGGGGCAGTTTGCAATCTCGGGGTGACCGCACAGAAACTGGTCGATCTCCTGGAGAAAGCCTCTGGAGATTGACCTCTCCGCCAGGTATGAGAGCAGCTCGTCATCGGCATAATCGGCAAAGCACCGCACCTAGTTGCTGTCAGTGGCGGTGTGAAGATATGCTGGATGCCTCCAGGCACCCTCATGATCTGAATTACACAGAAATGGGAACCCCACCTGGTACTTCTGATTGTCGTCTCGCCTTATCGCCCAGGTAAGGGCTTGCTCGCTGTTGTTGAAGTCGAAGACGCGTCCGCTTCGTGACGCTCGACTAGCCTTGGCTGTCTGGGGAGCGGGAGGGGGCACCTCGTAGCAATCGCTGTCGTCACCGTTGTCGATGATAATGGGCGACAAGCGGCTGCGCTGCTCGGGGTTGTAAGATTTCGGAGGTGGCTGCTCGATCCACTCGCCGCCAACCCACCAGCCGCAAGCTTCCTGCTTGGTGGTGGTGGGAACGGCTGAGCCACCTCGTGGACGAGGAAGCGGTTTGTACGGTTCATCGTAATCATACGGCCGCTGTCGTATGGCGGCGTATCTAGCCATAGTGCGGCCGCTAAACTTACCTGTCAATGAAGCACGGTGACGACGTCAACGATGGAAGGGCGGCCTCAAGGCGAGCTGGCAGAAGACGAGTCTGAAGAATACCTAGACTGCAGTGAATAGAGGCAAGGTCGGTATGAGACAGGACGAGAATAGAGTGGGACGTGATATGTAAGATCTGAAGGACGTCGAGGTGAGAGTGAATCGTGCCCAGGTGGCTCGACTCACAACAACAGGAAGGCACACGTCCAGTACGCGGTAGCTGTAGACCAACAAACGCACAAGCGAAGCCAGACCAGATGTGAAGCCACAACTTCGAAAGGAATATAGAACCACACTTAATGAAATTGAGTGATGCAGCCAGTTGCCTGGGGAGCAATTGATGGCAAGTGAGAGAGTTAGGTAACAACAGAGACAAGCAACGCATTCACGAACATGTACATTCTAATGAGCTGAGTCTGGATATACGAACCGAACCTTGACGCCACCCAATACGCTCCATGGTCAAATCAAATATGCTACAACTACGACAGGTGCTGAGCTTAGAACACACTGATGTAGTTGCCAATGCGCTCTTTCTGGTTCTGCGCGATGCACTCGGCTATCCAGGTGATGTTGCGGATTTCCTGTCGATGCGTTAGCAGAAGTTGCTGGATGTTTTGAGATGTGGTACGCACCTGTTCGCGCAACTTGACCCACGCATAGACAACGGCGTGTGTGAACTGGTAGGTGAACGCCAACTTCGAGATCTCCATCTCTTTCTGGTAGAACAGGTCTTCCAAGCTTCTGGATTCCCCGCCTGTGCCGCCAGCCATGTTGCCAACACCGCCACCACCACCCTGGCTGAGCCCTGTCTGGTCGAAGAAGCTCTTGTACTCTGCGACACTCTCCACAGCGATGCGCACACCCTCAACGTCATCTGCTCGTGAAAGCATCGTGGTTCCCTCAGGGTGCAGCTTGCCGAAAGCGGGGTACAGCTTCTTCCTGTCTGCCTTGGAGAGCTCGGTGCCAAACGAGTTCAGCGAGATGTTGATGCTTCTGCGATCCGCCTCGAACTCCAGAACCTCGGACATGACATCTGATGTGGGCGTTCCGGCCATCTCGGGGTCAGTGTTGACCCAATTGTGGAAGTCTTCGAGGTAGTTCTTGTATAGGGTGTTACGGATAATCTCGATGTTCAATTCATCCAGATCCTGGTGGCTGAGCGAGCCCTTGAAGTACGGCGCAAGCGGTGTCTCGATCAGAACAGAGTTGTAAAGCTCCTCGATGTTGGTAGCCACGCACAGCACCGGCATTGTCTCGAACCAGCCAAGGGGGTGGCACCGCTCCAACAGCTCACGAGTGTCTCTCTCATGCAGCGTACCCGTAATCAGCAGCGCAACATTGTCGATCATGTATCCGTAGGTCAGGTACTCCATGAACTTCGAGAGCGAACCGGTAGCGTTGGCCTGGATGTAGCGGAACTCTGCGACGAGCTTGTCGGTGGTTTTGGCGGCGAGCGCAGATGTCGACGGGTTAGGAGGCAGGGAGGCGAGGAAGTCTCCATACGCTGGCGAGAGCTGCAGCTTGACGTCTACACCTTGACGTCAGATAGTCTGGATAAACGCACCACCGCAGCAAAGCTTACCGTCGATGGTCTCGCATTGCGTCAAGTTGCTGTAGTTCTGGCTGGTGAGCAGCGCATTGCGGTAGCCGCGCACAACGCCCTCGATGTAGCTGTTGAATTTATCAGAAGAGGCCGAGACCTAGCTGCACATGCTGCACATACCCGTACTTGACGTTGTAGTAAAGGCCCTCCATGATGCAATGGTATAGAGTACTGCTGCAGAAGCTCAGTTGCCGTCATGGTGTGCTGGCTAGCCTGAGCGGTCAGAGTTCTGCCGAGGTGGCCTGTGCGCAAACTCGTATAAGTGCTCGGCCGAACGCGCCTTCTTCCTCGACATCGAACTTTCAACTTTCGAGCTTTCACGTCTCTCTGCGCAAGCACTCCCAACACCATCCCGCTCAAAGCAACTGCAACCCACACAACACTCCAACACTCTCGATTTCGCAGCGATCGCGCGACAGATCACAACTGCTTTGCAAGTCACTTCCCGCAGCTGCGCAATGCGCCCGCTAACTTTTACTGCAGTGCAATGTCGACACGTCGCACGCGTCGCGCTGCCGCGATTACTGAAGTCACCGAGGAGGTCGTCACTGTCGAGACGCGCAGCAAGCGCACGCGCGCCGGACAGCGCAAGGCTGCGCCTTCCAGAGCTTCCTCATCCAAGGCACAGGGCGAATCCACACCCACCAAAAACACATCCAATACACGCGCCAACGCGCAGCCCGCCACGCGTTCTGACGCGGTCGTGTCTACACCCGCCCCCGCGACTAACAAGCGCCGGCTCCGCTCTACGACGACGGAAGCCGCATCACCCTTACGCGCCTTAGATGAGCAACCTGCAAAAAGGCAACGGACTACCTCGAGGAAGGCAACTGCGTCCACACCTGCTCCTGCGCAGACAAGTCCAGTCGAAGAGGAGGATGACGAGGAGACCCCCATTTTCTTTACCAAGAGTGAGCCCCAACTTTCTTATCCCTCCCACTCGAGCACCCTGATCGAATTTCCTCTTGCAGGCTTCGACCATATCGCGTCGCAGCTTCGAGAGCCACTCCTTGAAGGCCTTGCGAAATCCGAAGCAACATGCGATGACCTGCGTAACAAGGTTTCTCGGCTCCGCGCTCACATCTCCGAGCTCGAGCATAAACTTCGCCAGCAACATGACCTGCTAACGATGCTCACGGCTCAAGCTAACGCGCCAATCTCAGAATTCGACTCTTTTGACGTCGATCAGTCAGAGCCGGCCAAGTCAGCATTCATGACTGGCGATGAGTCTGCAATGGCTCTGCTTCGGCATGTCCAGGAGGCCTCCAAGGTCCCCGAGTCCTCTACTCCCGCCCCCGAGATCGAGGCCACACCTGCGCCCAACTCTCCCTCCCCGACCCCCAGCCAGAAGCCGTCGACTCCATCCAGGAATCTATTCAGCAGCTTCACTTCACCATTCACTGCCCTCAAGAACCTCTTCGGGTCTTCAACGCCAGCACCAACATCACCCACACCATCACGACAGCCTCCAGCCGACACAATGACTGAGGTCCTTTCGATGCCACCTACGCCCGTCGGAGAGCGCCCCAAGCGTCTAACCAAGAAAGCTAAGAAGCCGAACCGCCTCATCAAAGCCCTTCTTCACGGCGTTGATGCGCAAGACCTCAACAAGGCCACCGCATGGGCCACGCAGATTGCCGCCGACCTTCGCAATGATTCCACCGCCGGCGAAAAGCGAAAGCGACTTGAGACCCCTGTCCTGTTTCGCGATCTCAAGCATCTTCCTTCGAGCAAGCCATGGCAGTCCGGTTTCAGCTTCCCAGAGGATGTCCTGGACCTCGAGGAGGACGACGTAGTCCCTGCCTGGGCTGTGTACACATCCATGACCGAAGAAGAGGAGCACGAGACCAAGAAGACCAAGACTGCCCACGCCACCTCTATCGACGACGACATGCCCGCCTCACTCAATGAGGTGTTCGGTACCTCGACTGCCTCCACCCTGGACTTCCAACCCCGTCGCTCTATCGACCCTTCCCCAATGTTCGACACGCCACTCCACCACCAAGAAGGCGGCAATGTCTTCAAGGAGCTGCGCGGTCACGATGCCGCCGTCAACGATCGCGAGAACCTCCAGCGTGAGCTGAAGGCTGGAGGCATTCAGCGTCAGGACGAGGACGAGACTCACCTCTCCGATAACTCTGAAGGCCCCCAGAGGGCTCATGACCCCACACATGGCTCTTTCAGTGTCCCGGACTCTGATTCCGAGGATGAGGATGAAATCCGTGCACAGCCGGTCTGGACTCAGGCTCCTCCTCCCGCGCCCACCCCCTCTCACGTTTCGTTGCCGAATACAACACATCATGAGGAGGTGGAACGACAGCGACAAAAATTGATGAAGCATACACCTCATAAGCCAAGTCGCCTTCAACAAGTCAGCTACCCGTCTCCAAGCCTACTCTCTGATGCCGGTGATTCTCCCTTCAAAATCACCCAGATATTTGGGGAAGTACCCGAGGTCGAGCCACTTGTATTCGACGATCCAGAACTTGACGCTGCTCTCGCAGCGATTTCTACCTCTGAAGGTCTCCAGGCCAAACTTTTGGCAATGAACTGGTCAATGCCAACCACCACATACGACTCCGAGGAGGAGGAGCTTTCGCCAATCTGAAGGCAATTTACGAGTTTGACGAATTTATGATGAGATACCCCGGTCGTTTTGCATAGGTTTGCAATAGCGATGATACAAGGTTTTGGCGTTATTGAAGGTTGTTTCGGGATTGGAGTACTTTCCTCTTCATCTACTGTAGTCTTCAAGCCATCCCCTCCTCCATCAGGTTTGAGAACTTCTCAGTTGAGCTTGGCCGCAAGGGCTCGCTCCCGAGGGTGATCTCGCTTGGTGGAGGTTGGGTTTTGGATAGCGGAACGACACGTTCACAACACGTTGTAGCCACCAAAATGCATTGTGACGCTTGAGTGAATGAACGCTAACACCGGAGGTTCCAATCCTGCAGCTCAGCCAGGGTGTTAGGATTAGTGAATACCTCCAGGGTCAGCTGTGAAGGATCTGAAATTGAAAAGAGGGGGACCTCCAACCCTGGAGCGGAGTGAGAGTTTGCGGGTGCTGAGTGCCTACAGAGTCGGCTTCAAGAACCTGAAACAGGAATTCGAGAACATGCAAATCTGGTGAACATAGTGAAGACCTCCAGAATCAGCTTTGACACCGATTTATTGAAGCCACTTTGCACGTACCGAGTCTGGTGCGTGTTGACCACCAAGAACCTCGAAGCATACCGCTCAACTCAAAACATACCGGTACGATCTTAGGCCTTCTCGACATCCTTACGATACAATCTCTCGATACATCTTTTCCAAGAGTGAGTCCCACCCTTTTCATCCGTCCCTCAGAGGCATCCCGAGCGACACCTGTGCAGGCGTCGATGGGATTGCACCAGCGCTTCAGAAGTCCTCGCTCCAAGAGTGCAATGCGGATCTCGAAGCGACATGCGCCAGTCTGCGCGCCGAGGTTTTCCAGCTCCGCAATGTGCAACTTCGGCGGTGCGAAACACATGTCAGGTATGGCTGGTCGTTCATCTCGTCGCTCGTGACGCGGAGATCCAGTGTCGATTTGTCCTAGGCAACCCGATACGCTGTCAGTATTGAGCCGTTGTCATCGCTGTCGTTGCCACAGAGTACGGAGCTTTCCGGGCGCTGCGATACCATTCATACTTCGCATCCACATTGTCATCGATCGATACACACGCATCGCTCGCAATCATGCACACATGCATGGCCATCGTCCTGGCGTGCTTGTTTGGACAAGGGGTGGAGGAACACTGAGCAGCGCGGGAACGGCATGGGTCGAAGCGAGGAGTCAATGTTGGTTCGAATATGCTGGTCAGGGGAAGATGCTTCAACTCAGTTTGTTTCTGTGTGAAGAGCAAATACATACTACCAATCAACACAATCACCATCAAATGCGTACCCCGTCTCACACCTACCATCACTCCCTCCACTTCCTCTTTCACCCACCACCCTGAATCAGTTTCTCCGCCGCCTCAAGAAACACATCCGCACCCCCATCACACTCCTTCCGCCCCTCCTCCAACCAGTCCCTAGCCTTTTCAACAACCAGTTCCCACTCGTCCTTGAACTCCGACAACTTCTTCTGCATGTAAATGATCACCAGCGCAGTGGTGAGCAAATGCCCTCTTTTCTCCTCCCGTAGGTCACTCGGCAACGACGTATCATTGACAAGGCAAGTATCCCGCACGACGCGTTGGAAGTCTGCAACGGAGATGGCGAGCCATCCGAGGACGCGTGGGTGGTACGGGAAACAACCCGAGAAAGATTGGTGGGCGATTAGTGCGTGGAGGGTTTCGGTGGATGTGAAGGTGGTGGTTGTGGAGGGTGGGAAGGGTTGAGATGGTGAGATATCAAGGAAGCTGGGGGATTGGGGGGAGTATAAGGGGGATATTGGGGGGTATGACGGAGAGGCGGGAGAGTATGAGGGCGAGGTCTGGGAGTAGGATCGCTTCTCAATCTCGCTGCGCTTGATGCTGCGACGCTTCTTGGATCCAGACTTCTTGCCAGTGTCATCAAAGCCGGCGAAGCTGCCGAAATCACTGCCATCCCCGGTGTGTAGGAAGGCGTCAAAATCGAAATTCTCGAGCGCTGCGTCGCCGTTGGAGAGATCCATGCCGATGTGGAAGTCGACGTTTTCCGGCAGTGGTGGTTGAGATCCTGCAAACGGAGGAGAGACAAATGCGGAGGGGGGTTGGTACTGCCCCAGGATCATGTTGCCCATGTGGCAGTCGCGCAGTGCGTTAGATACGGCGGGTGCGGCGGGGAGTGAAGGTGCGCCGTAGGCAGAGGGGGCGCTGAAGAGCGAGGATGAAGAGGGAGGTGCTATTTGGGCTGATTTTGATATCCGCACCTGAGACATAGGACTCCCGGATGAAGTTTGGAAACGTTTGTGCGAAGTTGTGCCGGGAGGTAGTGTGCGGCCGCCTCTTTCAGTACCTGCACCGAAAAGACCGCCACTAGATGGAGCAGGCGAGTGAGAGGCTCTGAAAAGCGAAGCCGAAGGGTTTTTAGGTGGCATGGACTGCTGCTGCATCATCGTGTTCGGATATTGGTGAACTGTTCGAGCTCCTCCTCTCCCGCCCGTCCTAGTCATCCCGCCTGTTCCACCGCCCCGACTTCCACGAAAAAGAAGCGGCGTCTGCGTAATCGATGGCGCCGAGCCGAACAGGCCAGTCGCTTGGCTAGCTCGTTGTTGCGCCTGAGCAAATTGCTGTTGCTGTTGCGCCTGAGCAAACTGCTGTTGCTGCTGCGCCTGAGCAAAATGCTGTTGCTGTTGCATCTGTTCCCGCTGCGCTCTCCTCACTCGATTCGCGCTCATCCCCGGGGACGCGAGATCGGGCGCTGCAGGCTGCTCGTCTTCCAGGTAGTCCCAGTGCTCGTCCATCGCGTAACCATCGGATTCCTGCGCTGATGTTTGTTCAGTAGCGACAAACGAACACCACTTCCCGCCAACCTGGAATTGCACACCCAAACGCACGGCCTCGCGCTCAACCATATCGCTGAAGCGTCCATCGAAGCGCGTCTTGAGCAGTTGCCCACCTGTATCGAGTGCGGAAGCGAGCCAGCCTCGGCCCTGCTCGAGCTCGGATACAGCTTTCTTGGCGGCAAGTTGGTGGATTGTCTCGCCTGGTGTGGAGAGGGCTTGGATGGGGATCTCGAGTTCAAGAGGGCCGTGGGTACTTGTACCGCGGAGTATGACGGACGTTGGTGTTGCATGGGGCGCACCGGGGCTGAGGAGGAGGTAGATGGTTGTGCGGTTGAATGCGAAGAGGGGCGGGATGGATTGTGGTGCTTGAAGGATTTTGGGGGCTGGGATAGGGGGGAGATGGGCGTAGCGGTCTTCTCCGGTTGAGGTTGCTGTGGATAGGATGGTTTGGTCAGGGTCTGCAGAGGTATCGAATAGTGAGATCGGCTTCTTCGGTTTCTTCTGATGGTAATTAGTCTGAGCCCGGCGTATGTTCCACGATAGGTGCTTACGATTTTCGTGAGGCCTTCCTCGTCCTTCAGGTCGAGCTTGACTTTCAAGCTGTCTGCCACCTTCTCAACGATGTCGAAGTCGTCACTCTCTTCGGCGGCCAGGTACTTGACCTCTAGCGTGTAGTCGTTGACGTGCGGAGACAGAGCGCCCTTGAGCATTCGCACAACCTTGCTGCTCATCTTCTCTCCTTGTTGTACGGACTGTGCGAAGCCGTTGCCTGCTTTCGCAATTCCCTCGATGAGTGAGTGGGACACTCCACTTCCAATCCCCAAAGTGAAGACTCGGATCGGAGACTTGTTCTCTTGAATTTGCTCATTTAGATAGTCAAACACATCTTGTTGGTTCCAGATCTCGCCATCAGTCAGCAAGATGATGTCGAGTGGCATGTCTTTGTATCGGTTTTCTATGGTCGCTTGTAGAGGCGCGAGCATCTCCGTGCCACCATAGTTGGCTTGAAGCCTCTCAGCATGACGAGTGGCGTTGGCAAGTGTATCTTGGCCGTATGAGGCGCTCCTTGGGAACAAGAAAGAGTGCCGGCTGCCAAAGGAGCATATGTTGAATTTAACACCGACCGGAAGAGACTTCAAGAAGACCTTAAGCGCCTCAATGGCAAGATTCATACTAGAACCCCCCATACTACCACTCTGATCGCAAACAAACACAACCTCTGGCTTCTCCGGAGGGAGGGCGAACTTGGGAACAAGCGTCGCCATCAGTGCTCGATGGTTCGAAATCGTGGGGTGAGTCTCGAGGATAGCTTTCGGGATGCCAGTGTCTTTCGCGATGACTTGCAGGACAAAGTCAGTTTCGAGATGCGCTACGCCGAGGCTCAACGTGGCTGACGCCTTGCTCATCGACGGAGTAGCATCAGGGTCAACTGATGTCGTGCCCATGGACATGGAAATGGGGTGTGTTGGCGACTGCAATTTCTGGATGAATGAGCCTTCCGCCATCTCAGCATCCACAGTGATTGCGATTGTGCCGTCCATTTGGCGGAGCGAGTCGAAGTGGACTCCTTGAACAGTTCCGTACCGCGGACAGATGCTGGTAGGGATAGTGAACCTGACACCATCAACTTCCATGTCGTGCTTCAGCTCGCCAAGATAAGTGATGTTGACGACGACCCTTGCACCCGGCGGAATGTTGCCGATAGTCGTGGTAAAGACATCTGATGCTTCAGGTAGCTGCTCGAGTAGGCCTGCTGTCTCACCTCGCGCAACAGCGTCTCTGTAGACTTGCTTTGCCTTCTCCTTCTCCTTGACCTCACCGACAACCAGACGACTGCCTACCTGGCATGAAAACCCTACCACGCTCACTCCATCGTAGAGTGGGAATGCGTAGCGGACTTCTCTGATACCTCTGGTGGTTGAAGGGTTTACAAAGCTCTGTTCGAGTACTGTGCGGGACGTGGTCGCAAGGATGCTGGCATGTACCTTGACCTCGACTTGCGGAAAATAGACCTTTTCTGTGCCCCCGAAGCGTGGCACATTGTAGTAGAGTCCGCAAATGGGCTCACGACGGCCTGGTGTACAGCCAAAGCTGCCGTACATGTTGATGAGTAGCCTCTAATTATTTTCTTGGTTGGAGAGGGTGGTGGAATGACAGTGTGGACCTGGGGAGCTCGGAAGTGTAATTCAGTGGATATCGGTGACAGCAGTTCGGAGAGGGAAAGTGTGAAGAGGAAGAGAAGGGCAATGAGGGGGTATGTATGTATGTATGTTTAATACCGCACCAAGGGAATCATGGTTGAGGCCACACTGAGGCCTCCCAGAGCGCGGAAATGCCGCCTGGACCAGTCATCCAATGCAAAGGGGTGCCTGCCTCGTGATTCGGCCAACGACAAGTCGAGACCTCTCGAGGATGTGAGACTCGATGCTTCCTCATCATTGTCGAACGCTACCACGAGCTCGATCAAGGAGAAAGAGGAGGCCACCGTAGCGCGCTCGACCGGAAAACCGGTGTTCCTTATACGGCGCGAGACCTGAGCGGTTGCCTGCTGAGGTACCGTCCACGGGTACCCTCCCGTGCGTCATCTCGTGTGACTGTGCAAGGCCAACACAACTATCGTGCTAGCATGCTTGTCTGTCCTGAGGCTGCAGCATCTTAGATACCGAGGGCTAGACACCAATGATGATGGATGAGGACGAGGAGAAGGATGAGGGGGGTCGAAGATGAGGCGTGGACGGCAGTCGGGTAGCGCTGGACCCTGCATGAGCGTCACGATGGAAAAAGAGGTGAGTGACTCTCGCATCCCACCCTGCAATGCGGCAGCTATTCACCCCGCTGCCCCACGCAGTCGCATTCCCCGAGTTCCAGCAGTCCTTGCACCGTCTCTTCTGCAGGCGACGCAGCTTCCACCAACGCTCGAGAGTCCCGCTCCGCGTGCAACGGGCCGAGAGAGCGCCGGCTGCAAGAAAAGTGATGGCCGAGGGCTACGAGAAATGGCCGCAGCAGCAGTTGATTGCGCGCATACAAGAGCTGGAGCAGCTGGTCAAGGGGAACGAGGCGACATCAGTACACGCGTCTGGCGAAGCTACAACAACCGCAATTCCGCCACTAGAAGACGAGTCGAGACCAGTTCCGTTCCGCAAACCGGCCAAAGCTCCACCGAAGGCGTTCGATGCGTCCAAGTACAGCACACGGCTCATTGCGCTGAAGTTCGCATACCTGGGGCAGAAGTACAATGGCTTCGAGCACCACAACAACAACAAGACCCCGCTGCCGACGATCGAAGAGGAGCTGTGGAAGGCGCTGGTCAAGACTCGCGTGATCAACCCCACCCCACCGGAGGGCAGCGACACAGACTACAGCAGGGTCGACAGGAAGACGTTCGCGGCCTGGGACAGAGACGGCGCAGATATCAATTGGGAGGGCTGCGAGTACTCGAAGTGCGGGCGGACGGACAGAGGCGTCAGCGCCTTCGGGCAGGTCATCGGCATCCGCGTGCGCAGCAACAGACCCCTGCCAAACCCCAACCCCACAGAGTCGTCAGACCAGAACAACGCAACCGAAGACGAAGAGGCAGACCTCCTTGGCCCCGAAAGTGAGCCCGCAACAAAGCCCTTCAACGACCTCACCGACGAACTCCCCTACATCCAACTCCTCAACCGCGTCCTCCCCCCAGACATCCGCATCTACGCCTGGTGCCCGAACCCACCCGCGGATTTCAGCGCCCGCTTCTCCTGCAAAGAACGACGCTACAAGTACTTCTTCACGAACCCTTGCTTCGCGCCCGTGCCCGGCTCGTCCGGGCTGTACAAGTCCAACTCCAACTCCAACTCCAACTCCAACTCCAACTCCAACTCCAACTCCAACTCCAACTCCAACTCCACCTCCACCTCCACCTCCACCTCCACCTCCACCTCCACTCCAGCATCTGGCAACGTGCCGATGCGCGAAGGCTGGCTGGACACGAAGGCGATGCAGGAAGGCTGCGATAGACTGGTGGGCCTGCATGATTTCCGGAACTTTTGTAAGATCGATGCGTCGAAACAACTTACGAACTTCAAACGGCGGATCTTCCACGCTTCCATCGACGAGGTCTCTCCTCTTTCGGTCCCCTCGTTCTTGCAACACTCGGCCCTCACGCCCCCAGTAGCGGGCGAGCGGCCGAAGATGTACGCCTTCACACTCCATGGCTCCGCGTTCCTCTGGCACCAAGTCCGCTCTATAGTCTCAATCCTGTTCCTGATCGGACAGGGCCTCGAGCCGCCCTCCCTCGTCACATCCCTCCTCGACATGGACAAGAACCCCACACGCCCGAAATACGAAATGGCATCCGACGCCCCGCTGGTCCTGTGGGACTGCATCTTCCCGCACGCATCGGAAGTCCAGTCCAGCGAAGAGCGGGAAACGGGGTACGAGGATCGGCTGGAGTGGGTCTATGTCGGCGATGAGGGGGGTGTGGAGCCGAAGAGTAGCAAGACGCTCAAGGGTGGGCCGAGTAGTATGGGAAGGGGGAAGTGGGGGAGGGGAGGCGTGGTGGATGACGTGTGGGAGGTTTGGAGGGGGAACAAGATGGAGGAGACGCTGTCCGGGCTGCTTTTGGATAGGATTGCGGGGCTAGGGGACAGCACGCTTGACAAGGAACTTCCGGTTGGGCAACAGAGTGTAGGGGCTGCCAGGGGTGGTCCGAGAGTGTTTGACGGAGGCAACTTTGGCAGGGCGAAGGGCAACTACCTCCCCGTTCTGGATAGGGAGAGGCAAGAGCCGGTGGAGGTGGTGAACGAGCGGTATGCGAAGAAGAAAGGCCTGGATCCGAACCGGTACAGGAAGGCTGACGACGAAGACGCTGGAGACTAGCCCGCTCCAGCCGACATGAAGAGAATGCAAAGAAACCCACCCTCAAGGCCACACATCTTAGTGACGCACACTCTTCCTGGCACCAAACTAACCTACATCCCTATCCCAGCCTTCTCTTTCATCCTCCCTCCTCCCCCTCCTCCTTCTCCCCCTCTTCCTCCTCCTCCATTCTCCCACAAACACTTCCTTGCGCCCCTCCATACCTCTTCCAGCATCGCCCTCCTCGGCAGCAGGCTCGGAAACACGACAACGATATCCTCTTCGCCCTTCACCACTATGGCGAGATAGAACCGGACCTCGAATCCTCGAAACGCCTCGTGTATGAAGATGTCCTGGATGTCACTCGTGGGAATGAAGCGACTGCTCGGTGGCTGGAGGAACGTGGATGCGGAAGACGACGTTTGTACGCCCAGGTCGCGGAGGAGGGTTAGAGACTCTTCTGTGTAGCGTCAGTGAGCACTCAATGTGCGCACCCAAAGGAAACTCTACCAGTGTGCCCTCTTCGTAGCACCAAGAGCAGCACCACGATTGCTCCAGGGCCAACATACTGCCACCCCACGTTCCCAGTACCCTTCAGCAATGCGGCCGTTTGCGGTCCGCCCAGCAACCAGAGCAAGACGTCTGTGGGTTGCCCGTAGCTAATGCGCCACTTCACCCACAAAGCGAAGACTGCACACACTCCAAGCAGGAGCCGTGTTAGCAGGCCGACGTAGTAGCGTAGCTTTGCGGCGAGGGTTGTAGGCACTGGTCGGGTGGAGACGGTGAAGGATACAGTTGAGGATGTGGGGCGGAGGGTGCGGAGGGTCTGAGTGGGCGGCGCTGTGAGGCGCGCGAGGAGGGCTAGGACCATCGTAGTATCATCGTGGGTTTGGTTTTGGATTGTGAGTTTGACGTTCCCATGGAGGGTGGGCAGTGTAGAGCCGAGAGGTGGAGGGAAGGACGACGCGACGCGCCTACGATGCGGGAAGAAGCGAGCCCGAGACTGGGGGGAACGCGGTCCGAGCTCAAGCTGGAAAGTTCAGGCGCTCGAACTTTGACATCGTTCAACACCAACAACACAACGCACCTATTCCGTGATCGCCCCAGCCTCAAGCAGCGCCTCCCAAATCCATTCCGAAGCCTCACACCGCAACCCCCAAAAGCCAATATCGCGGCCAGACATGCCATCACCCTCGCCTCCCCGCACAGCACGCGCAGAAGAGGGCGCGCCAGAACCGCGCACCCGCTCGCGCTCGCGCTCCCGCTCTCCGCGTCGAAGCCGCAGTCCCGCGCCCCGCAAACCGAAGAACTATGCGGGCCTGAAATGGAAGAACGACAAAAAGGACTCGTCCTCCCTTGACTCGAGACGGCGCGACGACAGGGACGATAGGAGGAGGGGTGAGGGGAGGGATGGGCGCTTCGACCGGCGAGACAGAGACAGGCGCGACGAGAGGGACAGCAGGGATGAGAGGAGGGGAGGCCGGTACGGTGGACGCGATGAGAGGAGGGGAGACCAGTACGGTGGACGCGACGAGAGACGAAGGGATGACCGGGACCGTCGTGACGACCACTCCGACAGGCGTCGACGGAGCCGGAGTAGAGACCGCCGTCCACGCTCAGACAACCCCCCCAAAGACAAGAAGCCCACCTCCTCCACCACCGCATCAACCGGCGAAGCCATGATCATCGTCACCGTAAACGACCGACTGGGCACCAAAACGCAAGTCCCCTGCCTCCCGTCAGATCCTGTCAAGGTACTGAAGGCGATGGTGGCGGCCAAGATCGGGCGCCCGGTGCATGAGATTATGCTCAAGAGGCAGGGCGAACGACCGTTTCATGATAGTCTGAGTTTGGCGGACTATGCGATTAGTAATGGGGTGCAGATTGATTTGGAGTTGAACACAGGGGACTAGATGGGCGTGTGTGAGGAGGGGACGGGGATGGGAAGGATGGTGGATCGAAGAGAGGGGGGATGGGATGAACACGATTTAGATGCCCGAGGTACCATGAAGGAAAGCAAAGGGTGCAGTGAGATTAGAATATTGTGGCAGGATTAAAGTAAGATACCCATGCAACAGCCTTTGACTCTTACAATGCATCTTACCTACAGCACATCGACCTTGATTTCAGATGCAATACGCGTGCTGAGGCAGTCGACATCTATGAAAGGTCTCATTGCTATTTGCATCGCTCTGTATACCTTCTACACGAGCTGAAACATTTGCTTCTCATACTTGTCACTATCCAACTCGCGTATCATCTGCCCTTCCATAGCCCCGTCAACACAAGCCTCTCCGACGACTAAGAATTCTTCCTCGTATCTGTCTGCTGATCTGCGGAGGATAAATAGAACGTCACCCCCGTAGAAGATGCAAACAACATCGCCTGGTCGACAGTATTTCGAACCCAGTACCAACCTTCCCTTTGCTTGTGAGGAAGAGAGAACAGTGACTGGTGGCGGCATACAACATCTCTTGTGCTTGCCAATGACGAGCCTCGCCCAAGGAGGCCACCGAACCTGCGAACAAAGTTCTGATCAGAGCATCCGAAAGCTTCTCCTCCATCGGTGCGGAAGAGGCCTGCGAACTGCTCGAGCGAGATATGTTGTTTATCACACAAATGCTCACAAGTCGGATTTTCGTACGCTAACTCGAGATAGAAAGCAAGTTGCTACTAGTATCGGTGCTTGCCAGAATGTATGCGCCCACCCTATCTTAGTACACAATTAGAGAGCTTAGATCTAATTGGCTGGTACGTGTGTTTGCGGCTACACTAACAGTATCCGTACCCTGGGTATGTGGGGCAGTGATGTAGTTCGTGACGTAGAGCACATCTGCAGCTACCGTGAGAGGCTGTAAACACCTGGATCAGGGTCTGACACCTGGTACCAGGTAATGCTTCACGGTGTCTGTTGTAGAGTAGCCAATAAGATACAGGCGCTTGGTTTCTGTACCAATTCTGGGTGGGGGCATACACTCCATCAATTGTTATAATCCTCGTATGAATCGCCGTCTGAGTCCACCCCCGTTTTCGTTTGCACACAATTCCAGAGCGATCTGACGTCCAGACAAAAGCCTCCAAGGGCTATGGTGTCAAATTTGTATCCTTTGAAAACCATGCCTTGGCTGGTGGAGACGACTGGGTGTGGCTGCCTTTCCCTATCGCACTGAACTTGCGACACTCCTCGTGGCGTACCAACTTGACACCCAGCGGTATAGGATAGTCGCGAGCACAGGTGAATTGATGCATTGGAGTTTCCCGTCAGACGAGACTTCGATCGTGACCATCTACAAAGGGGACTCCAGGTCTGAGCCATGCCGTCGGATGCATCCAAGGAAGGTACCCCAGCAGCGCAACTCAGGATCTGCAGAATCCGATAAGCTTTGATGCGGGTGCATACCAAACGCTTGTGGACCTCTTCGATGGAAAGGGAGTAATCCGCAGGATTGCTGAGAGCATCCTCGTGTCTCACTAGACTAAGAATGGCGAAGATACGATCTCGAGGATTAGTACATTCACGATCTCGCAGTAGCACAAGAGCCTGCAAGGGACTCGGGGTTTGCTCTTGTTCTGGCCAAATTCTTTGCGTCGTCCAGCATTCACGTCTGGCCCACAGTCGTTGAAGACGTGCAAGTTGGCCAGCCAAAAGATGTTCCCATATGGACTGAAGAGTCGCCATGAGTTTCGACATAGGCTTCGGCATAAGTTATTCGCTGTTCTTGGGTACTTGATATGCCAGACAGCACGCAACGACGTCCGACACAAAGATATGCTCTCTTCGCAAGAAGCACTTCTTGCACCACCCACATCCGAGTCCACCACGGTCTGAGCAATACATCGCCGATACCAGTCTAATACATCCCTTGGATATCATCAGGGTCATTGGCCGTCGCCCGATGTTTTGCAGGATGCAGAAATTCTTCCAACCAAGTCATGCCGGCAATACTCTCTGTAGTCGCAAGACCGATCCATGCGAGGAACGTGTAAGCAGAGGTGTATAGGTCCTTCATGAGGCGTCCTTGGTGATTCTTCCTACTAGTGTTTGATTGATCGATATACAGGGTATCAACCCAGAGTATCGTCGGCTTGTCCGTCTGACGGAAAGTTTGGAGCGCTGACAAGAGGTTCGCAGGTATCGAGATCATTACTCCATTCACCTTGATCTGTAGTGTATTTCGCACATTGCCCCACGCCCAGGAGACTGCTTGGAATGCAAGTGCGCTCGGTAATGGAGTGCGTAGAAGGTAACCTTCGACCGGACTATCCACAGTTACCGCCCTGGGATAGAGCGGCCATTTACCACCGGAAAAGGTTTTGTCTACGCTTGTGCAACAACACCCAAACCTTGATCGGATACATTCAAGAAGCTAGTACGTGAAGCAAATCGATAGCGTGCTTGACTAGTTCTGTGATGGGGCTGTACCATGAAGTCAATACTGAGATCTTGATTCCCACCGATTGAGCTAGGCTGATAAGAGAATGTGACCACTTCATCATCCCTCATCCTCATTGTGTTGCCTCTCTAGCTCGATGTAACGCTCATAGCCAGTCACACTTCCCGCTCGCAATATGTCGAATTCTTTCTTTGTAGTCCGGACTCCGATCTTGTACGGCCAAGGCTCCACGATAGCGTGCTTCTTCCTGATTTTGAGCCCATGTATATGTGCGAATGTAGCAAACTCGCTGTCCTTCAGGAAACAATCAAACCAGTGTTCCCAGTCCTTGAACATATCATGACAGCTAGTACGGCGAATGAAGCCAGGATCCCCTGCATTCGTGATGTGACCGAGTTCCGTACGGTCGAGAGGCATGTATTTGTCGAGACGACGCGCAGCACGCATAAGGTCAGATCGCCACTTATCAGATCCTTTGTTGGCATTCTCTGTTTCAGTAGCGGCATTGAGGAAGAGCATGAGAAGAGCAGCTTTTGGACTGTCAGACCTCAGCTTGAGGAGTGGTGAAAAGATCTGGACGCAAGAATGTGGTCCAAGGAAGCCACGGTCACAGATATTTGAAATCTGCGCGTGGTAAGCTTTGGTGTCCGGATTGAAATAAACCTTAAATGAGATCTAGCACAAACCTCGATACGATCGAATTTCATGTCTTGCAGGTATGGTCCAAGATCGCGGGCATCCATACAAGACATTTGGAAAGATATCTTGGCTTTTTGGAGACGGGTGCAGAACCTGTTCAACAGGTCGCGCACATAGAAGAAGACAGCTCCGTGTTCATCTGCCTTAGCCACTGGTGCATGCTTCATATATTTGTGGTAGGACCAGCCTTCACGGGGATTTGAGCTGTCTTTCATGGGCCAGTCACTATCCTGGAATAGCGTCCTAGTCGTGGATTAGTCGAAGCCTCATCTCGCACTCTGGAACAGCTTACGGGTTTGGAGTGTCGAAAGCTGCTATCGAGCACCCATACGGAAGAAGTACGCCCTCCCTGCGGAAGTGTATATCCACCTCCCTCAGGGCGCAAGGCCACTGCAACATGGCACGCTCACGGTAGTCGACCCTTTCTGGCGCTAGAGTAACGCGACGGCGGATCATCTGAGATTTCTCTAGAGTGACTGCCTCGGGGACAATGAAGAACTTAGCGAGATTGAACCACTCTTCCTTTTTGAGCACAATACGTAGCTTGTTGCCATTGAAAGCGAACTGTTTCGCCTGCATTGAGCCATCGGGCCTGTTTCTGATCTTGGTACAAACATCCTCTATCAGAGGTAGCAAACTGAACTGAAGAACGTCGACCATGACACGAGGAAGTATAGCTGAGTACCAGAGATGGATTATCATCGGTACCGCAACCTTGGCATCCAACAGCAGAGCTGTCATCAGCATGATGATATTCCGCGCCACGATTATAAACTCCTTATCGTTCAGTACGACACGACATTCTCCCTCGTAGGTCTCGGGAAGGTTCGCGAGAGATGTGACGACGTTACGAAGATCGCCAGAGGCTGCAAAAAGGAGCGCCAAATCATTTTCAATGACTTTGATCTCACCTTCGTTGTTTTTGGAGTTCAAAATATCTAACGCGGGCATGTTGCCCCAAAGATATTTCTGTGCACCGAACGGGACGAGTGGTGCGCCACCAATGAATGCAGGTTGTCGGCCTTTGCGAAACCAAGTGGGTTCCCACGAGTCCTTCATGAAGGCGGACTTGCATGATATTTTGTGATGCTTCCAGTCGGAAAGCTGGCATTGTTTGGAGCAGTACTGAGATTTTGTTAGTGAGGCCGGGCAGGAGGGCATTCCAGGAGAACAGGAGTTGAGAAAACGGTGAAACTCACCTGGACCAGCTTGCAGTTGCCGCAGACATTATTGGCACCCTTCTGGCAGATTTGTACCGCACCATCGACAATCTGCCTGTTGTTTGCACAGAGAGCTGGGTCGAAGAATGTCGAGACATCAGAGACGATGAGAGCCATCTGGGTGAGCAATTCAGCGGCTGTATAGACCAGCTGGGCGTTTTCCCCAGAGTCTTCAGCTGGGCACTTATGGTCATATGTTAAGCGTACAGCATGCGCTATACTTGAGTCGTGTACGCGATGCCCCACTTTGCCCGCACGCCAGTCCACGTCAGCCGCTGTTAGTAAACCGTTGTTTCGGGCCGCTCCCGTGTAAGTCATGCATTTAGTGGCCCAGTGCGCCTGCGATCCATCGTGAGCGCCCGCACAGCATGTATGGCTCGGGAAAAGTCTTCTATTGTGCGCAGTCTGTCAGCACGTCTGCAGAACAGCTGTGTGTACTCGCGCATCGTTAATTGGCCTCGCTGGCCCCCAATCTTGCCCTGCTGATGCATTGGAATGTGAAAATCGCTTCGGAAACAGCTGCAATAGGAGCACCGCTTACCTTGGACAACGCTAGGATCTCCGGCTAGCGGCCCACTTGACTTTTTACAGGGTCAGTCAAAAGCAAGGCTCGCTGATGCATCTCGACCTATTTTCCACTGAATTTACTCCAAGTTCACCACAATGGATTCTGTTTCCATCGTATCATTATGGTGTGCGAATTAGGACCTTAACCAATCCTGCAAGTCAGAAGGCTTGTTTGTCTGCAAGAATCAGCAGCATGTCGGTAGCTGGAGCGGCTTCGAATGTGAGCGCGCTGTTGCTCAACGAAAGGAATACCTTTAGTCCGCCTGGTAGTCAAGCCGGCACCAGAAGCCCTTGCCGAATGAATAGCCCATCGCGCGACAACATTGCCATACTGGCTTCCGCAACCCCCCCCCCCCCCCCCGACAATAACGGAACCGAGCTCAGGTCTGAAAGGCCCGCCAGCTAGGAGAGTAAGGGATGTCATGGAGCGGCTGGAAGCCGGGTTGGACAGAGGCTGGATACCCTGCGAGCTGCGAGAGCTCATTGAGGAAGATCTAGATTTTGATTACCAAAGGATCGAGCGTCATGCCTGGGACCAGAGCACACCGCAGATCCCTTTGGACCCGTTCACCGACGGTGGGGTGCGTACCGGATTAGCGTACATGTTGAGGAAGGTGAAGCAGATCTGGCTGAATGCGCGAGTGTGCAGTCGAAAGGCCGCGATAAGAACGCGTAGTGCATGGAGGTGATCCAGCCGTTGGTGAAGCTTGCGATGAGGCTAGAAGGGGAAGAGAAGTTCTGGCTTCAGAGCGTGTACCTGGCCCTTCACCTCGCTGAAGACAAACCTTACTGATGTTCGAGCAGACAGTCGCAAGCTATCGCTGCTCAATTCCTCTCCTCCGTGCCCGATGCCTCTAGCAAAGCTCTCATCCTCGACCGCAAAGCTGACTTCACACTCTCTTTCTCTCATATGCCAGCACCTGGGTTTGAAGATCTTTACAGCCGGCTCAGAGCTGCGGACAGTCCCGTCGTAAGTCACATGGTCGACGCTTTCACGAAGACAACTGCCCTCTTCTCCTGCGTGGAGGTCAAGTCCGCTAGTGGCGATCACACCGAAGCCGAATACCAACTCAGCATATGGATGGCAGCCAGCTTGCGAAAAAAGATACAGCTTGCGCGGCGCGCGGGAGTGATGGATAAGAGCGGGCCCGTGGAGCCCTGCTTTGCGATCGTTGGTCATAAGACACACGTTTACTTTGCGTACATGGCATCAGAGGGGAAGGACGCGGTGCATATTGTGGGACCTGAAGATGGATCCTTCAGTCTATGTGAGACGACGAGTGTGAGTGGTATATTCCGGGCATTGAGGCTTTGGCGAAACGTGTTTGCATACGGGATGGACAAGGAAAGTAAGGGGTTTTGGGGGGCTTCATGGGGGTGGTATTGCAGAAACTTGCTGGAGACATTGATGTAGAGCATGGTGCTCTTCTTGCCTCTGCGGCAGGGCCTTCAGTCGATGCCGTATATGCCCTTGCTTCGTAGAGTATGGTTCTCTTGCTGGCAAGATTGTTGAGTTAAAACCAATATCGTGGCAAGCCTCGTCTGCACGTTCGTTCTCAACGTGGCTGCCAAGATGCAGAGTCACAACAGTATGGGCGCAGGTCTGCAGAGAAAGCGAAGTTCGGATAGTTGTAGCGTAGGATATGGAGGAAGATATCAGCCGCTGTGGAGTGTTCTGGTGTCCACCTTGTCTGCCGCTCACTCAATGATATGCAGGTTGACAGTTTTGTCCCTCGCTGCCATTGTCAGAGTTGCTGTGCCTATATCTGCTCCAAAAAGCCTCTGGTTCCAGTGAAACCAGTTTTCTCCCCGGAGTATACGCTCGAGTGTGTTCTTATCATAAGAAGGGTAAAATTGTTCTTTCCCTCGCCAAGACCTACGTTTCAGGTCGAATAGTATTCACGTCTGATAGCTCCCACCAGTCTCCTTGGAGACGACATCGCAGAGCCTACGGAGCGTCAAGGCGTTAAGTTCAAAAGTCTTCCCAATTTCATGAAGAGTGGATTCCCAGGTGATCCAGGATGCGCCGGCATCTCCGAGAGAAGTCAGCCTTACGTGGGAGAGTGTAAGAGTGCATAACGTATCCTTGTGAGCAGCCAAAAACCTTATCAGCGTCGGCGCAGAGGTTGTCTCGGCATTCACAGAGGTGCGTAGTGATTTCCTCGCCGCTTCTCTGTTTTCCAATCAACAGGTAACGCACGGAGGCGTTTTCTGCCATGAATTTGTCGCTGTACCCGCTGCCTTTGCTTAGACGTTGGTGATGCTTGCTCATCGAGAGGATTTCCGCCGCCTAGAGCTGTAGAGGGCTGTGCTATGAGGTTAATCGCTCAGCCTTCCGTATGCTAAAGCTATCCACGTGACCCTGCATACTACCTAGATCAGTAGATTAGTCTTTGGTGTTTCGAAAGCAGTTGGCAGCGTGAAACGAACCATGCAAAGGCAGTCCAAGCAGCAGTCTAAGCTGTCAATAACTTATCATTCTCTACCATCGTTCCCTCTAGTCAAGAACGCCGTCATCTTGCCCTTGCCTTGGCAATACAAACTCCAGAATCGAAACCATCCGACTTTATCTCTTGGTAAAAACCGTTGTTGGGGCTGCGCACCCAGTCTCCCATTGCTCCAACGCTGAACTCTAGTAGCGATAACGCGTAGAGTAATCCTTTGGGCTGACCACTAGACCCCTCCCTTTCTTCGCTCCCCTGTACACCGTCTCAATAATATCAATCAACTCCTGTTTATCCTCAAGTACCCAGTTCAACTTGTTGTTGTTACCCGTGCCAAAATCGCACATCATATGCTTGTTCCTGAAGAAGAACATAACTGTGCATGGATCGTACAGCTCATACATAGCTTTGAAGTCGGGTACTTCATCGAGGTCGCAGACGTACAGCGCAGCGAAGTTCTTCACTCGGTCTGCGATCTTGTAGAGTACTTCGTCCTGGCGCATGCAATCGGGATCCGAGTCGCGACCGAAGCGGATGACAACGAGGCGGTCTTCTTCGGAGAGAATGGCTTGGTCGACGTGCCAGCCTGTGCGCAAGTGGGGCAGGACTACGGAGCCCATGGTAATGTGTGTGAAGATCTAGCTGGAATTTTGAGTGCGCGAGAGTGTGGTGACGTTGGTGTTTGCCTTGGCAGGAGAATTAAACTTCGTGCAGCTGACAGATGTAGTGCGCAGTTGAGAATGAGGCTTAGAGGTGAAGTTGTTGGTATGGAAGAGAAACTATGGCTGTAGAAGATTTGTAGAAATCTTTAGAAGCTTTACGGCAAGGCTGCAGTGCGCACAGACGCAGACGCGTGCCCGCCATCGACCCGTGTCTAGCGCATCCGTCTGTTGTCTATCCAGACCTCCAACCAGCATTCTGCGGCGATGGGAGCGCGAACCTGGCCATCAAGGTTCTCAAAGTTTCTTCTATTAAAGCCTAGAGTCTCCTCCGCTTCATGGTCCCCTGTACTGCTTCAAAAGAGCCCTGACAGCGACGCTTGCTTCAGTGGATCGTCCTTCAGCTCCTTACTCTCGAGTAGCATGGCCACTTGCGCATCACGTATCAGACGTCGAACTGTACAAGTCGAATGACAAATAACTGTTTTCTCATATACTTATCGCAATTACTAATCTACAGATTTCTTGGCGTCAAAAAATGCGTTGACCTCTGAGCTCTGGCGATCTTACCTCCGGTATTTGGAAGCTTACCCCTCACTATCGCCGACGACTTTGTCACAGTGCATGGCTTGCAGCGCATCGTAGCTGCAGATAAGAAGCATCTAGACTCACTGCTGGAGTCATTGACAATTCACGGAGCGTACACTGACCGATCTTTATGTCCCTTGGCCCGGTGAGATGGGCAAGTATATGATCTTGTTGCCTCGCTCTTTCGTCTCGCAGCCCACAACTACCAGGCACATTGTTTTCTACTGAATAATTCCCTAACAACACAACTACAGCAAGGAGACTGGTGTCTATCCAAGATCACCTAAAACCAACAGACATGGAAGAGAAGATCGCCCTTCCCTCCGAGGGCGCCCATGGCGAGCGAGATGGTACTGCGACAGCAACCTGCTACTGCGGTGCCGTGCAAATCGAGGTACCTACCGAAGGCGAGGGTCTAGTCGATACCTTCATCTGTCACTGCACCGACTGCCGCAAGATCACTGCAAGGTAAAACCTGACCAATCTCCAAGTACCTTATATCGTCTGACAAAATCACAGCATGTTCGCATCCAACTTCGTAGTCAAAGACACCCACCTCAAGCACCTCCGCGGCGAAGACAAGCTCACCCGTTTCCGCCAGAAAGACACCATCGCAACCGGTAATTACATGGAAAACTCCTTCTGCAGCGTGTGTGGCACCCTTCTATATCGCCGCAGCAGTGGCTATCCTGGCATGAGCATCCCACGCATTGGCACGATCGACGATTTTGGATTGCAGGAGACCAAATTCAAGCCGAGAATCGAGACGTTTGAGAAGGACCGGTGCGCGTGGCTGAAGCCTGCGAGTGTCAAAGAGCACGTCGACGGGGCGTACTACACCGGCGGGAAAGAGTGGAAGAGCATGCATGACGGAGCTGGTGGAAAGGGCAACTAGGAGCCTCAGTGGAGCATAATGAAGATAGAACTTATGGCAGCTCTTGATTCCTTATTCGAACCCTTTAGCGTATGAGTCAATTTCCCGAAATTTGTCGCATGCCTTACATTATTCTGCACTTGCAATTAATTTATGTCTCACCGCAAGACTGCAGGAATATGGAGTTTCTGGATCGGCATTCTTATCTCTATGATTTTGAGGGACGCTGACTGCTTCACACTTGTCACAAAATGGCAGGAGCGTCGTAGCGAGTGATACATAGGAGAGTTATCAATGGCGCTTGCGACACAGATTTTTGGCCTGGACTGGCTCGTGATTGTATTGCTTACCTGGCGACGTAGAAGAAATGTTGAGATAAGCGTCTTTGGCAGTATGTGTAGAGAAGAGGATGATATTCTTACGTTAAAAATGGGTCTACAACTTTGGACATTGAGAAGCGCGCATCTGTGTATGCGGATGTTCATCATTCTCTCCATCTAAGATCTCTGTTGCCACTACCGATAGTTTCTCATGCTCGGAAGATGAAGACAGTGGATTCCTTATGGCCTCAGAAACCATATCACTCACTCAAAGGACAGCTGAGCGTCCTAGCTGGAATCACTACAGAAGTGAGGGCTTCTTGGGTCCAGCTTTTCGTTTGCGCTACGACGTTCCACAGCATGTCGTACTCACGATCCTTTGCAAGTTGGGCACCAGGAGAACAAAGTGCGCTCTCCACGACTGAAGCCCTGTGGTTCTTGCTCAGTTTCAGTTGTCCAGTCGCTTTTATGGCTGAGGTGGGGATTGATGAGTTGAAGCCTCGGAGCTACCGTGAGTTGTGCAAGGCGTATTCTAGAATCGTTGAGGAAGCGGTGGGGTATGTTTGGAACTCTGAGGGTTTTCGGTGTAGCCACCTCTCACGCCTACAAGAAAGTCGGCAACAAGGTGTTGGGCTATCGGTTTTTAGCTTGCGACATGGGCAATTGAAGCATACAAAAGCTTGTTAGATGAAGCAGTTTGCTCTTTCTGCAGCCTAGAGGATATGGCTCTATTGAGGGACTCAAGCGAGACGTGCAGAGTGATTCCTGGAGATTGCCATTGACGATTCTTTAGCCAAGATTTTCTTAAGTACGAGAGGCCACATATATGAACTAAAACTAGTTCTGTTGAGAAAGCAAAGAGGTAGACTTGGTGTATTTTCAACGATCCACTAGACGAACCGCTATGCTCTGCCTACGTTGTCACGAAGCATGCTTCTTTATCATCTCCAGGATCGCTTCATTGACCCCCTCAAAATTCGTTGCATTCAGGTAATGCGCACCTCCTTCCACAATTCTCAGCTTCTTGTCTTTGCTCGCCGTAAACGACTCGATATGTTCGTGTTGCACCTGGCATTCATACGATGCATCTTCCGTCCCCTGAGGCCAGTATATAGGACAAGTAACATCACTTAAACGCAATGTCAGCGAGTCGCGCGGCATTAAGCACAGCACAGCCATCCTCGCCTTCCTCCTCCCCTTCCTCCCCAGCATACGTCTCTTTCAGCACCTTCGTCCAGAAGCCCGTCGACTCATCTGTCGCATGCGACCCAAAACCGAAACTAGCAATTATCCCACACCACTGGCACTCGACCACTTCGTGCAAACGGACTGAGCAGCAGAACAGGATCACAGCACCCCTTCTCCCTCGATTCGGGAGTCTCGGTATCCATGCTCGTTCCTAATGGTAGGAGACCGAGAATACGTTCAGGTGCGAGGAGAGCATACGCACAACCAACCATCCGCTCTGACTCGTGCCTAGAACGAACGCCTTCTCGACATTCAGGGCGGTCATGACTTCCAGGGCCACGATTGCAGAGTCCCAGTAGGTAAAGTGACTGGCTTTAGTAGGAAAGGTAGTTGATCCGTGGCCGAGGGGTTCAATGGCCAGGATGTCCATGGCATGGTGAGGTTGGTGCCGTTAAATTGCGCGTCGAAGAGTGCGGTGGTCATGCACATTGAGCTTATGCAGGCCAATGTGGGTTTCGATGGGTCGACGGCATTGTTGGTGAGGCGGTAGCCGACCTGGAGGTTGCCGAGGTGATTGTGATGGGCATTGTGGGGCATGGAATTGTTGCATACAATCTGTTCGGTGTCGTTGACATAAGAGGGATAAGAGTAAACTGGCTTTCTGAAGTCACGTCCGTGGAATCAGGCGGTCACCCAAGACGTTTGAGCCGTGTGGATCTCGCATACCGGTAGCCGAAAAACGGGCATCCTGGTAACGGGGCGTATCCGTTGGTACTCATTCGACAGCCGGTGACATTGTCGTCAGTCAGGTGTCCTCACAATACGGATGCATGGAGGCTGCTACAACATACAAGTCTTCGTGCGAGTGAGATGTTCGTTGTTTGGTACCAAGGATGATGCAGCGTTGGAGAGCTGACCAACCAGACTCATCCTGGTGGGGCAAGCGGGAGCTCGGATGAGCGCCACGTTCAGACCTCGCCGACGTAGGAAAACAACGTTGCGAGTTCAACGCTCATCTCTCAAATGAAGGTACCTCCCTGAAAGCAACACTACATTTATCACTCTCTCAGCTCATGAGATTTCATTCAGCGCCGCCATCAATGTGGATTCGCATGCTCGGGCTATATACCATTGTAAGATGTGGAGTTAGCCTCCATAGAGCTTCAGCGGAAAGCTCACACGTGCTCCTACCATTGGCTCGGTATGCCTTGTTATCAGCAACCACCAACCACCCCAGTGCTGGATTCCCGTATCGCGGTACCGGCTCTCCGCCAACGCGTACTTCTGCAGCTCAAGACGGCTAAGAGCTTTGAAGAACTTGCTTGAACTAGACAAGAATCGTTCAAGCCTTACGTCCATGACGTTGCCGGCGTAGAAGCCTCAATAAGCATTCATCCTTCACCCCGGTGCGTGGGATGAATGCTTGGCCCTCATGCATTGGGTTCCTGCAGCATGCTGCCACCTCGTGCGGTTGACAACACGCTATCCTGATCCAGACCCTCGGATGATCAGCATAGTTCTAGTATAAGATGTAGGTCTCTCGCGCCTGCAGCCGGGCGGGCGTGCATGCATTTTCTTCTCTGGGTAATAAGTTGAATCATCACTCGGCGGCAATGAACTCCCTCTTAACCCTCGCTTTGGCAGCTGCTGCTGTTGCTGCTCCCACCAGCAGGTCTTACCCCACTAGCAACACCAGCCACCCTGGTCACACCAGCAAGAATGACAGCTACCTTGTCTCGTTGGGCCCTCGTCCCTACTATATCATCAACAACATGACCGACGGGCCATTGAAGCAGAAGCTCCAATCATGCGAGAACAAGCCGGTCACCATTAATCAATTCTCAATCGGTCACCGTGGGGGCGGTACTCTTCAGTTCCCTGAGGAGACCCAGCAATCCGAAGACGCAGGTGCTCGTATGGGTGCTGGTGTCCTGGAGTGTGATGTTTCGTTCGCTAGTGACCGTGGGCTTGTCTGCCGTCACTCGCTTTGCGACCTACACACGACCACCGACATCCTGCTTCGCCCTGAGTTGGCAAAGAAGTGTACCATTCCGTTCACCCCAGCAAACGCGACATCACCCGCCAATGCTCTTTGCTGTACCTCAGATATCACCACCGCCGAGTACAGCAGCCTTTGCGGCAAGCAGGACGGCTTCAATGCCTCTGCTCGCACACCTCAGGACTACCAGTATGGCACTCCTACCTGGCGTACAGAACTTTACGACACCTGTGGCAAGGTTTTGACTTTGAATGAATACATCGATCTTGTCAATGAGTATCCCGGCTATCGCAACTTCACCCCCGAGCTGAAGACCCCGCCCGCCCAGGTCCCCATGCCTTTCAAGGGCTACACACAGCAGCAGTACGCTCAGGACATGGTCGATGCTTTCCGCAACAAGTCCATCGACTACAGCCGCATCTGGCCACAATCATTCACATACGACGACATCATCTTCTGGCTCAAGTACGACCACGAATTCGGTAAGCAAGCCATCTACCTTGTCGAGTACGACACACCCGAGGACATCGCAGCCGGCATCTCCAACCTCACTATCGCCAAAGCTGCAGGCGTGAACATCATCGGTCCCGCTCTTCCCATGCTCCTCACCGTCGGTGGACCTCAGAACAAGACCATAGTGCCGTCTGCGTATGCCAATGCAGTAAAGGCTGCTGGTCTCGATATCATTGCGTGGACGTACGAGCGCTCTGGGCCTCTGGCGACAGTGAAGAGCCGTGGCGAGTACTACTTTGAGTCTATTGCGAATATCACGTACTATGATGGGCAGTACTATGAGGTGCTGGATGTGCTGGTTAATCAGATTGGGATTAAGGGGTTGTTTAGTGATTGGTCGGCAACGGTTACATATTTTGCTAATTGCTTTGGGTTGAAGGGGCCGGTTGGAGGTAGCTACAAATAGGCTGAGCGTTGCTGATGAACGACTAGAGATTTATGATATATACGATGTTAACCCACAATACAGGCGTTCCACCCGCAGCTCTTCCAAATTGCATTGATAGCTCTGAAGTCTCTCAGCCAGGCCGTTTACGTTGGAATCTGGGATAGGGCATCCTATGATAAAGCCTCCTGGGTCCTGCTGTATCTGTCGGGCGAATATAATCACGCCATGCTACGACTTCGTGTGGCTCGAACTCCGTCAAGACCTTTACTGTCGTGGTCCCTACTGCCATACGTGCCAGTTCGCCAAGCTTGGTGGTCCACAGCGAGGATGCTTCGCCGGACAAAACAATGGGCCGGACGTTGCGTATAGAGCTAAACGGTCTATTCAAGGTCGACGACATCACATCATGAATCCTCCAGTCTTTTCGTAATGCCTCTTCGACGAAGTCATTGAGGAATATGTTCAGCCGTTCTATGTACGCTCCGTGCCAATCTCCTGTCCCTGGATCAGCCCGTGTTGCATCTGACGCCACTATTCCCTCTGATACTAACCTCAAGAAAGTCTCCTCCGCACTCTCTACAGAACTCCATGTATACAGTTGAACACATGCCCAGTTCAGGTTCGACTTCCTTGAGCCACGCGTAGAGGAAGTCCGTTTCGTACCCTAGGACCATGACCAAGTCCAAGGAATATTTGGTCAGCTCGACAGCACCAGAGGGGCTGTATCGTGATGCAATGACGGTAGTGGGTGTGAAGGTAGGACCGAACAGGCTCTCAAGGGAATCTAATGTATCGGCGCGCACGCAAGCGATAGAAATGACAAGGAGCAACGATCGTAGGAAATTTATGTTTGATTGTTGCCACCGTAGGCTGCAGGTCGGGCGAAAGAGTTGTAGAGCAATGTTAGGCACAAGATGAAGCGCCCCTGCGCCGTAGAAGGGCATGTGCAGAGCTTAGAAGTTGAAATGCGCAACGTTTATTCGCACTTAGATTCCGAAAGTGCGTGTCTTGGATTTGGTGCAAGATGGCACCTCGCCAGTTGTACATCACCCGCTGAGTTGTTCCTGCCCCGCTTGCATAGTCTCGACGCAGCCTTACTGTGGAAGGGTTGAGATGGTTGAGTTGTGGTTGATCTGAAGAGCTATATCTGGAATCGATCAAGACTATATAGTAGAAGGGAATAGCAGTGAAAGGGTGGGGAAGCAAACCAAACTGACCGAATGAGCTGGACAATTAGAGAAGCGTACCGCTGGCAAACACTTACAAATAACTTTGTGCTTACAATAACACTGAGACGACAACGCGAGCTTCCAGCGCTCAAGAACCCACTACCATACCATTTTCGACACATCATCCGGTGCTACCTTCCTAGGCTTTCATCTACTCGAACATCCTGACAACATTACTGTTCATCGTAGCCTGATCGCACTCAGCCTTGTACCCCAGTGCGTTCGGGGCATCGTTGCACGAGAACAAGTGCGCTGTTTCGAAAGAGCTTTACGCAAACGTCGCAACGGGCGATCCGTGAAAGTCACCTTTGTATCTCACCATGGCCGACATGGGACCATACAGGCTACTTGACGCCTCGAAGAACGAGATTAGAGTGCTACACCTAAAGCCAGGGAATTCCGGCGACGATATGAGCGTCCGCCTGGAGGTTGTCAGTCTGTATGATCACTCATCTTACGAAGCATTATCATACGTCTGGGGCACGACACTGTCACCGAAACCAACCTTGGTAAATGGCTTCTACCAACTTCAGGTAACTATCAATCAGCAGGACATCACCGAACGTAGTCTCCAGGTCCCGCTCCTGGACGATATCTATACATCCGCTATCTATGTTCTCATATAACTGGGGCTTAGTGTTAGGGGACAATTCGATACCCTCTTCCTGTGCCTACGCCCTGATGATCTTCCTAAACGTTATTCACTCACCCAAAAAGATTTTGTAACACTCGTACAGGAAGTCTCCCTGTTGAAGGACCTAGCATGGCTTTCTCGGACGTGGACTGTTCAGGAGCTCATTTTGTCAGAAAATAATCAGAAAGTGTACACCGGATATAGGTGTGTCCCATGGTCAGTCCTGTTCGGAGGCATCGAGCGGCTTCTTCAATCAACAGACTACGCCAAGGCTATGATCACTGCTACCGAGGAAGTCAGAACTATCTTGATCCGTTGGATCATAGAAGGCGAAAGGTTACGGGAATCTCATAAATTTTGAAATCCGAAGAAGCAACCATTGTACACCCGGCTTCGAGAAACAGAAAGTTCGTTAGCCACCGACCCACGTGACAAATTTTACGGTCTCTTGGGCATTTCCAGTGTCAGGAAAAGTACCATTGTACCGGACTATACTTCGTCTCTTCAGAAGGTGAATGTACAAACTGTAACAGCTATGCTGCGAGATAACGATGTGAGGTTCTATTGGTCCAGACGGTTACATTGCGAGGACTTTGGCTCAGATATCACCTGTGATTGGCCTACATGGGCCGTTGACCTGACACTCGAGTCAAGGCAAGTCGCTAAGGTTGTATTGGGAGGACAAGACTGGAACTGCCAGCCCGGGCTCATGCTGAAACTCTTGGAAAACCTTTTCCGCGTGACCGTTCACAAACGTTCTTTACATCAACATGTGTGGCAAAGGTACCGAATGATGACAGGGTTCTGTTTGCGACTGGTCGCATCTTTGGTCGCGTCTCTTGGGCATCGACTCCTGGGTCACTCTGCGATTGCGAGGCAGTACGCTGGCTACACGAGGTGTATCACTCTTCTGCGGAATATAGAGGCTATACGCCTTCCAGCTTTTTGGAGGCTGTGGGAGATCGTGATCCAGGAGTTCAAAGGCATCCCGGAAACGTTTCGCGATCAACGGTTGCCGGCATTCGAGAAATATCTGCAGTGCCCCAGCCCGTTGACTGAGCAATGTCTTACTGAATGCGAGGAAGACCTGTTGTTGGTGGCTGAAGACATCAGTTCCCGAACGATATTTGCAACAGAGCCGGGGCATCTCGGAAGATCATACCATCTGGCGCCGGACCGCAGTCTACCTGGCGATCTGTTCGTTGGACTTTTTGGTGTCGACTTCCCTTCCTACTACGTCCGCTTGGAAACAGCTAGTACCGAATGATCAGCGTCACGCATGCACGTTGTTAATCACGTGTGGGGCGCGATACCAGAGTGCGAAAAGCGTCTGCCCAAAGAGGACTGGCCGATTCTAGAGAAACTGGGACTGCGGGTATTTGAGATTGTGTAGTTCAGCAATCACATCCGGTTTCGTAGCCCTTAGAGCACTGCAATCAAGCTAGCTTCGGCCGCACTACGCCATCTCCCTCCCTCTGCCTTAAGATCCAATCCCCAATCACATCAAAATCTCCCATAACCCCATAATGATCACTGACCCACTCTTCCTCACCTGCCTCTCTGGCCTCTCCACGTTTCTCCTCCGCAACCTTGACACCCGTCCCGATCCTCTCAAACGAGTTTACCCTTACATCCCCACAAAAGAGTATCTTATCCATACGACTACATCCAAACTTCTCTCTCATCGCAGCAGGAACCTGGTAGCCCCACGTATATCCCTCGTCACTATCTTCTTTACCGCCAAGGAAGAGATACGCGTCTTCGAGTCCATTGTCGGTGTGCAGTTTCCAGTCAAATGGCTCAATGGCGTTCAGATCGCCGGCCAGGAGCGCACACGCTACTTCTGGCGCGTGGAGGTATGCTGCGACGGTGGAGAGCTGGTGTGGTCGGACTGGTGGAGAAGCGATGAGGGATTCGAGATGTACGTTGCAGAGGCGCAGGACTTTTGATGTCTCTGTATTCGACGAAGACAGGTTGGAAGAGGGTACAAGTGCGATGTCGACAAACAGCCCATCACGGTCAAACTTGCTAAGGAATGGGACGCGGAAGACTGATGCAACACTTAGGCGAGCATCGATGAGCGTCGTTGTGCCGTAGTGTGGTGACAGCCAGGACGATCGGTCTTTGTCTGTGATGTTGAAGCGAGTTTGTATCCATCGTGAGGACGTGATGAGGTCAAGATCTGACGGCGTCATTTCTTGTAAGAAGACAACGATTGCGGTGTCTGGTGGCGTTGAGGTGACGAGAGTCTCGAGATATTGCAGAGCGGCGCTCATACGTTCATCACCGAAGGGGACGAGCATGTCAATATTCCATGATATTAGGCGGATGGCCTCAGGGTTGAGGCGAGGTTTCGACGCTGTTGGTGAGGTCTGCAAAAAGGATGCTGGTGTCCATTCGCGATCTTGCGCAAAGAAGAAGTGCTCTTGTTGCCTTGGATTGTAGAACTCATCTTCGCGCTTTTGAGCGGGTCCGGACTTCAGTGCAGCCGCGAGGACCTCCATGATTGGGAGTTGTTTTGAGGTCGACATATTGCGAGTTGATCGTATGAATGCAGACCCAGATATTGATGGCAGTAATGCGCAAAAAGAAATGAGCGAGGTAAAACGAGATCTTGACAGAGAAGAACGTCTGAATAGCAATCTCAAGATGCACCGTGACATGTTACCTGCGGACAGCTGCGGATGCGGGGTGTCGCGGGCTTACAGCCGAGGAATGGCTGACCTGACCTTCAAAGGACATTACATTGCATATGTATATCCAAATCTACAGCGTCGGATTCAGACTAGATTGGTACTCCCATGATGATTACCGAAGGGTGAAAGAATCGTCCAGACAGCTTTGACTTTTGGGGTGAAGGCTGCTGCACGTGATGGCGCACTAGCGCGGTGGATCCCTGCCAACAATTCGCGAACCGTGTTGTGACAGTCGCGACTCGAGGAAGCTACGACATCGAATGCATTTACGACGATAACGCCCACCTTCACTACGGCCATCCTCTTCGTCCGCTCCGCCGCCGCTCTTTTATCGCAAACCTCCGCATCGGTCTTTCCTCACAAACATCCACAATGGGCTCACGACTCCACAATGCGCCCATTGTTATTGACAATGGCAGTGGCACAATAAGAGCTGGATTTGCAGGCGAAGATGTGCCAAAATGCTTCTTTCCTTCATATGTTGGGCGGCCGAAGCATGTACGGACAATGGCAGGAGCATTGGAGGGTGATGTGTTCATTGGGCCACAAGCACAGTCACATAAGGGGCTGTTCAAGATCAACTATCCACTGGAGCACGGCATTGTTACAGACTGGGACGACATGGAGCGGATATGGCAGTATGTCTACAACGAGGGGTTGAAGACGGTCAGCGAAGATGTAAGTGATCTCTATACAAGGACAGCTCAGGAGAGCATATGGCGGATTATTGAGCTAACTATCGGTCGTTCTAGCATCCAGTACTTCTTACAGAACCACCGCTGAATCCTCGGGAAAACCGCGATGTTGCCGCCCAGATCCTCTTCGAGACGTTCAATGTCCCCGCGTTATACAGCTCTGTCCAGGCTGTCCTCTCACTTTACGCTTCAGGAAAAACAACGGGATTAGTTCTGGATTCTGGTGACGGTGTGTCGCATGCAGTACCAGTTTTCCAAGGATTCGCCATACCCAACAGTATCAGGAGGATAGACGTAGCTGGAAGGGATGTAACGGAGCAGCTACAACTGCAGCTACGGAAGGGAGGGCATATTTTCCACACAAGCGCAGAGAAAGAGACAGTCAAGGCCATCAAGGAGGCAACAGGTTATGTGGCGCTCGACATTGCTAAGGAAGAGAAAGAGTGGTCCGGCAGCAGGTCAGAAGGAAAGAGCATCGACTACACGCTGCCTGACGGACAGAAGCTGAAGGTGAGCTAAAGATGCTGTATCACGGTTGATCGCAGGCTGACCGATTCTAGATTGGCGCAGAACGCTTTCGCGCACCCGAGATCCTCTTCAACCCCGAGCTCATTGGCCTCGAGTACCCTGGTGTGCACCAGATCGTTGTCGAGGCGATCCAGAGGACAGACATGGACTTGCGGAAGTCGCTATATGGCAACATTGTGCTCTCAGGTGGTTCCACATTGACAAAGGGATTCGGCAACAGGTTACTCCACGAAGTGCAAAGACTGGCGGTGAAGGACATGCGGATCAAGATTCTCGCGCCGCCAGAGCGTATTTACACCACGTGGACTGGCGGCAGCATCCTCGCCGGTCTGAGTACCTTCAAGAAGGTTGGTTCCTGACTCCCAAGGAAGAGGTACAAGCTTAGACTGACACGTGTTGCAGATGTGGGTTGAGAAGGACGAGTGGCAGGAGAACCCAGACATCATCCACTCCAAATTCGCTTAGACGATGCGTTATGACCTCGGTCGCAGACAAATCGTCGTTTTGCGCGTCTGCGCTTCCCACAGCGTCTACCCGCCTCCGCAAAAGGCTCAACCACGGTTCGAGAAAGCTGCATGACGCTTGTGCTCCGGAGTGTTAGTCATGGAAATCGCGGCTGCACAACCGACGTCCAAGGAACATCACAGGACCCTGCACGCCTGGCATCGCCCGGATCAACGTGTCAGCCGGTTCGTGGCGGGAGTGCTACCGTAGTGTGTTTCCCCGCGTTACTCAGCGAGTTTCCAATTTGGGCGTGTTTCTGTTACTTAACCCTGACATGGGCATCGCATGGGTTTGAGGGGTTTGCGAAGAAGTGATGCATCATACATGGCGTTTGTGTGAGCGCAAAAGGATACCCATATGATTTTGAAATGAAGTCAATACAAGAATATAGCATGGCCAAGCTCGCAATGGCAGGTGCTGCAAACCTAAAGTGTACCGAGCTGCAACACGTATTGCTAGTCGACCAGATCGCAAACGCCAAGTATCGTGAACTCCTTGTCTGCTATGGTGTGACTTGTTTAGCCATGTGCGACTGCAATTGCACAAAATTGCGCAATGACTGCATGCAGCGTCGACGATCTGGTCGAGGCGCCTCATTCACGGTTCACAAAGGGGATGAGCACACCGCTGAGTCGCTGACGACGAGAGTGCGTGTTATCCTTGTCTCGTGGCCGGTACCTGAGCGCAAACTACGCCTCATGCTGTCTGGACTGCCGAGACTCACGATGTTCAGCGTCATGTGCAGCGCTTTATCCGGGGAGGGCTGCGACAGAGCTGAAAGAAAATTGCGCATTGTGACAACAGCAGCGAGGCTGTCGTCAGGGGGACACCGTGAAAACATCGTGAATCACGATCGGGAGCTTCAGATTTTGCGCTGCGGCCCCCCTCCGGACAGGCACCACGATGCAATGACGGCGGCTGCGCGGGAAGGAAAACTCTGCCGCCTCCACACTTCGCGACGGGCGCTGCTTCATCACGCACGGCTTCCAAGTCATGGCGTCTTCGTCTCGTTCCTGGTCTGTTAGAAGCCTGCTGCGGTGTTGGGAGTTTTCCATTACCCCCGTGAAATATTCTCATTGGCTGAATTGATGTCAGGTGCACCTCAAACATGGCGCGCCCGAGCTATTACGCTATCGAATGCAGAGCCAAGGTGGCTCCGACGCCTTTCGCTGAGGACCGATGGCGACCGTGCTGCTTTGTTTGCGTGTGCGTGGCCCGCATGATCGAGACACTGCCGTTAACTGCAAAGTGCTGGTTTATTTCCCAGCATGCTGGTGCTCGTGCAATACAATTGCGTTTGGATTCGTGGGTCAGAGATTTTTGATGGCCCCTTGCGTGAGCACCTGAGCTGCCACATTTTGCTGCACTCATATAAGAGAGCCACCCCAATGCCTGAGCTGCCCATCACTTGACGATACATCAAAGTACTGCACATCAGCCTTACCCAGACTCAATCAAGAAAGAGCTATATAGTCGCCACTCGACTTTACCATCCCATCACATTAACTCAAATTCACCACTTCAACGGGCCGAACATCAACAACCAAAATGGTCAACTTCCACATCACTGAGCCTCACCCCTCTGCCAAGTCCTACCTCTACTCTGGCCGTGGAGGTGCTGGCAACGTAACCCGCGTCAAGACCTCTGAAATCACCGACGGCCGCACGGCAACAGGCCCAGCATCCCGCGTCAAGCTCACTCCTCCTCCTTCGACCGGCTATTTCGCCTCCGGCCGTGGCGGCGCCGGCAACATGCGCACCCACAAGGAGCGCGCCATGTTCAGCTTCGATGAGGAACTGGAGCAGCAAGAGCGTATGCGATCCCAGCAAGCCCCCGTCTACCACATCGGCCGCGGCGGCGCCGGAAACCTCGTCGATGAGATGAAGCCCAGGAGCCAGCGCCAGGACTCTGCATCATCGAGCAGCTCTGTTGAGAGCGAGAAGGATGGTGTCCGCAGGAGTCTGGAGAGGTGGAGCAGCCGTCTGTCCCGCAAGGTGTCCAACTACTAGACTCCTCGCTCCTTCTTCCCTTCACTAATTCCTATTACGGCATGTCGACATATGGTTGAGGGCTGGTCCTGATTCCCTCCTGCTACTCACGACATCGCCCTTCATCATCATCTTCAAACATCCAGCATGGCGTTTCCGGATCATTATACCATTACCATTACCACCAAAAGTTCATCATCATTTTCACAACCAACGAGTCGAGCTGGGTCTTACAGTAAAAGTTCTGATACCTGATGCGATCTTCTCGGAAGAGGGCTACAAATCTATTGCTTTTTTTTTTACAACCAGCGGCGAAGGATATACCCCAGTGCCGGCGAGGGCTAAGGACAGAGAGTCCATCTGTAGGGTTGGAAGACCACAAACAATATCAACAATGAACTCATTGAAACACTTCAAATTGCTATTCGCTGCTTTGATTGCAATAGTGAGCCTAGAGAATGTCGTCATACCAACTCCATACCAACTTGTCACCCCAACAGCACCCCTGCCCCTGAATCAGATCGTAAACCTTGGGAATTACCCCATACTCCGTTAAGCAGTGTTGTTCCCCGACGGACTTGGCACTCATCGCTAACAGCCTTCTCCGGATTACATTGACCGGATCTGCGTTGCTTGGCTGGGGATTTGGCTCCCCTAACCCCCTCCCTGCAGCTTTAGCGCGCTCGGCGGCCTCCGAGCGCCTGCGAGGGTTTGGCGCTTGGGGACAGCCGCGAGGGGAAGGCGACTCCGGGTTTGTGTAAAGTGCACGGGCGTAAAGGTGAAGATCTTTGGGTACAAGAAAGAGGCTACAGCTCTTGGATGAAGGGCTACAAGCCACAAGTGTGTGCGTAGATGGTCTGTGAGAGGTGAGGTTCCTTGTGAGAGAGGTCTGTGAGGTATGTGAGAGCGTTATGGGCGTGTAGCGGTGTGTTGTGCGGCTGAGTTACGAGGTCCCTCTTTGCTTGCCAGCGTATCACTCGGAAACTGGTCCCTTTCAGCGATTCGAGAGCAGCGTGGATCTTGAATTCAAAAGCATGATGGGTCTTAGATTCGAACCATTGTGGGGTGTTGGTGTTCACATGCACCAGTCCTAAAGCGGTGTGGTGGGAAAAGTCTATCATCACTCCCAAACGTCAATTCAGACTTCTCGCCTCACTTAACATCTTCAAAGGTGTGTATTCGCCGCCACGATGTCGTGTCTGCAGTGATTCGATCGAATAGTTTGCTCTTTGGGTGATTCCATGATATCAATAGGTGCTCTCATCTTTGGGTAAGATTGCTGCATCCCTCTGCGCTACCCGCTTTCTTTTTTACATTGCTGAGTGCGCTGCTCTAATTATCGTCTTCTTTATTTTCCACGTTGACTCGATCTCCCCCATCCCAGTCACTTGTTGCTTTGTTCTTAGTGTTCCAGTCGCTCTCTTCTCAAATGCAAAAGAGCCTGGTTTTGGTCATGGACACGTCTACTTCAAAATGGCAGCGACGCACCGAACAACGATAATTTCGAGTATTCTCCTCAGAATTCTCACCGCTCTGGTCGCCGTACGGAGATGACTGCAGTTACTTGAACTCAGGATCACTAGCTTCGTGCTCGTGCATAGGCTGTCAGCTCATGCTTGCAATCTCACTGCGCTCATGCGAAAGAATCAAGCGTTCGATGCACAGATTCTGTAGGAACGTGCTCTGTGCGCTCTGTTGCACCTCTTCAGGTTGTCTTTTGCGCCGCCTGCATGCATTACCCTCAACCTCGCTGGATAAGCTCTTGATTTGTTTTTCAAGAGAGTAGGTTCTTGGGGGGCTATTAAATCGTTGTCTTTCAGTGATTTTCATTACCAAGTAACATGCTAAATCCGCCGGGTTTGTGGTTCCGAACCTGGCTGGCATAGAGCACCTCTCTTCTGTTGAAGCGGCCTCCACGTGGACGCTTCCGGAAGTTAGGTATCAACACAGTCAACCAGAACACTCCCTCTAGGGCCCGCTTGCGGGCACGATACGATATGAGGCGCTCAGCGGGTACGAACGAGAACTAAACCCCAAGTTATCCTTTTTGCATCTTTTTGCGTCTTTCTGTATACAGGGTCTCTGCAATCTTAATGTTCGTCTTCTGCTATGTCCTCAACCTTTAACGGGTTGCAACCTCCACGTGGCATCTCTGTCCTGCTTTTATTCAAGACCTTGCAGCGTCCTTATGTGCAACAATCCGCGTTGGCCCTTCCCCGAGTAAGCAATGGTTCAGATGGCGCAATTTAGTGTTACTGATCTCCCATAGTGCTTCTCACATCTCTGTTGACTATGGCGCCGCGTTCGCCGGTATCCTTCGCTACCGTACATTCGCGCTTTGACAACGACATTGTTCAGTCAATCGAGCAGGACGACGACTGGGGAGCGGATGCTATGCTTCGGGCTTTCGATGCCGCGATGATGGAACATTAGCGTGGTGATGTAGTCTTCAACGACGGTGATCAGGAATTCTTTGAGCAGGGTGTGCAGAAGTTCGACGTTGGGATGGAGATCTTCTACAAGGAAGATTATGACAAGATAGTAATGTAATCACGGCCAAATCTTCCAGTCTGAATGAGCGTTGCAGGCTCAACAATGGCGCATGAGCGCTACACATAGTACCGAATACAATGTACTGTCCTCTGCGTATTGCAATCCGGCCTGTTAGCCAGCATATAGTCATCGAATCACACTCACGCCGCCATAAACAGTGCACAATGCAGCCTGAAGACCTCCCGCGGTATGCTTGAACATCATGTGTTGGTGAAATAAGACACGAGTCTTGACAACATGTTGAAAGCATAGCCACCGTATCGAGGATTTTATACACAAGCTCCAGTCTCCTCTCAGCTCCTTCGCTACCTCCAAGCTCAAGCATCTATATGTAGACTGGGCTTTTGTGCACATCGAGGCTATCGCATCGCGTGATCAGCCAGTTCTTGCTCTTGAAGAAACATTTTTAGCCACAATGACCACTTCAAAGGTATCAGGAGCCCGTCCATGTCTGCTTGTCAATATCTGAAGTTGCTGTCCCGTTGCGCTTGCACGAATGGCTAACTGCAACTACCCTCAGACATTGACTATATGTAGCTGCGATTTTCAAAGAAATGGCCATACATGGAACACTGGTTGCAAATGCGATGCACCAAGAAACAGCATCGACATTGCCAATTGAACGCCTCCAAGTTTATGCATGGGTATGCACTCCCAATTTCCGTACACATAAGGCTGTCACATCATCAGCCAGAAACCCTTCTGATATATAGTCTTGTAGCCAACAGAACTATTTGTAAGCTAACAAGACTTCACCCACACCTGCTCGAGAATATCCAAAGCAGCTGTCATTGTCGCTCTTGCCCAAATGAGGAATTGCGACTACCTCCAGACATTGATCTCGTTGCTACTCTTCTCAGGGAAGCAGGCGTGTATGCAATACTTGATGCAGTCGCAATACGCTAATACGCAGCATCATGATTGCCAAATACAGATGGTTTTCCCTATAGGGTTCATCTCAACCACGGTTCAGTTCATCGTTCACATCATCACCACCGAAATCAGCGATTGCAACAGAGCGGGCCCCTTTTTGACCAAGAATTAGGGGTATGTTGCACCTATCGCAGCCCGTTGCGAGTTTATCGTGACACTACGATACAAGCTGTACCAGACCGTCTCCACGGTTGCGCAGTGCGACGCTGCGCGATATGTTATGTCAAACAGGGGTTGACAGGGCACACAGCTTCGAAGCCCCTCGCGAGAACCGTGGAATCATATAGCGTTCACCTTCAGCAGTTGCGCGCGACGCGCACGCGCGGGCAATTTCAACATCGGTCTCTTCACATCAATAAACATCGCCTTGACAAACAGTGCGCAATAACAGCATCCTCACCAAATCACACGATCTCGCAAAGTTCAGCCACTGAAGAACGCCAATTGCATTCTCACGATGGGCTGGATAACCCGCTACGGAAAATGGCAAGACGACTTCGCTCCGCCCGCCCCGAGACCCATCCGCTTCAAGCACATCGTCGCCGGCCTCATCTTCCTCGCCCTCTTGGGCGCATGCATAGCCTTCTTCTCGCTCACAGTCATCTTCGTGCCGAAGCCCCAGCTCACTGAGTACATGCCGAAGGGTGTGTTCTGCGCGACATGCGAGGAGATCTGGTACCATAACCGCAATTTGTTCGATCGAGAGGATATGCTGTGCTATGGGCCGCCTACGCATGTGAGTGAAAATGGAGGTTGGGATGAGACATAAACTGCGCTGACAAGTTGCAGGACCGTATGACTAGGATAAAAGAGGAGGTCATGTTTAGTGAGGAGAAGAGGTGCTGGGCGCTCAAGAAGGGGCATGATGAGTGGATGCGCCCGCTTCAAGTGACTGATGAGGAGACGAAGAAGTGGGAAAGGAGGGCGCAGACGATTGTGCTGAGAGGTGGACACTGGCCTTGAAGGCTGTAGGATGCCTGCGCTGGTTTTGGCTTGCTTAACGGATAGATTGTATAGCGTTCACGGGTACAACATTGTAAGGCCGTTTACATCTCAATAAAGCATTCTGAGAATTATGAGAATCAGTTTTGTGTCAGGAACCGCTCATATATTATCCAAAAACCTACCCTTGTCAGCGTGCTCGAGCTCAAATCGCTCTCTGGCGACAAGATACGTACCGTGTCCGTGCACTCAACGATTTTCGTCACTCAACGATTGCCGAGCCCCCCATCAACCCAACAAAAGATGGGGCTGTAGAGCCACACACAATGGCTATTATCACAAGATTTTGTAGTGGAGTAGTATAGTGATGCTTGCACTCAATTTGGCCTATCTATATTTACTTGGAAGTCTGATGTTGCGGCCTCGTGATGTGGTGAGCAATGGAGGGCTTAGGGGAGCCCAGGTGTCGTCAACACTACCCACAGCATCACTAACACGTTTTTGACACTTGCGCTTCTGTGTGGTTGCTTGTGAGGCCTTACGCTTACCCTTCTGAGACAATTGTATAGCTTCGGCAGTGTTGTGAGCTTGTTGTTGACGCTCTTTCTCAGCTGCCTTTTCTGCCTTCTCAGCCTTCTCCTTCTCCCGCACTGCCTTGGCTGCCTCTCGGACCTCACGCTTCTCCTGAGCAAGTTTCTCCTTGTATAGCTTATTGGCTTGCTTTAGCTTATCTATCTCACTTTTTTGGAGTTGTTGCTGCAGCTTCTCACGCTCACTGACTGCTCGATGATGGCGTGCCTCCTGAATCCTTCTTGGTGACCAGAAAACAGCTCCACCATGGTACTCCTGACGTCGCTGAAGGCAGAGAGGCTTGCTAGGCTTCAAGTGCTTCTTCTTGTGACGGAGCGCCTCTTGCAGCCCCTGATTTTCGTGTGTGAGAAGGTCAACTTGGGATGAAAGATCATCGATTGCCTTGCTAAGCCTTAGTACATCCTTGCTCCTCTGATCTCTGACATTTTCCTTGAAAAGCCGCCTTATTTTCCTTATATTGGAAGCGCTGAGTACTGAGGCTGAGCTTTCTCTTGACTCCCGTTGATCTGGGTTGGTGTTGTTGAACCTATCGAGTATAACAGAGGCATCAGGGGGCCATATACCAGTGGCTTTGAAGGAGCTGAGTATAGTGGTTTCCTTGAACGAGCTCTGCCATGCCTTCCAGAATAAGGGGAAGAAATCTCCCTTCTTGATTGGCGATAGCCCCTGGCTTCTCTCAAGGAAAGCTGTGAGCTCATTGGAGTAGGCCTGTGAAAGAGGCTTGAACAAGCACACATCCAACGGCTGCAATGTATGGGTTGAATGAGGAGGAAATACAGCCAAGAGTATCTTGTTTTGATCACAGTACTCAATAAACTCAGGGGTTACATGAGATCCATGGCCATCAACAATCAACAGGTGGTACTTTCTCCGAGCTGTGCCCTTGGTGTGGCGATCAAACACCTGTTTGAGCCATGCAAGGCTGATATCGTTGTTGGTCCAGCCAGAAGGTGATGAGGAGACATATACTGAATGTGCCCCTGGCTCAATTTCCTCTACCCAGCCTGATTGGATAGCGTTGTTGGCTGCCCCATATATGAGGCTTGGTGGTAACACTGATCCATCAGCACACACGCAAGCCAGGAGGGTTATCCATTCACGTGAGCCATCTTGAACTGCTGCTCTTATGCTCTTGCTCTCCCAAATTGGCCTACAGAATACTCGTTTTGAGCGGCTGGTGATGCCAATCAAGAAGCCCTTCTCATCCATATTGTATGTGTGCTCTGGCTCAATGCTATACTCAGCAATCTTAGAGTGCAGAAGCTCAAAATACTGCTTGTATCTAACCCCTGAATCAGCTTGGTGGCGATTGCGATCCATACCGGTTGTCCACTTGTAGATCAGTTGGTCAGCATTACGCTTCAGGAAGCGTGTTGCCCAGCTATCGCTCACACGTTTTCTGGCCAGAGTTGATGCATAATCTATCAGTTGAACCCTGCCTGGTGGTAATCCTTGCTTTGTAAGCTTATTGATATGTTGTATCAGCTGCTGCTCCTGTTGTGGGCTGAGATTTTGGCGGAGAGAGGCTGCAGTAGCCCGTGATGCTTGAACAGCTCGGTGCCTTTGGGATAGTGTTGTAGGATTGACGTTAGACTTGATTGCAATTTTTGAGTAGTAGAACAATTCCCCAGGCTCATGCGCTTCGATTGATTTGATTGCTTTGTCAATTGGATCCATAGTCATTGAGTTGTGACGTGTTGAAGTTTGGTGGCTGTTTGGGCTCGGCAATCGTTGAGTGACGAAAATCGTTGAGTGCACGGACACGGTATCGAAGTTGTGTCTCATCACGGAAAACGGCTAACGTATCCAAAGAATCCCAAATATCTTTTCGATTTCCTTCAGCACTGCCCTACTATCTAGTCTCACCAAGCCCTTGCGCAGTGATGAATCCATGCTTATCCAGCATCCCTATCACGTACTCAGTGTACAAATCAGCGTACAGACCTCATGACCGTTCCTTCTCAAATTAACCGACTCACCGTGTGCTTCAGTCTTCATTGCCTTATCCTGTAGTCTCATATTCCTCATCTTTGATTTGCCTCGCGACCACTGCCAATGATTTCGATATCACCGGCTCGAATTGGATGATACAACATAGGGAACACATCGTGGTCTTCGTCGCTAGCTCCGCCCTCGCTTGGCTGGGAACCAGAATGATCATCGCCTCGAAGAGACCGGCCCCTCGCGTCTCCAGCAGGGTGATTGATGGTACCAGAATGCCAGTGAACTGGGGAGCGCACCGCATGCAATATCTCATCGAGTTGTGCAGTTATTTGCGCGAGTTCGGGGTTGTGGGCATTGGCATTCCCGACGCCGGCATTGCCTGTGGTGGCACGACGCAAATGGTCTGGTAAGGGTGTTCTTCGTAGGTTGTTCTTTGGATTCCAAGCATGTCCTCGGGCATTGTGGTCATATCCGCGATACGTTCGGCGCGTTTAGCGCTTTGGGCGTTGAGCCTCTGTCTCCCCTGGCGGCGAGTGTCATCGACTATGTCACGAATGCGCTGTCCGGGAGCTTCGATGAGGTCGGACGCTATTTGATAATGAGGTTTGACCTGGAACGCCTGCAGTTCTTGTATAGCTGTCCTGGCGCTCCTGAGTTCCCAGTCCAACCCTTCAAGTGTTCTCCTACGGCTGTTGAGCTGAAATAGTTCTTTTCGACACAAGGGGCATGTGTTGTGCTCTCACAGCCAGAGTTGCAGACAGGATGAGCCAACCCTATGACTGCAAGTTGAGATTTTACAGGGCGTATGGCGTTCCACATTCACCTCATCCGCTGATTTGGGCGTGCTATCATAGTCGACAAGGCAGATAGAACACCCGTGTGACTCAGGGCTTAGGCAGACACAGAGGCGGTTTTGAGTGTGGATTGGATCAGGCCGACAATGAGGAGGTGCTCGTGCGTGAGAAGGGTCTGTGAGTGAGGCATTTTGACCTGTATGAAGATAGGTTGTGTTTGATAAGTCTGAAATTCAGGATGAGGATAGTCGTGCGCAGGGGTGTAGGAGAAGATATACTTGGGACGAAGTTTATACGATCGTTGAGGGAGACGTGTCTTGATGTGCAAACTAGAGGCATCCACGGTCGATTCAACTTTTTGTTGGTCGGTCCTGTGAAATTATCCAGGTCTTTACCCACAAAGAGGCTGATAGGGGACGAATCTTTGAAAGTTGCGAACCATTACTGGCAATACATCCAATAACAAATATTGTACAACTGCATTTTTGCAAGCAGCTGCAACACTCAGCATGAATAACCGAAGTGCGGGTCCTCGCCAAGATGAACTCACATTTTGTTGTTAGATTTGCAAAGCAAGGCACTTTCAAAGTCGGTACCAAGCAGCCACATGGGCATCAGCAATCAGGAAGCTGCAATCGGCTTTGGCTTCCTCTCAACTATATAAAGACTCATCAATGAAAGAAGATCAGCAACCTCGTCCTCTTACGAAATAACTTATCGCGTTGCGCAGAGCACGCTAGAGCGCAAAATGCACAAACCTCGCATTTTCAAGTCTTTTCTCCATCCCTTATCCATCTCAACCCGTCTTACCATCTCCAACCTCACCGCCGCCAACTTCAACGTCTTCGATCCAAAAACTTCTAAGCTCAAAGTCACCAGGATATCACAACACCGCCTAGCACCATTTTCCTTCCCTACAAAAATGGATTCACATTCCACAATGGCCGCTCCACGCTTCCAAATTATCTCTGACCTGCACCTCGAAACACCTATCCAGACACCATCGTACTCATACTTTTCGTCACCATCCAACTTTCCCCTCCCAACGAACCACCTCTTCCTGCTCGGCGATATCGGCCTAATCACCCACTCCTCACCACTCCTTCACTTCCTGCGTTCCCTACTCTTGCGCTCCTTTTCACTTGAAATATTCTACGTCCTAGGGAACCACGAATGCTACCACACGACCTTCGAAAACGGGCTAGCCATGCTCCAATCCTGGGACACACTCTTAAATTCCGAGTTCGGAGCACGGTTCCACGTAATGGAGCGTCGTAGGGTGGACATCAGTGAGACCCTGACGCTGCTAGGCTGTATGCTATGGACTCACGTGCCGGAGAATCACGCCCAAATCGTCGCTCAAGGCGTGAAAGATTTCGACGACAAGACCAGGATCTGGGACCGCTCGCTCGACGACCACAACGCCGACCATGCTCGCGATCTAGCGTGGCTAAACGCGCAAGTCAAAGTCATCGAAGACTCAGAGCCGCACAGGGAAATAGTAGTGCTAACACACCATTCGCCCACCACCGACCCCCGAGCAAACAGCAAACGCTTCCTTCCCGAGAGACCGATGAACAGTGCGTTTCGCACCGATCTGAGTAAGGAGAGGTGCTGGACGAGTAAGAGTGTGAAGGTTTGGGCGTTTGGGCATACGCATTTTAGCTGTCAGTTTGTCGACTCAACCAGTGGAGAAGGGGGTAGGAGGAAGTTGGTTGTTGCGAATCAGAAGGGTTACGCGTATCTTGAGGGGATAGGGAATTGGAAGATTGAGCCGGTGGTTGTTGGGAGGGAGGATGGGGTGTGGAAGGTGGTTGTTGGCGAGAGGAAAGTTGGTGATGGGAAGGAAGATGCAGGGATTGAGAAGCCGAAGACTAGCGTGAGAGGGGAGGTGTTAAGAACTACATCGCAAGGGAGTTGAGTTCAAGTAACAGTGGAAGAAACAAAGTCGACAGACATACACTTTGCGTATGAGTCTCGACAAAGTCAGCTACAGACCAGTTTTGAAGGGACATGGATAAGTACGTAAGACCCTGTTAGACGCATTAGCTGAACCAAGAACAAATGAGCCGGCAAAAGGTGAACATAAAGTTTCCATTGCTCGCGTATACGTACACACCGTCCTCCACACATATGCATCCACAGCGCCAGCTACGGCCCAAACATGTATTCATACCATCCCAGCCTTACTGTACGCCGCCATTCCCAACCATATTGCTTAGACTGGCAACAGGGCTCGCGGGAGAAAGGCTGATGCAAGACCGCCAACCATCTTTGAGAATACACCACCGAAGAAAAAGTGCAAAAGCAAGTAGAGATATCACACACCGATAACGCCAAGCCAGACCACCTGGCTGCACCAGTCGTGCGTGAACGAAAAGCCAAAGAGAAGGGCCGTTTAGATGCGCCACAACACCAAGAAATGAATCAAGTCCACCATGTATGTACGTGTGCTGAAGGAGAGGACCGCCGAACATTCGACCAGATCGTGGCCGCGTTTTGGGTGACGCTTTTCTGTCGTCAACCCAATGAGAAGCCTTTTGGTAACCGGGAATGTTGCGTTCCCTGTTGTGCTGATGCCAGCATGACGTACGCCAAGCGCCAGACCATGTATTGGCGCTACACCGATGAAGGAGAGGAAGGATAAGGTGCGTTGAATTACAAGTTGGTATGATGGGGTGATGCAGATCGGAAAAGTGAATCAAACCTCGGAGGAGTTGTAGGTATGACCGCTGGGGATGAGCCAGAGTTCTACCTAGCCGCTTCCGAGATCATGTTTACCTGGATGACAGTAAGCAACTATCCTCGAGATATGGGATGATAACGTGCGTTCTGTTGATCATCCGCACCTGGTTGGTATGCATACCGGTTCATCATCTGACCCTGCATCGGCATCCCCATGTGGTGGACGCCATTGTGTTGTAGCTGGGCGATGCCGTAAGGGTTCTGGTGGCTGACATCGCTGCCAAGGAAGTTGTTCATGGCGTTGCCGTGAAGACCTTGAGCTTGCGAGACTGGGCAGTCCTTGTGGGCAAGCAGGAGGGTCTTGAGGTTCACTATTTCCTCACGAAGCTGAGTGACTGTAGCAGAGAGGGCATCATTCTCTGTACTGAACAGCTCGACCTTGGCCTGCAGGTTGGCAAGCCACTGCTTCTTTCTTTGACGACACTTGAGGGCAGCAACCCTGTGACTGGTTAGTATCATGACGAAGGATGGAGTGGAAGATGACATACCTATTCCTCTCGAGGAAGTTCTTGCGCTTCTCCTCATCGGTCATCTTGCGACCCTTGCTGTCGAACTCTTCCTCCTTCATGTTGCCCATCTCGTCGTCGGACTCATCCTCGTCGTCCATGGACGCAGCAGCACCTTTCTTGCGGCCACCCTTGGGAGCATCGTCGGCTTTGCGCTTGGTACCGGCGGCTTGCTTGCCGTTAGCAGCACCCTTCTTGCCTCGTGTGCGAGTGCCCTTGTTCTGCTCACTTTGACCAGACTCCGAGAAGTCACCAGTATCAGCAGAAGCCATGCTGTTGATAGAGCCCTTGGTGTTGCGACGGTTGTGGTCAGCACCGACAGGTTGTACAGGCATGTGACCAGCGTTCACCGACTGGCTGTTTGGCGCCATTGAGAACGGTGGCTGGTTGTTCCTAGCACCGCCGCCGTTTTGACTTGCGAATGAGAGTAGGTCATTAGCGGCGCTGCTGACATCATGATTAGCGTATGGATCATTTTGAGACCTCTGCTGTTGTTGCTGGGCTTGTTGATAGTTATTTTGGCGATCCATTCCTGCGGTTGCCGTATCAGGTTGTGAGGTGGGTGCTGCCGTAGTCTTGTTTTGGTTAGCCTGGGCGGCCGCGCGCAGAGCAGCCTGCTGGAAGTCACCAGTTCCAGGGGTAACACCAGCACTTTGAAGGTTGAAGATGGCCTGGGTGTTAGGGCTGGGGGCGGGAAACATAGACCCACCGCCGCCAGGTGTAAGACCAGTGCGCAGAGAAGACTCGTTGGGGGTAGGAAATCCTCTAAACGATTCGCTGAAGTAGTCGGTCTGACCTGTGGGGCCACTGAGCATAGCAGGGCTCAAAGGACCAGCGCGCAGCGACTGCCAGCCAGGCGTGATACCAGGCAATGGAGACGGTGACGTAATGTTTGCGACGGGCGGCAGAATGGTACGGCCGCCAGGTGTTTCTACAGAGCCGTTGCCGCCGAAGGACTGCTCGAAAACGTTGGGCTCCAGTGAGAAGGGGTTGTGTACAGTGTTGAAGTAGTCGGGTGTGTCACTTGTTGTTGTTGTTGGCTTAGGGGGAGGTGCCAGCGGTGCTGCATTGGTCGTCGCAGGCTTTACGTCTGTATTGGCTGGCTCAGCTACGGTAGCTAGTCAACGGTTAGCCAGATGCATTGTTGATGGCGGTGAGGATGCGCGACGAGAAGATCGTCGGTCGCGTCGAGCAGGACGAGACTTACGAATTTCCTTGGTATCTGTCTTGATGTCTGCAGGCTCTGGGGACGACATGGTCAGCGATGGTTGCCCATAGCGATGATGCTTAGAGATGACGTGATGCGCGCGCAAACTGCGAATACAGGCAGGTACACTGCGCAATTGAAGGGTGAAGGGCATGGCGACGCGACAGGAGGGCTGGGCTGGCATTGGGGATGGGGACACTCACCTTCGGTCTTAGTCACGATAGGAAGGGTACCTTTGCTGTCCTTGGGGGAGGACATCTTCGAGTTCTGGGGGGAGGTGCGCGCGGTTTGAGTTGCAGCAGCCATGTTCGGGGTGGTGACGTAGCAGTCGTGGACAAGGACGATCGCCCTGGTGGTACTCGGGCCCAAGTTCGCAATTCACTCTCCACACACAACGTGTCTCGAGAATGCACCAACGCGCCCGGGCGGTGGAATCGGTCGCAATGCACCTAAATCTTTATCGCACACGGTCAGCACACTCGGGGTCGACTTAGGCTATGCAGCTGCGCGATGCGACGCGATGGGTGCTGGTAGGGTGCGGCGAAAGTGTGGTTGCAGGGCCTTCGGGGGGCGAGGATGCGGCGCGCGACAACAACAGCAGCGGCAGCAACAGCACAGCGACGTACCTTCAGCGAGACAGGAGAGCGTGCAAAGTGCGGGGTAAGACTCTGCGATCCGAAATATCGATATTAAGAAGCGCCGCCAGTGAGGATGCGATTGTCTAAGAGATCTCGACGAATTTCGACGGTGACGTCAAGCCTCGATGAAGACGCTCCCGGCCGTCGCAGTCTGCTTTCACTGGATGCGCGATGTTCTACAAAGCCCAAGTAGTTCCCGGCAGCTTGGTTCGAACGTGATTCTGTTCACTGGGATCTCAATGAGGCTCTTCCCTAGGCGAGGACGGGGATTGTTGCTCGTGGTGACGATGACAATGGAGGCGTTCGCGATGAGGTCAGAGGGCAGGACAGCGAGCAATTTCTGGAAGTGACGCAGCTTTGTGCCAAGCTAATAACGTGATCCAGCATCTTCCGGGCTAGAACCGTCGCGTCCGCTGGCGTGGCCATTCACCGCGCTGGGACCGCTCACCGCCCCGAAAGGACCGCCGATCACTGCCCCTTTCGATTCGCCTGCTACGAGAGGCGCACTGGATCCCCAGCACAGAGCCGTGGAACCTCTTCGTTTGGTCGGCATTCCGTTCCTGCAGGATTATCTCGTGATTTCATCCCTTGGAACAGACGTCTAGATTGCAGCAGGAAGCAGACATCCACAACTTTCACTGTGTTGTTCGAAGAAAGGAGGTATGCACTTTGGGTGAGCCGTTCCAACTGTCACGGAATCGACATCGAATGCTGGAACCGACTGCATCTCGATTCCTCTGCATCCGTGGCAGCGATGTCGATCGATAGCATTTGCACTCTGTGAGTGGCTCGACGCAATAGCGCTACCCGTTCCACCAATTGAGCCACATCCATACTCTCTAGCGTAGTTTCAACGGTAAGCGGAGGTGGTGTTTAAAAAGGGTGCTGATTTGAAATCAGACTTTGGAAGTGCCGGTGTTGAGTTTTGAAGGGCAGAACGGTGGATGGCGATAAGCGAGGGCAACGCCGCGGGGGGAAAGTTCACGCCTGAGGCAGAAACATGCAATCTGTTATGGCTCTCATTCGGTTGCAAATGCTTTCCGTGAGAACAATAGATAGCACGTTTCGCAAGCAGTTAAAACTGCAATTCGAGGAAGACCAGTAGTGCAAAGTACCAAACACCTATCAATTTGACAAGAGTCTTTATTTGCAACACAGAAAGATGGTGTTAATTCTGGTCTTATTCACGTCTGTACCTAGACACTCAATCTCCAAAAGCAAGCTGCAGGTCATTTCTTGTCGAATTTACATCAATCAGGAGCATGTCCTCCTTACGAAGAAGCTAGTTCTTAGTCTTGGAACAAACATCGGAGGTCTTCCGTGTTCACAATTGCCCATAGTAACGCCATACAAAACAGTGAATTGCTTCACCCCACATGATTAAAATTAAATAAGACTTAAAACTATTGTGATACTTCCTTTTCTCTATATACTGTAATGGGCTAGACCCATGTGGACCCACCTATGGGTGTGGGTGTTACGATCAAGGAGCAACTTGCACAACAACACTGAACAAACAGGACTACGCAACAATACAAGAGGAGCCAAGGAACTGTATTATCAGTTGACCCAAGCAGTGAGGCTGCGTTGGCAATACTCAGTATGATCATCACTCTCAGTTGAGCAACTCAAGCGACTTGAGCAGTTAGGACATGTCAGCAATACTCAGTATGATCATCACTCTCAGTTGAGCAACTCAAGTGACTTGAGCAGTTAGGACGCGTCAGTGATACTCAGTATGATCATCATCAATCTTAGTTGAACCAAGCAGTGAGGCTACGTCGGCAATACTCAGTATGATCATCAATCTCAGTCAAGCAACTCAAGCAGTTAGGCCGCGTCAGTATACTTGGTACAGGCAATAGCCATCTAGCTGGAGGCCATGACAACTGGGAGCAATGAGTAGTACAGAGTATACTGTCTGGCTCAAGAGCAAGTGAGATTCCAATAACAAAGTTGATTGACAAGGTGGAACACAAACCATAAGGGTTGTGTTCCTACGTGCTTATATTGTAACGACGCAGGCCAGCAGGGAAGATATCCGGAATAAGTGTGAGTCCGCTACGAGGCATATGGGAGTGCTGGGACGTTGAGAACACTAGGATTGAATTCCCTACACCTATAGGTCTTGTACAAAAGGATACAGAAAAACTACTCTATCTAACAACTGTGTTGAACTGCTTAAGTATACCGTTAGGAGGACAATCGGACCCAGAGCGGTAGACTAGCTTATCGTGCATGCAGGTGCCAACAGGGGCTCAGATAGTACAGCAGCGCGATGCCTGCCGACATGTATGCAGATAAGGAACGACTCGGAACCGTACCGGTGGTCATTCGGTTGCGGTCGTTACATATATACAGTCCACCAGATCTGCTTGTTGACAAGTGGATTCAGCCCTGGCCTAACCAATCAAATAGTGTCTATGAGCTTTGCTTAAAGCACAACTGCAACAGTCAGATGCAGCTGTTACGATCCTACGTCCCACGATAGGACGACAAGCAATAAGTAACCGCCAACCAAACACGGAGGCCTGGGGGAAGGTGCAGCAAGGCAAGGCCGCCCGGCCGGCGCCTAGGGGATTGCTCTTAGCCGAGCTGACACACGTGACAGAGCTCGTCAACAAGCAAGGTCACGTGAGTGCTCGTCAACGAGCATGACATGATGCTCGTCAACGAACATGGTACGATGCTCGTTGACGAACCGCAATCCATCCAGATTGGCCAGGACCGACTCTGCTCGTCAACGAGCAGATCTGGTGGACTGTATATATATGTGTAGGAACACAACCCTTATGGTTCGTGTTCAACCTCGTCAATTAAGTTTGTCATTGGATCTCAACCAACCTTCGAGCTAGACAGATTGCCTGTACTACTCATTGTTACCCCAAGCCGTCGTTAGGTGTTTCACCCAGGCGACTTACCCCTACTGTTCCAGAGCCAGAGTTCATCCTTGAGAACCAATCGAATAGTGCTTACGAGCTTTGCTTAAAGTACGACTTCAACAGCAGCTTCCAGTGTAAAAATAGGATGTAGCAACACAGTATAACTAAGGCAATCCTCTGTCTTGTCCGCTGTACAGGGGAAGGGACATGTATAGGGAAAAATCTCTGCCATGCTAGGGTGATCTGGGGGGATCTTGGGCAATCTTGGTTGCTCCAGAGCTGGTCAAAGTACATCACGTGAGCTTGCCCGTGACATCCAGCCAGGTCAACGGCAAGCGTAACCAGCATTGTACATGACTGTTGAAGTTGTACTTTAAGCAAAGCTCGTAAGTACTATTTGATTGGTTCTCAAGGATGAGCTCTGGTTCTGGAACAGTAGGGGTAAGTTGCCTGGGTGAAACACCTAATGACGGCTTGGGGTAACGATGAGTAGTACAGGCAATCTGTCTAGCTCAAAGGTTGGTTGAGATCCAATGACAAACTTAATTGATGAGGTTGAACACAATGCCATAAGGGCAGCGTGTCTACGTGCTATATACTGTAATGAGAGTGGGCATATTGGTGGTGCCGTGAGTACTGATTGCAGTGATCAGTGATCCTGCTGAGCACTGATTGGACTGATCAATGATCACACTGATCACTGATCACTGATCAGTCATGTGAGTGCTGTGCGACCAATTACAATACTAAAGTGCGGCAGGACAGGAGCGGACTCTTGTTGCCCCTTGCTGCTGCTGTAATTCCGCAGCGCCTGTCCCGTATCGTGGCGTTATTAAGTCTGTGGTTGTAACAATGACTGTCATCCTGACATGGCTTGTGTAAGAACCGTACCAACCGTTTCTTCCTCATACTACTCACACGATTGCTATCCAACTCCTAACCGATCCCTACCCTACTACCTACCGGTATCCCCCGAGCTACATCGAGCTGTTAGATATATAAGCAGGGCAGTGTACATAGTTATGGTAGATAGTTTTTGAGTATCCTTTCGTACAAGACCTATAGGAATAGAGGTTTACTCCTAGTTCTATCTATCCCAGTGCTCCCATACACCTTGTAGCGGATTCGAACCCATATCGGAGTCCTCTCTTACCTGTGTTGTTACAGCTTGCAGCCAAGAACAACCCTTCCAGTCCTTTTAATAAGGCTCCTATCACCCTGCCATTTGTCAGCTTGCATCATTGATTGCACCATTGCTTGTATCATCACTTGCATCATCATCTTGTACCCCACTTTAACTAGCCACTTATCTAATTATATGAGCCCCCTTCTTCCTACCTCTAGATAGTTCTTACTCATACTTGCAATTCAATTCACTTTAGTACCTCATTCCTCAACTCACTCTTGACTGATCCTTTGTGGTATCCCTATACTTGATACCTCTTTCATCATCTATCCTTTTTATCACTTGTGGTATTCCCACACTTGGTCTCTTCTACACCCTTATCTCCAACAAGCCTGAACCTTCCTTCTACCAATACATCCATCTCAGAGAGCAGTTGGTATCCCCAGCTGGCCCCCTCTCACAGTTCTGGTGAAGCATTATGCTTATTTTTGGCAGTCCTTGGTTCTCAAAGTTGCCATCTGCAATAGCTTGCCAGCTCTCTTTCTCCCAAGCATTCTGCATTGATGTGATGATCTTGATGATGAGATCTTGTTGCTCTTGACTGAGCTTTGTGTTACAATCAAAGAGCAACCCGCAACAACACTGAACAAACAGGACTACGCAATGATACAAGAGGAGCCAAGGAACTGTAGTATCGATTGACCCAAGCAGTGGGCTGCGTCGGCAACACTTGGCACGAGCAGTATCAGCTTTTG